AATCCGTTTGGTTTTATTTGGCCTTAAAAAGGGGTCCCCTGGGGAAATGAAAATGGCGGGGGGGGGGGGGGGGGTGGGGGGGTGTACTCATAGTCGTGCATGCCGTAGTCGTTAGACCATTGACCTCGCATCCCTACAAAGCCGGGACGGAGCACGCCGGGTTCTCACCGGACCAGGCTCTCACATCACCAAGCGCGAAGCGCCGTGAGGTATTTGGCGAGTCGCATGAAGGGTGAGCTGCATCCTGCTAAGGGTGTTCGGCATCTTGTGCTTACTTCCTTGCGTACGGATGACAGCTACGTATGACTTAAGGTGTTATTGAATCACGTCATCTTCCTTGTCCATGCTGTATACAAGATCATTACGTCACTAGTCCCCACCGTATAGGATGTGACATTAGCATCAATGATGCTTCGACCGACTTCAATCAAATGAATCATGGCCACCCGCGCACGTCCGTACGAATATCCAATCTCCTCCAGTTTGTTTAACCGTGGAGATGCTTAATTTTCCAAAAGAATTAAACATGGCTACGCATGGACAACCTGGAGGATGATTGGTTGTCCGCGGTTGCGTCAGCTTGTTGTACTCCGTTTGGTTTATTTCGGCCTACGAAGCGTTACTGCCACTAAATGAAGAATCCTTGGGCGGGTGGATATGTGACATGATCTTGTATATGGCAGCATGAACAATACATTAATGGCGCCGGGGAATTATTTTTTTTTTGGCTGGATACTGGTGATTATCTGTATAATGTATTGGTTGCACATTTTCTGGAATCGGCGTGGCGTTGTACCGCCGGACTCTGATGGTCGAGAGAGAAGTGTTGGAACAGGGTACTACCACCGACTACAAGGGCCATTCGCGCGTACAGTGGGCACGATTCGCGGCACTGTCCCCAAGGTCGGAAAGGGAGGCACCCAGCGTCTAAACCACGTGCTTGTCGCGAGGATGCCACCGTGGCCGCCAAGGGGAGAATCGAGCCCAACGGCGTCGCTTGCGACAAGTTCCTCGCCCTAGCGAACGTGCTTCGTGCTTGAGAAGAAGACCATGAAGCAGGGGATGGTGGACGGTTGCCCCGGCGTTGGTGGCACGGGGTACCCCCATTTGTTGGTTGAAGACATTCGTCATGCTAATGGACGCCGTGACCCCATGATCCAATTATCTCTGCTCGAGTTAGGCCACAGCAGTGCACGATAAATTTACCACCAAATATTGTAGAGGTACGTACGAATCTTAGTGTTCGATACAGCCCTCAACATGGTGCAGTGATCCAGAGTTTTTTTTCTGCAGTAGCAGCGCGGGTAAGGTGCTAAAAAGGGTCTTGCTTTGACAGCGACGGGTGCAAACGAAGCTTGTCTCTCTTGGGTAGGCTTTGCTGGCCCATTCCACACCTGCCAAATGTTTTCCGTCCCTTCTCTTGTTCGGCGGCAGCTGGGCCAAGCTCGAAACGCTCCACAGCGACATTGTCGGGCGCTCCCAGATCCTGGGAGGGGAGAGCGCGCCAATGGTGGCCGCGATGGCTGAGCCTAGCGTGCTGAAGGAGAGAGTTAGCGCTCTGCTAGAAGAGACGGAAAGTGGTGATTCGAGGGACGCGTTCGCGGCTGCGTCGTTGGCGCTGGTAGGAGCGCTGACGGCGGCGACAGGGGCCCTGAACAACTCCCAGAAGGAGGTTCAGAGGTGAGGGGTTACGACTACCTAGAGACTAGCGTTGGACAGAAATCATACCCAATTTGTGGAGCTAGGGAGTCTCATTTTGTCGCCGGTAAGAGCGCATGATCCGAAGATTTAGATTACCTCGTCAGGTTGGATGGGGAGTGCTGCGTAGGCAACTGTCGGGCGTGTGAGAACTGCGGCACTGACCGACTCTGTTAGAAAGGGATCAGGTTGAGGTCGTTTGGTGGCCGGTGGTCATGTGCTCTACTATGTGTACGGAGCTGTCATCGTTGTTGTCATGGCTGGGTAGTTTCTCGGGCTTTCTTTGTGTTGAGATACCATGTCTTGTGCGTAGTCTATTTAGTGCTACGATGCAAGTCGTGATGGTTTCAGGTGAGCCAATTAGTGTGGTGCTTGGCTGCGTTCGGCCTCAAGAATGCCACCACTGGTGTTGTTTTGTGACCCGGCGCGCACGGAAACGTAATCGCCTCCTTCGGGTGTTTTTGACGTCGATGCCTCCCCAGGTACTTGGCCATGTCTCGTGATCTCCGCGTAACGTCGACGTGGACCGACATATCTGAAGCAATGCAGGTAAGATGCGCAACAAGATTTCGATCAAGCGTTCTTCCAGAAGCCAACCACGTTTTGGTCGTCGTTTTCACTGTACACAGACGGGCGCATCCCCGGCACTATAGCTTTTGCTGGCGATGGGAAATGTGGGAATGCGTCCGAGACGTTCAAGTCTGCTGTGTTGAGAGTCTCAGACTAAATTAGGAACGCGACACATTCGTTTCTTCTGTTCGCTGTGTTCTTTTACCAGTGTTTTCAGTAGCCTTCGCAGGGTTTTTCTATTAAGTAATCAGGCATTTTTCCGCGGCAGCCCAAACACGTATTTGTTTTCCGTCGTTAGCGTTGTGTTGTTCTCCGCGCACCACAGACGCTTTCGAGGCGACCGCAGTTATTTTGACGCCTCACACTGGCTTGTGGCTTGTCACGCTATCATACCACTAGTGTAGCAGCCGTTGCTGTTTGCTTGTGAATTATTCTGGTAATTGTATGACCCGACCACGTTTTCGCGGGACTACGACCAAACACACACCGTCGTCGCCGTGTTACCCTGCTCTCTTGTCGTGTCCTCTTGTTTGTTCGCTTTAGTGGACGATGGACTCGTTGAAGGGCACGGTCATCCTCTTCACCCCGCACACGGCGGGCGGCCTCACCAAGGCGTTAGGCCTCTGCAAGAACATGGATTCAGCTCTCAAGCTGTTCAAGGTAAGCAAGGAAGGGGGGCACCACCGGGGGCTGGAGAGACACGGGGACATGCAGTTGAGAAGAGAGGGGGGTGGATCCCATGGGGAGGAAGTTATCCGGGTAGAGTTCGAAGCATCGCACTGCAGATCGTGACACGCGGCTAGTGGACACCTCGTATTTGGCACGTGCGTGTCTGCCTTGGCGGCGTTGTTTTTAGACTGTATCGTTTCGTTGGCGGCGTTGTTTTTAGATGAAGAGTTTGATATGTCGTTAGTTGTATCGGCGTGGATCATGTGCCTCTATGGCGCTGAGCTCCCGCTGTTGATCTTTTGCGTGACGAATGTTTGTCCGGCTGCCTGCGGTACGGCTGCCTCTGTTGGCTTGCGGCTGTTGGTCCGCCTGTATTGATTTTGCGCCATTCGGTCTTGGTGTCTAGTTGCCACCGGTCAGGTCAAGATGGAAGAACAACGAGTTGAGTTGGTGGTCGCGTTGCTGCGTTTCATTCGTGTTAAATGCAACTTTAATGCGATGTCGCTGTTTGACCCTACATCTTCGCAACCTATCATCGTTTGCTGCAGGAAGCGGCTCTGCAGATTAAGATCATCGTGGTCGAGCTGGCAGGAGAGCACGAGCCCAATACGGTTTGGGTAAGCTGACCTTTGTTTGTTCGGTTCCCTTACACCCACCCTTTGTCTACGCTGTCGGGAGGTTCGATAAACATGTGTGTTGGTGTAACGAGGGGACTTGTCACTCGTCTCCTTCCCCGTGACTACCACTGTCATCCATGGACCGGGCGTGTGTCTGTAGTCGCGTCTGCGTCTGAAGCAGCCCGCTGGTTGCCCCATCGTGCTTCACAACAGTTCCTATTGGTGCAGAGCAAATGAGGAAATTTGCTTCGAAATTTGCACAGTTTGGTCGCTGTGGAATGAACAGAAAAGAGCGTGTAGGTCCACGCTTCCTGCCAAGAAGAAACACAACACGCGACCGTACACCCCGGAAATATCATCCCCACTCGAGCTCTGTCTGCCAGGAACCCTGATAGGTTTTCTCGCTGAGTGCGCTCCATCCCCCCTCCCCAATACCAAAACCTACCTGCAGTGAGTATTGTAGTATTTTCAACCTCGGTTCGTTGCGTTCCGTCTCTTTAGTGGGGGGGGGTCCGAGAATGGTGGAGATCCACGAAGCCCTCGTAGCTAACTACCCTTGTGAAGCTGTCGAAAAAGAAGGGTTCTTTCGGGCTAGAGCCCCCGGCTCTTCTCTCTTCTCTGGGGAAAGCGCGTCCTACACTTGCTCCAGGGAGAGCCCTGCACACTATTCTTACGGCCTTGGTGGTAAAACATAGCCTGGCATCTGGAATGGCGGTTCCGCAAGATGTTCTGAACTGCCCCCCCACCACCCCCTACTGTTGGTTTGGTATGACGTCAGAGGGTCAACCAGTCGTTGTTCAAGGGCCTCCCGGAGAACCGCAAAGTGATGACGCTGAGGCACCTGAGGAGTCTGGTGGTAGCGTACGACCATCTGAGCGATGAGATGAGGAGAGACCTGACGACCGCGCTCGAGATCATCAAGAACAGGGAGGTTTTGAACATGGTGAGCGAAGGTCTAGGATGTTCTAGAACTGGGTGTCATTGTTGTTCAGCTGTTTGTGGTCGGTATCTCCTTGCTTGTTGGGAAAGCACACATTTTCGACCAACATGCTCATTTCGTGCCGCCGTGACTGCCACCACTCGATGGTGCCAAAAATGTGCGCATTGCCGTGACACGGCCGTTTCACGCTTCAAATTGCTTGTATTATAGCGTAGATCCCGTGAGTCGCCCGTTCGGCGGTGTTGTAGCCCACCTCATTGCACGGTGTGCGATGTGTCTGCCTTTGCCAAACGAATTAACACAGCAGTAGACATCGTACGCGAACAAGAAGCTCTTCGTCGATCACCTTTTGAAAACACAAGGATGCACCGTAGGGAGTGGGTTCCAGCCCACATGAACGATAGGTTGCAGAAGACCTACGTGCAAGGATCTCTCTCTCTCTCTCTCTCTCTCTCTCTCTCTCTCTCTCTCTCTCTCTCTCTCTCTCTCTCTCTCTCTCTCTCTCGAGCATCTGTTGTTTGTTCGAAGCCGTTGGACCGGTACACAGAAAGAAGGTCGTCCGATTTTGCCTGAAGAGTAGTGCACCGGTGAACGTCCATGAAGACACATACAGCTGCGGCAGCACACAAAACTTTCTGATTCACTTGTGTGTGTTTTACCCCCTGGTTTATTTCACTGCTTGACGCTGACCATCCTAGATGGGTAAGTACTGCATCCAGGCGGAAGCGGCAGAGGAGAAGAGATGGGAAGCGAAACTCGCTACCGCTGACGAGAGACTCAAAGTCGGACGACGCCCCTCAGGTGTGAATTTGTAGTGATCATGCTTGTGTGACACAACTTTGCGAACGACGTTTTTCATGGTACTATTGTCCGGCACATATGCCCCCTGTCCAACGTTTTCAAAGCCCCGTTGCTTCACACGGCAGACATGCTAGGGTCAAGTGTCCGAAAGGCTCGTCTTCGAAGCGCTCTTCACCAAGCATCGTGCTTGGGAAACGGTAGGCGTAGTTGTTTGGCAGTTGTTTTGCTGCATTGTAAGCATGTTGAACGGAGACGGCCAATAGAGAGTAGTCCACGGGCCGGTTGAATGACAGTTAAGGTAAAGTCTCACGCACACACTAACCTGCAAGGGGTAAGAGGGCCTGAGCCAAGTTGGGGTAAAGATGCACGTGGTACACACCACGATGTCTTGAGATTACCCATGTTTTTTACAACCAAGCAGGTGGCTCGCTTCGTTCTGTCGTAAGTGCCGAACCCCGGCAGGAAACATGGCGGCAACGTTTTCCATTGTATTGGCATATTCTACCGTATTGGAAAAAATACGGATGCAGAAACGTCTAGGTTGCGGCGCTCCTCAGTTGGCCTTCCTCAAACCCATGAACCGTAGATCACTTAATGTTCTACACCAAGACATCGGTAACGAGTAACTCCTATGGTCGGCAACATCCATGCTCAGTCTAGGTTTGGTGTAAACCGAAACGGCCATGCTTGTTGCTTCTCCACGCAACGCACCATTATCGCCGTTGCTCACCGTACCGGCGACAACCGATGTAAAATTCAGGATTGTAGTGCTTATGACATTTTACCTTCATGGGTGATGAGCACTCCCCCCCGCTTACGCCATACCCCACTCAACCTCTTAACGGCCCCCTTTTGTGTGCCGAACACCCCTCTTTCCTCCCACTATTTTGCTGTGTCTCCATTTTCCGACCCTAGGAACACGCCAAAGCATCACCCCGGGAAGACGTTCGCCACCCATGGGCATCCGTGCCTCCTTCTCCGAACCTTCCCCGCCATCCCTAGCCAGGGGGGGCCTTGGCACCCCCACCACCACCACGCCGGTGCGCAGCAACGGCGCGGCCGAATCCCCGGGCAGCGGAGGCAGCAACGGTGGCAACAACGTGGGCGGTAGGGCGTCCCCTCCGTTAGGGAGCGGCAGCCGTAAGGCGCCGCTCATTACCCCGAGATCCGGTCGGTCGACGGCCACTCCCCCAGGGGGCGTCGGCGGTTCCGGGATACCGAGGGGCGTGGCGTCGCACTCTCGGCGGCGGGAATCGTTTGCTGTCGAGGCAGAGGCTGGGTCGTCCGCAATGGAAGATCGCCGCTCGAGATCTCCCATGTTCAAGCGCAGACCCGCGGGCGGGAGGTCCAAGTCCCCGGTGACCGCTAGGGTGAGGGGCACCAGGCGGGTGTCGAGGTCTCTCACGCCGAGGTAGAAACTCCTCCACCGTCTGCAGCAGCGGGTGGCCATGCTGATGCCACCCGACTTCGCTTCTGGTACATGCTGAACTAGTGGTTGTGATTTTACAAGAATATTGTGCACGAAGATTTCTCGGAGGCTTTTTCGCGCCAGTGCTACTGCTGGAGGTCTGGACCGAAGAGAGTGTCGTTTTGTACTGTACATGAGAGGCTGGAGGTTTTGATTGCAAGTATCGCTTGGATCGTGGCCATGGCTCTCTGCCTTTTGAGGGAGAGCCTTTTGAAGGAGTTGCAACGTGCATGTACCTAGCGAGACTGGTGTTGGCTTTGATTTTTCCAACTTTTTGCCGGCATTAAACGCCGTGCGCGGGGCAGGCAGGGTACATGTGGGTCATGATGGATACCGCTCGAAAACATGTGCGTGTCCGAACGCACGAACGATTCATGAGTGTTGAATTTTTATGCTCTACCAAGGTAACGCGGAGTTCAGCCTCTGTTCCAGGAACGGAATGATATGTTCATTCTCCATGTCATAATACTACTGGTCAGGGGGAACTGAGGGCGTGCAGGAGTGCTATACTCGCGAGGTTGTCCCATGTAGGGTGTCTGGTTTTCCTGTCCTCAGGTTGTTTCGACGAAGAGGCGAGCACCTTAGCGGCGCTGGGGGTAGTGTTGTGTGGTTGGAAGCAGCTTACAAAATAGGTTGTGCGTTATAGATGTGTTTTCGAAGCGGTCGATTTTTGGATATCGTTGTCCTTGGTTTTGATAAGGCATTGGCAGGCAGTCGATGTACGGCGACACTTCACATCTCTCTCTCTTTTGGTTGTGTGTTTCTGTGTCTTGTGTCGTGTTTGTTGTCAGAGAGCTCTGACGATGAACACGCGCATTTGAGGTGGTGGACCGCGCAAAGGAGCAAGTAATTAACATCGTTGGGTGCGGTAGGGGCAGTCTGGGCGCCTCTGTTGAGTTCATGTGATTGCGGCATTAAGGACGGCAGCAGTGTTTTACGAGATGGCGTCGTACTGCACTCGTTCTGCCGCGGTTGTTTGACACTTCACATTCTCTCTCTTTTGGTTGTGTGTTTCTGTGTCCTGTGTCGTGTTTGTTGTCAGAGAGCTCTGACGATGAACACGCGCAGATGAGGTGGTGGACCGCGCAAAGGAGCAAGCACCCCACATCGCTGGGTGCGGTAGGGGCAGTCTGGGCGCCTCTGTTGAGTTCATTTGATTGCGGCATTAAGGACGGCAGCAGTGTTTTACGAGGTGGCGTCGTACTGCACTCGTTCTGCCGCGGTTGTTTGTTGTGTGGTTGACTCGTTCATTAACAATGTGTGTTGTTGTGTTCTCGTAGAGTAGAAGCATGCGTGGCGCTATTCCGGTTAGGTTCCTCCGCGCGATATTGATTTAGTAAGGGTTGGGTGGGTATCACTGCGGATGGCGCGGATTTTGGAAATCAGGTCCTTCCGGTTTAGTTTGGGTGAGACGCTCAGAAGATTATTATTCGTTGTTTAGTGTCGCTGAACATGCTACGTCTGTGAGTATCCAGGTTGGCAAAGCACTGAAGACTTCGCCATACAACGTTGGAATTATTCGGATGTATAATGTTACATAATTGCGGGGCACATGAGATATTTCGGTTTAGGAGGAGGACGTCCACAAGTGATCCGATTCGAGTGCCTTGTCGCAGCGGCATGATTCTCGTTGTTTTGTTGTGAACGCTAAAAGTTCGACCAGTAGTGTAGTTGCTCAGGCGATATATTTTTTAGGTGGCGATTGGCTGTCTTTTGAAACTACAGGTAGTTGAAAGGCCGTCCGTTCCAATCCGTGTCATGCAGTCCACTCGCAGCACTTGTTTCATCCTGTTTAGAAGGGCAATGGATTTGATTTATCACTATCTTTGTGTGCTCGCTCTTGCTCGAAGATGATGCCGGTCGGCGTGGTCGCGCCTGCAGTCAAAGCTGCTTGCATCACCCCCACAATCTGCACCCACCCGTTGATCGCGCAACGCTGAACTTACTCTGGGCGGGTGGTTAGGGGAAGTTGTGTAAAAAGTTTGTATTAACTCCCCTAGAAGGCACACCGGCTCCACGGTACCACGGACTGGTGGTCACAGCGGTGGATAAGAAGCAATAGTTCTGATTGAGATCCACCATGCGTGTACGGCAGCTGAACGCCTGAATAAGGGAGAGATAAATAGATGTTTCGAAACAGACAAAATATCAATCGAAGTAGAGCAATCTTCGAGGACATTTTTTTTTTCCCACGTGATGGCACGGGGATGTTAATTTTTATGGTGTTATTCCGTTGCTCGCAGTTCCTTACGTGCGGTCCAACCTGTCCAGTATTGTTGTTTTGTCTTAACATTAAAAACCGTTCCGGTCTTCGCTCAGGACCTACCTTCTAATGTACTTGTCCAACCGACGGCCCAACTGACGTGGACGCCTTCCGTGGTCACAAGCCAACTGCCCCAAAGGAGGGTAGACTATACACCTTTCTAGAAAACGAAAAATAAACAACAATGGAGCAAATTTTCAGTCTGAAACAACTCCGATTGGGGGTCACACGAGGCGTGGCCAGAGTATTTAGAAGTGGGACATGTATTGGACTTGCGTGCGGTTTGGCGCCGCACTATGCATACACAGCTTAACATCCGTATGAAAAGCTTCAGTTTTAAGGTGCAGCAGCTACATCGTGCACACGCTTCCCTCAAAGACTTCATGATGATCATGCATGCACTGAACAATGGGCCGCGAGCCTGATTGATCGTCTTCGTGGAACGAGCGGTCAATATAGCTCCGGGTGGGTGGGTGGGGGGGGGGGTATGAGGTGTGGTGTCGAAAAATGACAACGAATAAAATTGTCTCGATCCTTGTTGGTCGACCGTGCTCTCTTTGGGTTGGAGGCCATCGTTCGGCTTGGTCGATCTACATAAACATGCATCACGCGCGTGCAGCCTTGGGGGGGGGAGCAACGCCTCCAATAAACGTGTAACTGTCACGAATAAAATTGACGTCCTGTTCTCGACAAGAGATGCACCGAACAGACCGGTTCAATAATCAACCATGAATGAATCATGAATCACCATCGCAAGGCTCGCCACCCATCTCGGCATCAGCGGTCCAACAGCTGCCGTCCGCTTTGGATTGGCAGACGGCAAGGTGACAGAGCAGAAAATGGCAAGCTTCGATCTCGCGGCAGGCGATGCGGTGGCACCCCTCGTCGACTGCGCGAGCCACGAAGGTATGATCAACCCTCACACATTCTGTAGCTCGTCTTCCACATTCTCACTCTCGCTGACGTGAGTAAAAACAACAATTTCACAACAAGGAGGGCGTGGCGAGGTTTCGGCATTGCTACCCAACGGCAATCAGCTCATGTGCGTGTCCTTCTCTGCTTTACGACCGGTGAATACAATCATCCGTGTAGTGGCAGCCCGAACGCAGGGCACCTTGGTCACGTACTTCGCTCGTTGCCTGGACTACTGTTCCAGTTCAACTACAAGCTGAAGTAACACCGGCCAGAATAAAACATCAAACGCAACCTGCATGTCCCTTTAACGTCCTTTACCCACTGGAGCCCCCGTCTCCGGCGAGAGGAAAGTTTGAGGGCACCTTAAAAACCCTTACAGAGTACATCTTGTAGAGGCTGATGGTTTTCACAGGAAAATGCGATTCACAGGTTATTGAACGCGACCGACCCATGAAATCTCGTTAGTACCAAACTTCGACGTCAGCACCGTCGACCAGGGAAAGGGACGGCTGGACCCTTCTCGCGATAGACAACAAATAGATATATATTCGGTGCACGCAGGAGGAAGGCGGGGCACGAAAGCAAAGGAAAAAAGAAAAACGACCCCCCCTTCCTGTGTGACCCTGGATGGTTGCAGTAGTTAGTTGCAAGGTTGTACTGTAATCTACAGTACATGCTTTATACATGCACTGAAATACGTGTACTATAGTACACGTCTCAACACGAAAAATGAGGGGACTGTCGCCACATTCATTCATGCCACCTCCTCACGGTGAACATTGATAAACTTCCGCCTCAAACTCCAGCATCGTTGTCAATTACTCCGTATTACTGTAGCGTCTTTGAGGCCCGCGCCACGTACTGTAGTCCGGAGACAACAAGCGTTCGTGATGAGGCTTTCATGAAAATTACAGCATATATGTGTCGGTCACGGGTTCGACTGATCCGTGGAGATGAAAACATCTACCTCCGATTGCGAACACGCCCAAGCCGTTAACGACTATGATCACGGCACCAACGAGTCACCACCTATCGACTACTCTAAGGGAGGTACTTCCGGTGGTCGTTGTTGTTGTTGTTGGTGTTGGTGTTGTTGTTCTCTATAGGTAACACCTACACCGTCAGAATAATCGGTATCTTCTACAAAGACTTACACATTCCGAGGTCCCCACGCTGGATGGTGTACATCCCGCGTGCTCCGGGACATGCTGTCGCGGCCAAACTATATACAACGGATGTTGAAACGTAGGCTACAGTAGCTGATGTCCAAGCCCTACAGGATCCTATCCTACAGTTACAGGAATTATTCCCCCGTCGCCCCTTCCCCGAAATCCCCCCTGGAGTCCTCATGATGTGACACGTTGAATTATCTACTGCCGAACAACGAGGCCACCATACCTTGCAAGCATCTCGCGGATGAACAAACGGTTGTTGAAGACAAGTCCCTGGTACTCTCAACACCTCCTCCCAGGTTCTTCCTTCGACGCGGGGGGAAAGTACGCGTTTACACACCGACCAACCGCCACAACATTAGTCTACAATTCGAAAGAAAGCTAGTTCAATGCCCTTGTTGGGAGGAGAGAAAGGGCAAGGAAAGATTACCCACAACTTTGTTGTTTCAGGCCCGCCTTACTTTACCCCCTGCAATGTTCCGGGTGCGAAGCATACAACATGAATGTATCTAATCCTGAAACGCCGGCATTGTTTAGAAATCTGAAATTCGTCAGCATTTCACGAGAAACGGAACGCTATTTTTCCTTTGCCTCCAGAGGAAAAGGCGTACTGGGACATGAATAGCGAGCGAGAGCAGCAGCAGCAGGAGCGTTTCGGACGGCCTCCATCGAGTGATGCAAGCCCCACCAAAAGAACGGACCAAGGGTTAATGTCCAAGCTATCGGGCATCGAAATCGGCGCGGCCTTCGACAACCTGTCGAAAAACCTCGGTGACAGGTCGAAAGCTCTGGGCGACCAGGCCAAAACCCTGGGCGACCAGGCCAAAACCCTGGGCGATCAGGCCAAAGGGTACACCTTCACAAACGCGAGCACGGCCACGGCGGCGATAAGTCGCTTCAAGAAGCAGATCGTCGCGGCCGTTGACGGTGTGCCCCTGAGGCCCGACGAAGACCGGCTGCGAGAGAGTGGTACCACCACGTCAGCCGAAACAACGACGACCGAGATTGATGAAGAGGAGAGCCGGGTCTCGCTGCTACCACTGGACCAATCGCGAGAGGACAATGAGGAAGAAAATAATGCAGGGGGTGGACAGGAGCGACAGCAACAACAACAAGACCAATCGCGAGGTGCTGCGCTGGAGGAAGCTCTCCGCAGTTTTTCTGTCGGAGGTACTCAAACCGCGAAGAGAGGGAACAAGGGGAGGGGGCAGCTCAACGGAGGTATGGTAGACGAAAGTGCCCCGGTGCTAGGGCTAGGTGTCTTGGACGCTGTTTTCAAGAAGAAGGTCGGCGGGGTAGAAGTTGCGGCACAGGCCGTCGAGGCGGGGCCTGTAGAATCTCGTAACGCCATTTCCTTAGGAGCTACAACCCCGCCTGGTTCTTCTCCTGGTGGTGCTGGTGTTGGTGCTGCTGGTGAGGCCGCCGCCGCTGGCGGAGGAGAAAGTCTGAACGGAGGAGACGGCGGTGCTGCAGCGCTCAAAATTATCCCTAGGACTGCTTCGCTGGTGGGGGGAAGACAGTGGGCGGTGCTGGCGTCGGTGTATGATACGACTGCATCGGTTATCGACGAAACCGTTGGCGACATGTTTACGTGAACTCGGCAAGATCCGGAAGATTGTGTGGTTTCGAGCACCGTGATGCGTGGTGGATATCGCGCTTTCGCAGTCAGTACCCAACGTCTAGTCACGTAGATATTGATCTATCCAGCAGTGCCGGGGTAATCACGGCCTGGTGAATATTGTTTGGTTTCGTAATTCTTCTTCGGCCGCACCCTCCCTTCCTACAGTAGGCGGCCTACAACGCCTTTTAGGATCCCTTGTTTTTGTTGAAGTTTCCCAAATTTCCTGTTATCTGAAGTTCACGTACTACAGCATTCCGTTATTCTTGTCCCTCGGGAAAGATATTTCCGTCCTCAACTTACAGTACACCATAGACGAGTGTAGTATTGTACCAGTATTAGATTGGATAACTACGTTTTTCGTTGCCCTTGTTCGCTTCTTCATTTTTCGGTAAGGTATTTTTGGTAGACTATGTCCTTTGTAGAAACTGTTGTTCCCGAGCAGGTTTCTCGACAATGAACGGCGATATCTCGCATTTTCTCCCGTCAAGTTGGTACCATACGATTGTGGTCAGCGTACACATGTTTGTGTCACCTGCCGTCTGTGAGCATCTCACTGCGGAAGCAACGCCTTGTCGCGGGGTCATCGGGGTATCACAGTCAATACCAAGGGGGCGAGTGTGTTTGTCTCGTTGGCATGTCTTGTATGTGTGGTAACATCCGTTTTGTCAGCCTTTGAAGGCACTAGGGTATGTTTGAGTCTGTACGCACTCACGTCGGTTCGTTTAACGAGGGTACAAGTGTCACGTTGCTTTGTTTGAAGGATTCGTATGGTAGGATGTAACTGCTTTCGAGGCCACACCATCCGCATCATCATGAGCGCAGGTTCTGTAAGACGCATCTAGTTGGGTTTTCAGGTGCCCCTCCCGGGTTGATCTGACCATGCACACGTATCGGCAAAATTTGTACCAGCACCTGATTTTCACCGATGTGTTCACGAGGTTCATCAATAACCCCGCGACAAGGGTGGGCAACATTGTTGAGGACTCGATTTGTCCGAACGGTGGGCGATATCAATTTAGGTGTCAACTTGTCCCGCACCCTTTCGTGATGGAGAATGGACGCAGCGCACTAATGTTGAGAACCCTTGAGACGCGGCCAAAGATGGTGCCGGGGATGACCACACCAAAAGTGATACATTTCGGCATTTTAACCCAAACGTCTCGTGCCTGCCATCGGTGATGTGGCGATTAAACTCGCTCATCGGCGGGGTTCGATGTTCCTCAGTTCGTGATGTAACGCACGGAGCGAAAGCCCAAACGCTTGGGGGGGGAGGCAAAGAACAACGGAGTGACAGTGGGAAATTGGAATATTTCCCACTACTTTGGACGGCATCCGGGTATTTCCACTATAACGGGAAGGCACCAAAGCGTCCTGATCGTGTCGACTCGTTGGGAAATGTCTCGTCGATTGCTTTCCGAAGGTAAGGCCCCTCCGACAAGGTAAAAAATGTTGTCGTTGGCGCCCTCTCTGCACTATTGAGGAGCACAGAAACAACGTACATAGCAGTAGTGCAATCAAGAATGCATGCGCTGCTACCTTCTCAGCGAGCTGCTGCGCTCCCACGATGAAAGGCTGCTTGCCACGACTCTTCGAAAGCCAGCAAACTCGACAAAAACACCGTTGGCGAAGGTTCCATGCCAAATATACAGGAGCAACACATGGAACCTCTGCTACAGAAGACAGTTCGAAGTTTCACTAAGATCACGGATCAACTCTGCTCTGCGCCTCAAGAGCACGCGTCGGCTTCGCCGCTTGCATTCCCAGACACATTCCCGCATCCCAGCACTCTTGCGTATCCCCACGTATCTTTACCGCGTTTCTACTACGACACACCATTGAGCAACCGGGGCAATACACCCTTGCTAGCCGCCAGACCAACGCACTGTATCAGTTACGATAGCACACGCAGCCTCCTAGATCGCGCCATGGGAATGGTCACATCAGGCCACCACGCTTGGTTGCGCTCAGAGCGGAATGTTGTTGTGCTTCTTGGGGAACGTCTTCGCAGGTTTATCTCGCAAAAGCTGCAGGTCTTGGCACAGTACTCGACGTGTCAAGGCGGGGTCGATGATGTCGTCGACGAACCCTCGCCGAGCGGCAACCTGAAGCAATAAGCATCATAGTCAACGAAAGTAGCGCCCGTCAGGAGGTGAGAAGATCTAGGATACTCTAGAGTAGGTGAGAACTCATTGTGCTATCCACAAGACTCCTGCGCGTGGTAGCCTGAACGGAACGCACAAGAAAAAGTACATGGCAAGCGTGTCCAGAGATCCGATTCCGCGCGATCAGTCGGGACATTTCTACCGAGCACGTAGGAGGGGACCAGCAATGCGGGTATAGAGGTGATGGGCACGACCTGCGATAACTCTCAACCCCTCAAGAGATTACTTCCCCACCAAGAGCAACACGTCAAAAACAGGAAGTCATCGAGCGCCCTACCGCTTCAACGAAGAAGGTGGACTGCGGTCATCGGCGGATATCATTCGAGGCGTAGCGAACCCCCCCCCCCCCCCTGTAATTATGCCATTATATGAGGAAATCCACCCGGGGAAGATACCTTCTTCCCGTTCGTTCCATGCCTCTCACCTAAAGAAGGACTAACCTTCCTTGCTCTATCTGTCGAAATGAGCAGCTACTCCGCGATTCAAGGCAAAAAAACAAAGTTCTCCTCCTCACCATTGGGTTGCAGAAGAGCTCCGTGTACTCCTTCTCCCGCTCGGCCACGTCTTTGCCTCTGAAGATGATCTCCACGGCCCCCTTCGCACCCATCACGGCCACTTCCCCCGACGGCCACCTTCGGTCCCCAGCACGGGGGTAAGGGGATACGCGGTAAGGATTGAGTCGACTAAAACACCAAGCGACGGCAAGAAACCTACCGTATGATATGCGACACAAGAAAACACACCCCGGTGACAACAACAACAACAACGCTTGGCTTCTAAAACCATTGCCATCGGGGGTGGTATTGTGGGGTGTGTGGTATCCTATGTCGCCCTATTGCTTGATCTGAGAGTGGTTTTTATGTTTTGGGCTCAAGTCGGCCGGCAATGGTAGTACACGCCGGATGTGGTGTTGTGTGTGGGGGTGATTTCTTGTGTCGCATACGGCATGGTCCGTGGTCAGGCTGCCTTCTCTTCTGGGTCAGGGCTAGCTGAGGCTACGGTTGGAGTTGGATGGGATGAGGCCGAGCGCAGGGGTGCAGGGAAGTGTACTCACGCGTAGTTCATGTCTCCTCTCAGGTGCTTCGAGCTCATGACGTCGTAGGCGCCGCCGTAAGCCTTGCGTGTGATTACCGTCAGCTTCGGCACAGAAGCCTCCGCGAACGCGAACAGCAGCTGGCATGTGGGGATCGTGCGAAAGGGGGAGATGGCAAGTGCGAGCGGAGGGGTTGCGGTTGGAAAGGGGTTCAGGGAGGTGATTGGAGGACGGTCGAATGTCTTCCCTTGCCCATGTCTAGCACGATAGCAGTCGACTAGAGTTAAGCCGGTGTGCCGGACGGATGAAAAGGTAGGGTAAGGAAAGGAAGCGAAAACTACGTACACACGCAGCGAGTCCGAAAACGCGACAACGGAGCAATCAGCCAAACGTCGCCGAAGAAATTTACCCTCTGGGCGAGTCCTCTTGTATCTGGGTGTTCTCAGTACCACAGTTTGTGCTGGATAATGTGGCACATGACTATGCCACAGCTGCCAAAGGAGGCACCGCTATGTGAATGTCTTAGAAGGACGTATATCGTGGAAACACGCATGCCCACTGAGTGAGATGCGATCCACCCATCGATACAGGCTCCGACCATTCGATCGTCCTTGGGAAGTACTTTTTGTTGTGTTAGTCTTTCGTTTCAGGCAGGGCCTATATATTCAGGCTGTGCACACAAAAGTGGTGCCCGAAGACCCAAGCCCAAACGCAACACGTTTCCATGTGCACAATGCTGGCATACAGGCGCCATTCGGACAGGCCGTCAATGCAATCCATGGTTGATATGCACCTTCTGCTACACGTAAAATCACACCGAGAAAGACCTGCGGATAAGAACATGACAACCTCTTTCATCTAGCACCGTACCCCCACCTTGGATCCATGTCTGATAATGCCTCCGTGCTCTTGCGCAGTCCCCGGCAAAAACCCCGGCACGTCGACGAACGTCAGCAGAGGGATGTTGAACGCGTCGCAAAAGCGAACAAATCGAGCCGCCTGTTTTCGTTGCAACTCTGACGTCAGTGCACTTTCTCCTCAAGAGGAACGTTGTTCATGCTCCAGTGCATCAGGAAGAGGGAGAATACGCATAGCTTGCCTACGTTTGGCACCATGCACCGAAATAAAGATGAGCAATAAATAGAATCCTATACTTAAATCGTAGGGGGGACCAAGTCTTCTTCCTTGGGATGTATACACGACTAAAGTTATCTCGGTTATGAACAGACGGGAAACCAAAAATAGCACGAGCATCGAGAACATAAAATGGGAGGACTCTGTCCATCAGAAAAGGAAGGAGTGAGCGTGTCACCCCACTTTTCTTAGGGTTAAGACCAAACGCACGGTAGATGGTGTAAAAAAAAATGAGATACGAAAGCCGTCCACGATACCAATCTCGCAAACGGCACAGAAACACATATATCGAACACGACCAACGACAAGACGGTCGACCTTGACCGGAGCGTTGCCCTAGGCTTGGACTTGCCTTGGTGGAAGAGTCAATGTCGAGACAGCCGGCCAAGAACATCGGGTTGTTGGCGACGACCCCCACTGGATGTCCCTCCATCCGGGCAAATCCCACAGTGATGTTCCTCGCCCAGTCCGGCATGATCTCGAAGTAAGTGTTGTCGTCCACAACCTGCGGAAAAAACAATCCGCGTGTTCCACCACAAATAGTCAACTTACATCTTTCACTCGATCACGTACTCAGCAAATGGAAGGCAGTTATGCGGGCCTGAAATATCGTAGGATTAACATAGGCATGGCGAAATTGTTTTGTCTTGGACACGTAAGTTGCAGGAAGGCTACTTCGGAGCCGCCTGCGGAGTCCAATATTCTTCGATAAAGACTGTCTCGACTAAGTGTAGACGGTCCCGTCGTGTGCGAATTTGGAATACAAGCATTGGCGAGAGCACTGCAGGCAACAAATTCACAAGCATGCTCCGAAGAAAGAAAAATGGTGGCAATGGTGATGACTCCGGCTCTAACCCATAAAGAGGCTAAAGGAGATATGGCACAATGGATGGGACGAGAACGACTGGAATGTGCGGTACTTGGGCTACTCTCCGATATTTCGTCTTTTTCCTGAGGCATGGCAGGAGCTCTCCGTGCTCAGTAGAATTGTTGTTGAAAAGAAGCTTGCCGTGAAGCTCGGAACGACGTGCCTTCATAACCTTACTATGCATTTAAGTCCGTGTGCTTTGTCGTCCTTATGCTGCTCATACGTTACCACTGTAAGTTCCCACGTTACCACACCTTGGAGACAACGTGCTTCATGTCGTACGGGACGTTAGAGTCTTGCGGAAGCAAGTACCTCAGCGATTCATCAACCCGGTCACGGGAGTCACTGGTTTTCCTCACTGGGGGCTTTTCTGTGTACATGTAGCGGACAGGGGACAGGGGACAGGGTGCGGGGTTGAGGTGGGTACGTGTTTGGCGTGCAATGGGTGAGAGGTGTGCGGGGGACGCAAACACAGCCATCGGAGACGACGAAGACGACGACAAGAGCAGTACGAGCGCCTGCCACGACCATGGCACTACGATACCGCTGGAGATCAAAACTCTTCCCCCCTCAAGACCCCTGAGTTCGCACCGCAGTGCCGCGTGTTGGCATCTGCGTCTCAGCCGACGGTATCCGGTAAGCCGCATTCACCCTTACAACCCATAGAATGCAAGCAGTACAGTCCACGCTACATTCCGGCATGAAGAGTCCCTTCAGACCGCTATCAACACACTCATCATCGACACAAAAATAGTGACGGATATTCCGAATTCTGCAACAGACCACAGCGGTGAAAGTCCTCACTACTCGCCTTTGCAGCTCAAAGGAAGGAAGCCGTACAGCTCTCTCGCCGCCCGCAGCGCCTCCAGGTCGTTGTTGTAGGCCGCGTGCGCTACCCCGGACATGGTGGTGTGGGATTGGGCCCCTCCTAGGACCTCCTGCGTCACTTCCTCCTGGGTGACCGTCTTCACCACGCCTGGGCCTGACAACATCAAGGATATCGACAGTACAAAATAAAGAAGAGGACCAATACTACGTTTAGATATCAACGACTGTATCGGAAACAAGGCGTGATATATACGCTATGCCAACATACGTTTCCTTCGACAGTGCGTAACACAACACAAGAAGTGGCCTCAGCAAGCAAGATCCAATAAAATAAGAAGCACGATTTGTGTAGAGAATTCCGCGACAGAGCAAAATATTCCAGTAATCTAGCAACAATCCCAAGCAGCTACTAGCTTCCACTCTCGACAGACTCAACTCCAAGATATGATTATCTAATTGACATCGAGAAATCGCAACAGACGCTGCTACAGTGTGCGCAACAACAAATATAGACCCTGCCGCCATGCACACGGAGCTTGTCATCGCCAGAAGATGCGCCGCCGCTCCGGCGCTACGCACGAAAAGAGCAGGTACTCTCAATGAAAGCGACAATAGTAAACACAGACCACACATGCCTTCAACTACGATTCCAAAGCAAACCAAGGCAGCACCGCATGCAGATGTACACGACAAACCAAGGCAGCACCGCATGCAGACGTACACGACGGTGAGAACAGACCGTTAACTTCAGCGAAAGAGAATATAAGGAAGCATTGCACCCAAACCTCTTCACGAAGTCAACACGATAAAATCCGACATGTGCATACCTGTAACGAACATGTAGGAAGACCGCTTCACCATGAATATGAAGTCCGTCATAGCTGGAGAATACACCGCCCCGCCCGCACATGCCCCCATGATCAAAGACAGCTGCGGAATCGACCCCGAAGCATCCACGTTGCGTTGAAAAACGTCCGCGTATCCGGCGAGCGAATCAACCCCTTCTTGGATGCGCGCTCCCCCCGAGTCATTCAGCCCAATCACGGGGCACCCCAGCTAAAGACAGCCAGAAAATGAGAGAGAGACGGGGGGGGCATGTGACACCGAGTAAGATAACGGATGTTGTGTGTATCTGAACAACGATAGGAACTTTCATCTCTGATGTTCCCTAGCATTCCTGTGATTACATAAATCCTGCACACCACCATCTGAGGGATGCGGTAGGAAGCGTTAGTTACACGTATATGATTATCAGCAATTTTCTTTGGACGCAAAATAAGACGGCGCTAATACCGCTTTTTCATTATATTCTCCCTCGTTCTTGTAAATGTATGTACTACTCTGTCAACTGATGCTCTCTCGCTCTTGGGCCACGAGATATATTTGTACAACATGCGGGGCGCTCGTGGAAACCTGCAGTGCTTGGTCCATGATCTTGCATATCTTTTGGGCGTGGGTCTCGGAGAGGCTCCCCCCCATGACGGTGAAATCTTGGCTGAACACGAAGACAGTTCGCCCGTTGATCTCGCCTCGCCCCGTCACCTGCACCAAACAAGGAGTGCAAGCAATGGCGAAAGGATCTTGCATTGTCTTTGTAGTTCGTCCTTCTTGTATAATGATCTGATGATTGAAGAAGATTTGTACATGCAGCCTATGTGGGCTCCTTGCCACGCCTCTGGGCTTGCCTGAGACATGAAACAGGACGAAGAGAAACAAGCAAACACGTGCGCAAACGAGGTAGGCTAGTGTACGGGACTTTGGCATGTGCGATATATCGCATCACCTTGTGGTATTCTATGACATGTAAATCATGTCAAGCAGCAGCCTGATTGGATCGAAGAGAGAGGTGGTGCGCGTTATCGTGACCGTATGATGCATGCACCACAACACTGCAACCGAATGGAGTTGTTGCACGCATGTAGCTGAACGTTATTCCCAACGTCAGGACGGCTTTATTTCCAAGACAAACATCCCTCGACAAACAGCGCTACCGCTGTACTGTAGCATACTACTTGAGTAGATTTCTGTAGACAATAGTGCAAAAACTAATGGCCCAGGTGTGATGCTGGATGTTTTTGCAACAAATCTTCGACAACGAGTAAAGCGTTGATACGCACAGCAGCACCAGTGCGGTGCCCTTTGCGTGCATCGGCGGCGAAAGAGGAGGGAGGGGATTGTGTGTAGCCTTAAAGGAAGACGTCCACAATAGAGCCAGCGCAAATCGACGTTCCGCACTCGCTCTCACCACACCATCCCCCGGCACCAGGTCCTTCTCCATGCCGAAGTCCGTGCAGCGGTGGGTTTTGAGCATGTCGTACTCACGGAAAGACCCCGGGTCCAGCAACACTTCCAGCCTCTCTCTCGCCGACAGCTTTCCCCTCGAGTGCTGACGCTCCAGGCGGGCGTCGCCCCCCCCCGCCAGCGCGTGGCGCTTCGTTTCCTCCAGCTGCTCTCGAAACACTCGCTTTACTTCGGGGATATTGACAGCTTCTTCTCCCGCCGCTGCTGCTGCTGCTGCTGCTGCTGTTCCTGAAGAGCTGCTCCTCCTGGAAGGCTGCCTGCGGCTGCTGGCGACAACACATGGCCCTGGTGCTGCTGTGGGGTTGACCGACGGCGAGGAAGCCGCCTTGTTCAAGGTTGACGTTGATGTTGATGTTGATGTTGCTGGCGATACTTGCAGCGCGGCGTGCAAGACATGCCGCCCGCTGCTGAGCGCCGCCGTGCAAGTCTGGTAGGAGGGGGGAAGTGGTGAAGGTTCGATCAGGACTGTGGAGTATGGGCATGTTGTGGAGAGCGCTGAGGGCGGTGCCGTGGCAACCTCATGTCTAAGCGGCATTTGCCAGTCACTCCCGCCCGACAGCCTGATTACTCTCCTCGCATCCCTACAGTAGTAAATCGAGAAACATACATAGGAGCGGCAGCTTTGCGTGATGTGTCGATGCGCTTTCAGATATGGATGCATGTGCTATGTGCTGGCAGCCGGTGGGCAGCGGGTGACAAACGTTCACGTCTGTGCAAGAGCAAGAGAAAGCCTACAAGCGCGCGCTGCATCGCAAGTATGTCGGTGCGGTGAATCTCACTCTGCTGCTGTAGGCCTGGGTGTGGTTCTACTGTACGTACACGTGTTCTCGCAAGCTGCACGAAAGAAGGGCGCTGCTGCAGAAAGCTATGGGAACGACTGAACGGCTACCGTACGTGTCGATTCATCGACCCCATTGAACACACACGAAAGAGAGAGAGAGGCCCCGGGCCCAGGGCGGCGTGATAACTGCGTGGATACGATCATGTCCTGTGTTACCAATGGGAACCGGCAGCGGCCTGATTTTGACGCGAGCAGCGTCTTGAGCATGACAACTACTGTGCATGAATCACATACCTGATGCACCGATACGCCTCTCAGAGCTAACAGAGACCGAGCTGAAAGCATTGCTTTCAGCTTGAGGTGTCCGGCGTAGCAGGTCGCCCTTGCACTGCTTCACGGGCAACAGGGGAGCGCCCAAGTTCGCCATCTTAGGGGGTCTACAGACCGGATTTGTTTTTTATATCCCTTTGGGTGGGGTGGTTTTCACTTGTTTCACCTCAAATGCAAACCGGCCGAGGATGTGAATATCCAGACAGCAGCAGCAGTGGTTGCCGCACCCGCCCTTGTATTTCCAACTTTACCCGGGGCTCGCGTTGTGTTTTCTTTGTATAGGGGCGAACACGTAGGCTCCCCATAAGAGCTGTAGGTTGAGCGTACATCCGATGACGTAAGATACCATACACCCTGGACCATCAAGGCTCGCAGTTTAGTACACTCATACGTATGCTAGTGATGCCTACTGTACTCCGTACCAGAAAAAGTGGCGGCGCCGAAGAATGGCGGCGTTGGAACCACCTCGTTGGGAGCGTTCCGAAAACACATAAATTGATGTTACATCTGCTTCTAGGTGAATCGATCCAAGCATGATCAAGTGCACTATAGGTCGAGTCGAATATATTGTGTAGACTTCAGTTTGTTCAAGTCTACTCATCATAAGATCATCAGAAATTGGCAATACACAAGCCCGGAAGTCTGTCCGCCGAACGGATGGTTCTCCGGCTGGATATCAGAATCAGCACTTGACTTTCTGCTTGATCATACTGAAGTCTACCAAGTAAAGTACGATGTAGTCAAGCAAAGCAATGATCACACACACAACGGGGTATACGTTTGCATCGACAACACCTGTCCCGCTCAAAGCATGCTTGTGGAACGATCAGCCTCTTCACAGAATATCGACAATACAGATTGGGCTATACTAGAAGTAGTCTCTAGTAACTAAAATAGTGTTTCACATATGTACCATACGAAGTCTATGCAGTTACACCTATTCTATTCCCCTTTTAGCCCGCAGAGAATGCCCTTCGCGGGTGGAAGACGCACACCTCCTAGACACGTTGTTGCAAGTCCCAACGATCAGGGGTGGTTCTGGGTCTTCCAGGATGCCGCCCGGTATTGCTTGCAACTTACCACGTACTTGCGGGGACGACGAATAAGAGCCCAACCAAGCTCCTGCTACTTTTTCTGGCCACAACGATACCGGCCGGTAGAAATACTGCTAGCCACCAGCAGAATTTAGCCCTACTCATCAGAGTCATCCGAACAGAAAAAAACAGGATCCGGGGGAACCGAAGTACAACGAACAGCGCTGCCGCACCCTCGTCCTCTGGTCAAACCTGGTGCCCCCCCCCCCCCCAAAAAAAAAGCATGTATGTGCATGAAATCAAGCGACGATGACGAGTGTTGAACAAACGTGTGCAACCCCCGCGCGCACCAACATGTAAACGAGTTAACCGACCACCCTTTCGTGAAGAAAACGTACTAAAATAGCACATGCACGTAGATATGAAAATATGCCTCCAAGCATATTCCGAAAAAAATAGGTATGTATGCCCTCCACATCCTCTGTTCCTACAGTGTGGTGTGTGTACACACCAGCAAAACTGCATTCCAAGATGCGAAAGGACTAAAGGAAGTAAATATACGTATATGCAAAATACAGATGGTCTCTAAATTTTACTACCTGACGTACACGATCATGCGTCCCATCCATCGTTTCCCCCTCCATGAACGACTGCAAAGCGGCCAACAGTACCTCCAAGCAATCCGAATGCCAACGAGTCAGGTCTCTTTGTGTATGTGGTTGAATAATTGTCCCTAAATTGTTCGTTACAACGATAAAAAGAACGCAGCATACGCGTGATCTTTGCACAACCACGCATATGGCGTGATACTAAACAGAAAATACATAGACGAGGGGTCCAACGCACATCTTGACTTCCCCACGACTCCAAACATCACCTGGATACATTCCAATACATTCTAATCTCACCAAAACCGTGAAAAAACAAGCTTCCGTCGCTCGGAGATAGACCAAACCGTCAGCGGGGCTGAGAGGTAGTACAACTTTTCACGGGCGCCGCGTTCTTGTTGCTTCCTTATCAAAAAACACGTTTTGTTGCACTTGAAGCCACACCGGGAAATGGTTATCCGCTCGTGCTGGTCTTTGAAGTTCTCCGCGACTACGGCGGCGCCCCTATTGTCGCCCTCCGAGAAACATGCCTCGTACACGGCTTTGCCTGTCAGGCCCATTGCCGTCGATGCGATACCCATGGTGGCTGCCATCGACCTCCGCGTGGACCGACCTGTTCCCTGATATTGTGCCACCCTGCCCTTGTGCCATCACAATGGCATCTGGGTGTGAGTTATGATTTTTCGGCCAACTTCCGCGTGCCCACATAGAGCCTGTACCTCGATAGCCGCACCGTCGGCATCAGCAGCCCTAAATTGTTGTTCAACCTCCGGCAACGCTCCACACCATTTCTTATTCCCGTCTGATTGGGGTTTGAAGACTCTCCTTCAGCTTCTCTTTGCCGCAGCTTGCCAGATGTACGCCTCTCGTCCTCGCGGTCACCCACATGTTACCGACCGAAGGGAAGCCTGTGGCTTTGATAGTGGCGCAGCAATACCGGAAGCAATAATACGGGCTTTGTGTCATATCACCCCCAACCAGAGCTCCAGAAGTCGTCAAAGTCCGAACCCTCTCCCTTAGCGGGAACACAACGGATTTTCTTCCTGTCGCTCGCCGTGCTGCATGGGGTAACAACGCAACCGTCATGCATCATCGTCGTGATCAGAGGAGGCGGTTTCAGCTTCGTTTGCTTCTTCTCGTCGGTTGAGCGCATCACGCCGCTTTGGCTCCCGCCTTCGCCGCCGCTGGAAACTGAAGCCCCGGCGGCGCTCAGCGGCGCCGCGTTGTTCTTGGCCAAAGCTATTGGTGTCATGCTGAAAGCGCGAGGAGAGTGCACGCGTTGCAGCACCCGGTGCTGCCTTCCCTCCATCCCACCTCTGATCCGCCTTCCGCCTACGGTGGAGTTCCCTACCGGCTCTCTGTCCCCGCTCGGACTAGGAGGAGGGGGTGACCGAGGGCGAAACGTTATCTTCGTAGACGCTGGGCTCGGACGCGTCAAGACACGAGGGGGTGTTATCATATTGCTATCCTGGAACAGTGCCTTCCCACCCGAAGGTGCTATCGTTGGTGCTCCCCGGGACAGAGAAGGGCTGGCGGACACGGCCCGGCGCCCACCGCTGTCTTCGCCACCGCCCCCGCCGCCGCCGTCACCCCTTCCGGGTCTGCCACGATGGAACGCCAATGCGGCCCGCTCTCCGCGACGCACAGGCGAGAGAGCCCTTCGGCCACCTCTGGAATCCTTCCTCCCAGACCGCCGAACGAGATTGAGGCGGGCAAACGCCGGCGAAGTAACAGTAGGCCCTGCCGGGGTTCGCACGACGTCCATGAGGGCGTCCACGATGGCCGCAACGTCGGCGCGTCGGACGTAGATCAAAGGCTCGGTCCCGCACGTCGATGCCGCTCCAGCCAATCTCGTCAGGGCCTCCTCGAAGGGATTTCCCTGCGCACTGCTGGCGGTGTTGTTGGGGGTGGCAGCGGCAGGAGCGCTCTCTTGAGTTGACGTACCGGGTGCTTGACGCCGCACCCCGTCAGAACTCTTGTCGAAGAAGGCCTCTAGCTCGCCTGTGAGAAGCAGGTTCGCTGCCATCTCGCGTGACCTCGCGCTGTTGCCGTTCTCTGCCGATGAGAGGGCGTCTGGCCAGAACGACTTCGGCCGGCTCCTTGAGGGCCGGCGCCTTTTTGTCGGGACCAGATACACGGCGAGCGTGAAGAGAACCGCAGTTGTCCCTGGCGATCCTCCTTCGATCTGCAGGAACAGCCAGCACACCTGTTTCGACGAGGGGCATCGGGCGAATTCTGTCGTGGCCTGTCGGATGTTCTTCCAAATTATGTTGAGCAACAAGAAATTAAAAATGGCTGCACAGTTGTTAGAACTTTCCACACCATGTACGACTATAACTAAAGAACTAAATAGTTGGGTAAGGGTCCAACTACCCCGTAGTTGAACGGAATCAACTAGTCACCCAAGATTCTGAGCCGGTAGTTGAGTCAACCGAGATTCTGAGCCAGTAGTTGATTGGAATCAACTACAGTCACCCGAGATTTTCAGCCAGTAGTTTGATTGGAATCAACTAGTCACCCGAGATTCTGAGCAGATAGTTGATTGGAACCAACTAGCTACCCACGATGCTGAGCCGGTAGTTGATTGGAAACAACTTTTCGCCCAAGATTCTGAGCCAGCAAGTTGATTGGAATCAACTAGCCACCTCAGATTTTGAGCCAATAGTTGATTGGAATCAACTAAGCACCCGAGATTCTGACACCTGTGTTCGATTGGCAAAAGGTAGTCCGCACAAACACAAAAACAAATACACCGAGAACGAAGAGGCACCGAAGCGAAACAACTTTAACCGTTGGGTCAAGATCCAGTGGACACACCCTGCGCACACACACGAGACCCGAGCAACCATACCAGCTGTCCCTACGCCACTCTGGTGATGACCAGCAAAAAGACGGGAAAGGACGACTAAAGTCACGAAAGGGGTGGCGCGGAAGGGTGCCGGGGCCGGGTTGGGAGTGGATGTAGATGCGTACCAGTGCGGACTTGCTTTATTAAGGTTGGGTGAATCGAAAGAGATATGAATACAAAATGCTTCTCCTGTATCGCATAATATGTGCAGTCAGTGGAAGTCGAGTTCCCGGCGGTACCGGTGCTAGCGCAGGATTCTTGAATGTCTTAGCGCGTTTGCGATTAGACAAGCAGGCCTCAACTGAAAACTTGTTTGATTGTGGCGCTTGGGAAACGTACGCTATTGTAGATCGGCTCGGTTGTTGGCTCTTGCTGTGGTTCGCAACAATAAATGACAAAATTCCACCGTGGGAAATTCTTGTTTCTTTGGGAGTAGTTGGAAGATCAATGAGGCATTCCTTCTCCCATTCCTTCATATTTCATGTCTGAGGTCCGATACTGCTGTGTTTTGTGTTGGTGTTTCGACGTGGGATGAAGCGTGAGACGCACAACTTACAACCGAATACATTGATACTTTCGCATGAAACTCATGACGGGATACATACATAACGTGTTTCAACGCACAGCACAAAAACGAAGTTGCATAGTTTTTTGTGCACTGATCACACTCGTTGCATTTCATCTAACATCCCATACTTTGCATGGCCTGACGTTCATGGCCGACAGACAACGATTAACCATTGCTTTTACCATTCACAGCGTTAACATTTACATCCGGTAGTCATCCGCTGGCGACAACCCCAACAAATAGTTGGGTAAGGGTTCAACTACCAACAAGTCACCCGAGATTCTGAGCCGGTAGTTGATTGGAATCAACTACAGTCGTGGTCCCGGTGTAGCGATTCCTTGTGCAGCGGGATGCCCTGAATACTGGTTATAACATCTCGTGACACGGCTGCACGCTGGCTTAGCGGTCAACCGCTAAACCAATCGTGCCATCAATAGCCGTTTTTGGGCATGTATTCAGTCACCAATAGCAGTTATCGGTTCAATTGTTGCGGACACCCAGCGCGCGCTTCGCTTGCACACACTCATAGCACACAGCGACATTGGTCAGCCAGGTAGCGTGGTCGATGCTCAAAATACAGAGCCCGCAGTGAGGCACATACACACCATGCGGTGCGCAGATGGAGAACAGTGCAAGCTGCCAGATACGGCACTGAGTCCAAGCGGCGCTCACGATTGTAAAGGTGTGGCTGTGGTGGCCGTATGCACGGCATGTGCGGAGAGGCGGAGAATCCAGATGGCAACGAGATGCACCGCATTTTCCACCAGTGTGCACTCAAGAAGGCGTAGAGTTCCCTTCGCGTCTCAAATCCACCCACGCGCAAAGAGGTGCAAGGTGGCTTTCTAGCTACAGGCGCGGGGAAACAACCAACTCGCGCAGCAGGTACACAACAGCCCCGCACGCGACTCAACGTTGGCCAGATACTTGAGGTTTTGGAGCTTCTTGACCAGAAGGTAGGGCACTCAGAAAGGAAGGATCGCCGAAGCTTTGGAAGGATGCGAATGACGAGATCGTTGAGAAGTTGTCCAGTATGTACATGGAGGGGCCAACCACCTGCAAAGACGACCTAGAGCTAGAGCTAGGTAGCACGACAGAAGTTGACGGTGTGAACGGCAGGGGGGTGACGGCACCACCGCCATACTCGGAGCTATCGTCGGATTTTGGCCACCTTGATCAGTGCGCGGAGTCGTATGGCGTGAGCGAGGCAGCACACTATCTTCTCAAGGCAAAAATGGCGTTCCTCGCAGCGCACGCCGCTCAACCAGCGCGCCAGGCAGATATATGAGAGATGTTGGGTTAGGCATGATCGATACACGCGACAAATAGCAGAAATGAAATGCTCAAGCACGTGGTTGGTTGCCATTGCGTTGTCACGAATTTGCCCCATGTTCGTTACAGACGCGAACGATTTTCCAGTCTTGACGAAGGGCATACACTCCAGAACGGAGCACAAGCTTTGTACTTTCGTGAATATTAATGCACTTGCTGTGTTGTCCTCCTGCATCTTCGTATGACTGCTGCAATGAGACACATGCATGGCCCTATCAAGATTATGAGCTTTCGACGCTGCTCTTGCTTGGCAAAAATGGGCTTTTCCCCGGTTAAGCGGTCCATAACCGCGTAAGAGGTTTGGAGGCGATGTCCTGAATAGGTCCTGAATAGCGGTTATATTATTTCGTGACCCTGCTGTGGACCGCTAAACCGGGACCACGACTGTAGTCGCCCAAGATTCTGAGCCAGCAGTTGATTGGAATCAACTAGTCACACATGCTTCCGAGCCAGTAGCCAGACAAATACAACTATCAACTGTCGTAGTTGTACAGGGTGTGGAGATATTGGTAGTCCAATCGCCACCAAGACTAACGGGTAACCGCTTATATTCTAAAGTTGCTTCTGGGCACCTTCAAGGTGTGACTCTTACAGGTTCCAACCACGGGGGATTCGGGCGGAGTATACCATCGATTGCATAAGATGCCACACCCCCCGGACCGATTTTTTATAAAGCGCGGTGCGCTACAGCAAGAACAACGACAGTGCCGAACATGGCGGTGTTGGAACCGTCCCGTCGATAGATTTTCGAAAATGTGTTGTTTAACCTCTTGGTCGTTGGGTATTTGAGCTTAGAAATCGGCCCAGGGGGTGTGGTATCTTTTGCAACTTGTACGGCGACCGACCTTACAGCCCATGTAGGGGAACGGCATGCCCCGTGCACCAGCACATCGGGCTACTTGCGCGCGAGTCTCGAGAAAAGGTTGATCTTTAACCCTCCGTGTATCTTGTATCTTCGCGATCTTTTTCCACGAACGCGACACCTACACATGTCTGATGCTGTAAAGTCTATGTTAGTCGTATGTATTTGTTTTGCAAACCAACTACTGGGTCCGAATCCTGATCAACTACAAGTAGCTGAATCCAACCAACTACTGGCTCAGAATGTTGTAGTCTTGGGCGATTATATAATACAAGTACCTCGTAGCAATTTGGGTTGTTGGCAGCGGAAAACATACTACCGGATGAAAATGTGCTATGAATTGGTTAGGCTAATGTTTGTTCCTGCAGACGAATCGGTTCAAAACATTTTTGCATTTTTGTTGGTCATCATCAGCTGGTGCTGGTGTAGGGACAGAAGACATGTTGCGCTCGGGTGTTGCGCATGGTGTGAACGTGTGCACCCATTTATGCATTTATGTCAGCTGGATCTTCACCCAACGGTCCACAACAACTGATGTACCAAAATGGTTGCGCCTCGGTGCCTCTTGATTCTCGGGGCCCAGAATTTTGGGCTACTGCCGTGTTTTTTTTTTCTTTCGAAAGCACCTTCCCAACATAACATATATGAGACGCACAAGACATCTACCAAACTGTTTTGTTGAGCCTGTTACCCGCAGGGGAGATGTCCCTATATGCTGTCTGGGAAATCGTAGACATACAGGCAGCTTTTTCTGACGCTATCAATTCATTGCTAATCTGTCTCTGACTCTTTTCTATGATAGAGATGGATTCGTTGTGTGATACTAAGAAAAATACATAAAAAAGACCACACAAATCCTTCTCCACAGATAAAGAGTCCGTCGTAGATCAGCCATGAATTTTTATTGTTGCATGGTGACCAAGTTAGAAGAATATTGTACGGTTCCCCAAGCAGCATCCAACCAACTACTGGATGAGAACCTCCACAATCTTGTCCGACGGTAGGTGGTTGTTTACTACTGTCTGTCACTACCGGGAAGTTTAACCCTACACCCAACAAAGAGTACAATAGTCGAATTTGTTACGTACTGCTGTAGCTGTAGGGTGACAAGGCCAGAGTCGCTGGATCTGTTCAGGCCCAAACACCAACGCCAACCGATCACGAGGAACAAACCACAACATGTAGCTGGGTTGTACAGAAGTAGCTCCCAGCCATCTTTTGCTGCATGCTGTATCGCATTACAGCAGGTATGCAGGAGGTCCAATAAAAGGCAGCACATTTACCAGTGACGAGGGATGGTACTTGGCCGGCCTTGTACCGGGCTTGTACCCGGCGCCCGACGGTACACCGACCATGTATCAGAGCGTGAGACAACACGAACATTCCATCTTTGTCACACCATTCCACCGGTCATATACAGGGACCACTAGCACTGCTGTACCAACAGCCACCAGTTTGGACGGTGCGTACGTCAGAGCCAAAGGAATACGGACGGTGCTATGGATGCGTGATCAGAGCGAAGAGTTGACAACATGTGTATTCTTCCGTTCCTATGTGTAACCGCACAATTACAGCAGTACCTTACGCGCGTCTCTCGACAAGACCACAAAATGGGAGGGGGGCAACACGACCAGGACACGGAAAACACCATGCGTGCATGCAGGCGAAGAGGGTCGGGGATCGCAAGGGAAGACAGACAGATGCCGGTACTGCCCTGTGCATCACCATGCACGCACCCGCAGGCGATGCCACTGCGGCTGCTGTTGTTGGCATAAGTTCAACCCCCGACTCACACACGTGCACACGACATTAATACCAACGGCTGAGTTTGCATGCTGTAGTTGGCAGGCTGAGAAAGGACACCAATAACGAGTGCAACCAACAAGACCTCCTTCACGATTGCCTCCACACTACGACAACAAACGGCAGCATGAACAGCGGTAGTTGGTTGTCAGCCAAAGGTTGGGAGGTGGTCACGTTTGAAGAGGCACCACGCAGGCGTTGTGTTATTTTACATGCTTCGATTCGTTACCACACCAAACTGACATATGGGTTCTCAGTCTCAAGGCGCCTTTTGCCCGGTAACGGTGACCCAGGCAGGCCAAATGCATAGTCTGTATTCGCTCACCGACACGATGACCAGCTGCAACACCTTCGCCTGCTCTCCCTTGCTCCATGCGGCGCAATTCCAGCCTGATGACACCATTGCGTTCGGTGGCGCGACGCAAAATTGATCTCTACTGCTCGTGCGCCTCCTGTGAATCGAGAGCTAGAGTGAGCCACCCGTTCCCAAGGCCTGCAGAGGCACAATGCACCCTGTCGCGTGTCGGTCTCCTTCGCCGCGCTCCGAACAAAACGGCCAACTGCCACGCCTCGCTGCTCTCGAAGACAGTTGTGGGCCAAAAGTGGGGCCACGAGGGGGTCCCGCATTTTGGAACATTTACAAAAATGTAACGGCAATTTTTCAATTTTCAATTTTTTTAGGATAAAAAAAAACACAACCGCCCTTGTGCCTCATACATCACACACAGAAAATAACTTGATGACGAACAAGTACACACCCCGAGACGCGCTTGCTCCGCAACCACATAAGGGTGCTATAAATAGCACACCCGACAAACCGATTTCCCCTAAATCTTCCGTCTATAACTTCCCAACATAACATGCAGATAGATAGACAAGATGGCTATACCAAACTGCCTTGTTGAGCCTGTTACCCACAGGGGAGATGTCGCTGTGTGCTGTTCGGGAAATCGTAGACACACAGATAGCCCTTCGCTGACGCTATGGATTCATTGCTAATCTATCTTAGACTTTTTTCTGTAGATAGAGATGGATTTATTGTGTTATAGTAAGAAAATATTAAGAAAAAATAAAAAAAATAAAAAAAAAATAAAAACACGGAAGACTACCCATTCGATTTCCAAGAGCTCGACCGACAGCCAGAGGAGAACTGAACCCGTGAGCACATACATACGTCCTTGGATTGGATCCAGAGAGATTGCGGTTTGCCTTGCCTTGCAGCAGTACGGCGGTCGCTTCAAAAGATGTTCCGACGCCGGGGAGGAGCAGGATATCAAAGGCTGAGAGTCGCTGCAACCGACTCCACCCACCACGATGTAGGCGTGACGTACCGAGAGAATCCGAGCGCTGATCGCAGCAGGTATGCAAGCGAGATAAGCTCGAGCCTTTCATTGCAGATCCTCATCTACTACAACGGCCTACTCTCGCTGATATACTTCGTCTTAGGAGGAGGGCTCGTCATCGAGAAGGTGGGTGTTCTGCTACCAAGTGGTCCTCCGATATTGTATGGACGAACGGTATTTATTTGTGCAGTCCGTGCTCTACCTATGTACATTATGTGCATGCGTACATCGGCGGCTGTTGTTTCCTTTGGAAGGTGCACCCTAGTCTAGACTACTACATCGATTACCAAAGCGGCGCAAGTAGTATTTCTAAGTGTGTACATGATGCGTGCTTCTAGTGAGGCCTGCTGTTTGCCTGTGCGGCATGTTGTTGATGTTGTTTATCAGCTAGAATTCGAGAACGGGAGGCAAGCATCCCAGGAGAGGGAAAAGGGCGAGACCTCCTGGTGCCTGTATAAACCAGGTGGTGCGTTAAACGTATCCCGGAAGGTGTAAAAGACTGGCACCCAGAGTGGATGGCACAAAACACGGAGTATTTGATTGCTTGTTCCGCCCATGAGCGAAGAACTGGGATTGAAATATGATACACATCATCAAGCCGCGATCTCTGGTGAACAGGCTCAACGGGGGATCCGCCAAAGTCATCTTCTATGCTATCCTTCTACCTGGAGACTGTACTACTGTAGGTCTATGTACACAGTAGCGGTGAATGTACCCCGACCTACAAGTAGGAGGAAAAGGGTAAACACACGCGAGTTTACTGTCTTGATTTGTTTGTGTTTATTGCGGTTGGCCTCGCCTGTCGAATGGGGGCGGTGGACTCCGGCATCGATCCCACATTTCCCTTAGAGTTGTTACAACGCGTACCATTCTGGAGGTGGTTCGCCTGTGTACACGGAAGGCGTTCGCGTCAGTTGTGTAGACCAGAACGGATGTTACTGAGCAAAGGTCGGGACCGTTAACAACAATCAAAACGGCGACGGCGACGACGACGACGACGACGACGGCTTTTCACCAAATCCCGCCTCGCTGAGTTTCCCCCCGGCCGGGCTTTCGTAATTGTCCGACAATCGCTTGGTTTATATTTCCCATGTGTAGTCAGGGCGTGCATTGGGGGGGAAATCACGATTTGACGGGAACGGTGGCTCCATTCACAAATTTTCCTACCACCATTCCCGTGCTCGCAGCTTTACAACTACAGGTTCGAGTCGGAGCTTCAACGAACAGTGTTGGCACCGATCTTTATTAGCTGGGCCATTGCGGAGGTGCATCGATTTTACTTTGGATATAAGGGAAACATCAAAGAAATGGTGAGGAAGATCGCCAACGTTCGTCCAGTTGTGCTTTGTACGAACGTTGCCGGCATATGGGGGCTTACGGTAGGGGCGTGTGTATACTCACCCAACTACTGTAGTGGTACACAGGCCATATGACGGCACGCTGAGCTCTCCAGGAGCCCCACCCGTGTTTGGTGGATATGATGGGCTGCTACGCCATTTCATGGGTCTGTGTCATGGCGAGATATCTACAACGTGTCAGTTTTGGTTATTGTCTTCTTCGTTGCCTGACGGGTTTTGGGCATCATTCCCGACACCGGTACCACCCTGGAGCGCCTTTGCTTAGTTTTGAAGAAACGTCTATTCTTCCTCTTGTTCTCTGGCCAGGTACCGCACATGTGTGCCTTCCTGTTGATGACCGTGTTTCCACAGATGTTCTGCCTTGCCTTCTTGGCGTTTTTCCAAGAGCACCAATTTCCCGTCGATCCGATTCTTGGAGCAATCCACATCGCGTTCTTGGTGAGTCATCGATTCAACGCATGTGCCCACGTGCGTGAACATGAACGTACGGCCTGTTGTTTTTGGGATGACAAAACGTTTGCACTACGTTCACAACGCGTTGATCGGGACGATGAAACATGCTGGGTGACACATACGAACATTGTCAGATGCTGCTGTAGATCAGGCAGCGTATAGCTTGTTGGCACGACAAGGAGGAAAATAAGGGCACGAGAAGTATCCATGCCAACGAGAACGACACACAGAGCATTTGCCCAACTGGTCGCTATGGGAAGCACAATCTCGTGAGTTGTCAAAGTGTCATGTCTGCCAGGTTGTCCGTGTCTACCTTATGGTACGTGCCCCCATAATTCGTAACCCCCCCCGCTTCGGTTCCATCCTCTGATCGACTGGAAGTTGACTGGAAGTTGGCTATAGACAGACACGTGAACGGCTCTCCACGTCAACCGTAGAAGACGTGAGCAATACATGTATCCTTGCGGTTCAAACCCCCAATTCCCTTCCCCCGCTCGCCGTCTGCCGTCCGGCCCAGGCATCCGAAACAATTGTTGGCTACAATGGGATCAAGGCAATAATCAACAAAAGGACCGCGCAGTTCTTCCGCGTAGCGCAGGAAGAGTACCTTCTGCGGCCAGCGAGCGAGGAGCACGCACGGCTTTTGTAGCACACCGTTGGACGTCGGTAAACGTTTGCTAGAAAAACCCGAAAGAATTTGTAACACAGCGTGGAAGGAGGATCGACCCTCCTAACCCTCCTACTGTCGCTCGATGATATTTTGCGTGTACTAGGGTATTCAGGGTTCGCTCGACTCTGTTCGTGCGGAAACATGTCGTCATATTCGTGTCTGCTTGGTTTGTCCCAATTCAATTTTCATGGTCCAAGCAGCTTACTGGGGGCGTATGCAGACTTTGGAACTACCTTACCACGTCATGTGGTATAACGTTATAAGTTTACCCAATGTTGGTTGGCATATGTTACATGCAAAGAAACTGGAGGCGGCCACCGCTTTAATCTGAGAAGGGTCGGGGGGGGATGCGGGTAGCGAGGCACCTACGACGCGACGATCGAGAGGTCACTATGGATATCTAAATTTCCATCGCCTATCGTTGAGTCTTCCCCAACGTAGTCGTACCGGATCCATTCTCAACGATATGTAAAACATGTATGGTGGAATCGGTTCGTCACGCCTGGCGGCGTAAGCCGCCCAAACCCTTTGTAGTCGCTACGCTTTGTATTGTAAGTTGTGGGCAGCTTCGATGACCACCTTGTCACGCGCTGCTTGCTTCATGTATGACAGAAACGCAGCCGAGGGACTTCGTACAGTATCCTTCGTTGTGGCGATGAAAAGACGGTAGAAGATGTGACGGTGTTCCGAACAAGTCAACCCTTGCCTGGTGTTGCATTTCCTTGTCTGGTGTTGAAAAGGGCACGACAGTGAACAAGCCTGAATGTCCGTGTTTATTTGTCTCTTCGGCAATTGATAGTGAGCAATCTCCCCGATCCGGGTAGGAACTGCGAAAGTTCGAATACCAGACGCACGCGTAGAGTGCACAGGAGGCCGGACTTTGGGCGGCGCGTCACACCCAAACATAGCCCAAGCTTGACACCACCAGCACCGCCGGTAGTGTTTTCCCCTCATCCAATCGCCGTCGACCCGAGCTACACGGCACAAATAGAGGCTACGTACTGTGCAGGAAGACGCCAAAAAATGCCCTGGGAGCTTCATCGTGTTGGCAACGACGACGAGCTTCGCACGCAGAGTATTTTGTAGATCGGTGTTCACCGCCGTCACACCTGCAACACGAGACAGGTATTTCCAAGAGCACTAGGCTATCTCGGGTTGCACTATGTTTCGAGACAACTACTTTAACTAAGCCTCTCGTTCACGAACGAGTTTTAGCAGACGCTCCAGGCTGTTCCGAGTGTCGACCGTGGAATGGTGACTTTCCCCCAGCTTCTTTCGAAAGATACAGGATGCCCTCTCCAGAAATGGAACAGCCTCCTTGTACTCGCCCTGCGGATGTTGGAGATGCGAGGTTTCAAAATTCAATGCCGTGCGTATGAGGTATATGTGAACGTGACTTTGCTCTGGCATATACTCGAAAGAGCGGCAGAAACGCTTCTCATGTTTGTCTGGATCCAAAGTTGTGGGGAAGCATGTTCCAAGCACTCGGTTGTTGAGAAATGCACCATTCAATAAAAATTGCAAACACCACGTACCTTGAACGACCCCGCCGGCCACCCGGCTGTTGAGCAACGACATTCCCAGCATTCTAAATCCAACATCGCTCTCCCTGGTCGATAGTCCTAAAAAATCCAACGGCGCTGACTCTCCAACTCTCCAACACCACCGCACGGTTGTTGATAGCTCAAAACTGCAAAGAATATCACAGAAACACTTCCTGGAATATCGAAAAGGCCCTCACCTGCTTGTACAACAGCCCCGCCCGGTTGTTGAGCGTCGTGGCCAAACTCGGGTGCTCAGACCCTAAAACCTTCTCCTCGATTGCCTGGCATCGTTCATAGACCGGCTCCGCCTCTGCATACTTGCCCTGCACATGCTCAAAAGCGCGGCAGAAGAGAAGTAATTCAGCAAAAGGCTGGACCTGAAGCATTATTTCAACGCCGGTTTATTCGCAGCACCCACATAGCAACGCTCGAATACTTTCAAGCGGAACTCTACCCGTTCCCACCTGTGCCCTTAGCAATTCGGCCCCCCGATTGTTGAACAGTGGCATATCCACCACATCAGAGTGTTATTCTAAACCCCTTCACTGTCCCTGCCCCGAAGGAAACGATTCAGAAAATCTTAAGGCTCTCACCTGCTCGTACAACAGCCCCGCCCGGTTGTTGAGCGTCCTGGCCAAACTCGGGTGCTCAGGCCCTAAAACGCTCTCCTCGATTGCTTGACACCGCTCATAGAGCGGTTCCGCCTCTGCATATTTGCCCTGGTACATACTCGAAAGTGCGGCAGCATAGTATTTCAGCGAAAGGCGGGATCTGAAGCATTCTTTCTACGCCGGGTTGTTGCGCAGTACACCCACATAGCAACGCTCGAAACCATACCAGCGGAATTCTACCCATTCCCAACTGTGCCCTCAACAACTCCGCTGTCCGGTTGTTGAACGGTGCCATATCCACCACTTGAGAGAGTTTTACTCGAAATCCCTTAAATCTCCCTGCCCCGAAGGAAACGCCAACGACTCTCACCTGACACTCCAACAACCTCGCCCCGTTATTGAGCGCTGTTGCCACTGTCGGATGCTCCGGACCTAATGCTGCCTTCCAGATCTCTGTTGCCCGTTCATTCAGGGGCACGGCGTCGACGAACTTGCCCTGCAGGACCACGTGTTGGCGGGGGGCTTTAAAACACTGCCGAAATGGCTCAAAAAATTGAATGAAAAACCACAAAGAAACATCCGGAATAATTCCTTCGACCTGCTGGTACACGGTTGTCGAGAACGACAACATCCGCAGACACCCACAAAGAGCCATACTCACTTGATGTTTAGCGATTCTCACCTGTTTGGTTAACAAATCAGCCCTGTTGTTAAGCACTGCCGCCACCGCAGGGTGATCGGGTCCTAGAGCTTTCTCGCGGATGGCAAGGGAACGCATGTACAATCTCCCGGCTTCGTCGTATTTGCCCTGGGGTATGGCGAAAACGTCCGCAAGGAAAATGGTCAAGACAAGACGCGTGGGGGAACAAGCTCAGGATCGAGCCGCACTTTCTCCACTCTCAGTACATCGCGGTGTAGTGACAGACAAAAGCCACCGCATTATGTCGGGAACCGTACTACCTATTGGGGGGAAGGTCCCTGAGCAGTCTTCTCGTCGTGGTCTAGGGTGTTGTGCCAAGGAATACTACCGCAATATATCGGGACCACTACAGCATTCGAAGATACCTAGGATCGACCTTGCACAGCAAATTGGTTGTTGTTGTTAAAAAGGGTCCACCAGAGAAACCTTACCCAACAAAGGCGGATCCTGTAATATTTTATCATTTTCTCACCTGCGCAGTCAACAATCCCGCCTGGCAATTGAGCACTGTTGCCACCGCCGGGTGATCCAGTCCAAGGGCTTTCTCGCGGATGGCAAGGCAACGTTCGAACAACGGCTCGGCTTCATTGAACCTGCCCTGGAAGGCCGCGAAAAGACGGGAGATTGTCTGTGGTGAAGACCAGAACTACGGAGTAATTTTTGCGGACAACCACGCCCGTTGCCAATGGGCACTGAAAGCCCACAACATACCACAAGATTATTGCCTGGAACTTCTGACGGGTCTCACCTGTTTGTGTAACAACCCCGCGAGGTTGTTGAGCCACGTAGCAAGATCCGGGTGCTCTTTGCCCAGTACCTTCTCTCCGATAGCAATAGCCCTAACGTACAAAGGTTCCGCCTCGCCGAACTTGCCCTAGAAGGTGAGAGAAACAAGGAATAACAATATGCCCTATTATTATAGTAGAACACCTACGTCAACAATGCCCGGCTGTCAAGCGTTGTTGTCGCATCGGTACCCACTGCCCGTTCGCGGATGGGGAGTGGACGCTCAATCAACGGGCCAGCTCCACCGTATTGGCCGTGGTATTCGACGGAAGACATTGAACAGAATTGTGTCAAAACAAGATGCGGAGGAACAGTGCCAAAAAAAACGGTTGCTGAATGCTGTTGCCACTGTTTGGTGCAAACGTTAGACCGCCATCCAAATCGCCGTAGCCCGTTCGTTCAGAGGAAGTATTTTCCCTGCCGGAAATTTCTGGCCCACAGAGCCAGCTGGAGTTCCATTTGATAAGTGGAACAGCAGAGTTACCCTATCGACATAGTTTGGGCCCAAGAGTGTCACCTGGAGTCAATACAAATATGGCGGTGGTGGAGTTGATACTTGAGCGGGCAACCGCAAGAAATTTCTGGAAACATCTGACAGCTCTCACCTGTGCTCTCAACAACTCGGCCCGATTGTTGAGGCGAATAGCAACATCGGGGTGGTCAGGGCCCAACGTATCCTCCCCCATCTCAATGTCTCGAAGGCACAGACGGTCGGCCTCAACATACTTGCCCTGGAAACAAACGTGGACAACGCAAAAGGAGAGTATTATCGGGATGTACTTTTTGCTGCGGAGGCACAAAAACCCTACAACCACGCGGTGCTATTGAGGCATACTCCCACGGGCGGATGGTCAGGGCCCAGCATCTACTCCGCAATCTGTTTTGCAGGCGCGGATGTTTTTTTCTTCAGACGTGCACTGAACAGCGACAGGGAACGCACATATCGAAGGGAAGCCAAACTTACTGCGGAGGAAAAATGCTCAGAAACCGCGTGTGGCTATTGCGCATTGTGGCTCAGTTGGAATTATGATCGATCGCCGACGATTGCAACAAGAATCCCGGGGTGTACGCGGGGGGTCTGCCTCTTCATTCTGCTCTGGAACGCGGGCGGAAAACGATAGGTGTGTGGTCAAGCCCAGGGAAGCACTGCACAGGGGGGGGAGGTGCTTTGAGAACTTCTAACACCTATGCGAGCTGATATACACGCTGAGGCGCAGTTCGACCTCAGTTCACGCCTTCTAATTTACTTGGCCCTGTAAGAACCCTGAGCCTACTTGTTGACGAAAATTGTCTCCGTTTGCTCGATGAAACCTGGTTTCAACCAACAAGTAGCAAAAAAAGAGAAACGGGTGTCGCGGCCTACGGAGTGAGAAGATGCGCATGCGTACAACCTGTCAGGCGATCTTTCAACCAATCCTGGAAATGCGTTGTGGTTGAAATGCTCACACGCTACCTGTTCTAGCAGAACAGACCCGAGGTTCGATCTGGCCGTATTTACGCCGAGCAACGCCCGTCTGGATTTATTGCTGTCGTCGTCAACCCCCTGTTTGTCGTTCTCGGCCTCCGATAGTTGCTGGTACATTAACGGAGCACAAACCGTCCACAATTGGTTAGATGTTAGTCACACATGGAAGGAATGTGGACGCCGAAGCCTGGCGGCGTCCCTCGTCCTAACGACAGGTGTTGGGAAGGTGTTGCTATACTATTTCTCACATGACAAGACCCGACCTGAATACACCAAGAAATTTGTCAGCCAACATATTCCGCTTTGGAGAAGGGCAAAACAGGTTGTTGGTTATGGTGGTGTCCTATCGGAAAATCGTCGGCGCTGAGAGCGACTGTGAGCAATCCCACACAGCTCTGGCTTACGAATAAAGATGAATCTCAGCGAATTATGTGCCACAAAACCTTCTACACGGGTAACTTGGGAGGTTGAGTTGCTCAGCTCGGCGACAGAGCGGCAGACACAAACGTTAAAACGAATCTCACACGGAAGCGTAGTCCTAGTCGTCTTGCTTTAAGTCAGCGAAGGAAGTCAACAAGGGTTGAATTCTGTGCCCCCAGCGCTCTACAAGAAAACAAATACTTTAGATATTTCTAGTCTATGGCACACGTTGGCTGTAGACGTACGCAAATGGGCCTGCAGTGTTGAAAAGGAGCCCTGAGAAAGCATGGGCAAAGTTGTACTCAACCTGTCTGAGGCCCTCCTCGGCCTTGTGGTACTGTCCAGAAGCGAGGAGCAATTCCGGCAAACAGTATCCAGTTCTACACCAGTCCTGACGAGCCAAGCGGATCATCTCCTCCGTAACCTCGCGAGATAGGGTGCTGAAAAGGTCGGTAGCGCGCATTTTCGAGGTTACCTTGAGGTCTCTCGCCCACTCGTACACAGCGTGTTGGTCGCTTTTTAGTACGGAGAAATCGCCGAGGTGGAGCTGAATCTCGCATAGGTGTTCGTTCACGACGGGATTGACTTTCACATCCCGGTAACCGCTGGGCATCCAGTCGTTTTTGAAGCCGTTTGTCACCCGTCGTACATCCTATAGGAGGCATTTCAGAAGCAAGTAGCAAGCAACAGACGTACCGAAGGGGTGTGGAGACGTGCCACCGCGGTTCTGCCACTTTGGCACAAGGGACATACGCCTCGGCGTCTAAGGTAACCGAGGAAACGAGATTAAGCTCTGCGAAGCATGCAGTTCTACCAAAAGTGAGTAAGTAAACGGAATTGAAAGACAAGTAAGGAGGTGAACGCTTGGTTGAAGAGTGGAAAAGGCGCTGGGGTTTCGCAAGGCCGCGCTATATGCGTCATGAAGTGTACGTCGTGGAGTAATGTCAACGGTAGGGCGGGTCCTGCTGGGCAAATGGAATTGGGGAAAGGAAGGCGGACCTGTCTTGTCAGTCGACCGGAGGACCAACTCGCATAAAAACTTACCACGGCAAATGGTACACAATGTCAGGATATACGTACAATAGAGCTGATGTAATAGGCAATCGTCAATATGCTCCCGAAGCAATCGGTACCAAACAACCCGGTGCATCTCGGTCATTGTCCACGATCACTACTATTTCGCAAGACAAAGCAGCACGAGGGGTTATTTTTCAGTTTTCCAAAGTTGCCTCAGGTACCCAAGTAAAAGATCAAGCAGCAACGAACAGCAAGCAACAGCACCCACGAAAGCGAACTTGGAAGGCCTCATTTCTAGAGTTGCGAATCGTCCGCAAATCTGCAGACATATATATCTCACCATGGACCCCATGATATCCGAGTACACCTGCTGCAAGTCCTCCGGTGTGAGACAGATCACAGTCACCCGAGCCATGTCAGTAACCTTTCGGACGTCACCGTCATATAACCTCCTGACCTTCCGTTGCGTGCTTTCCCACGACTTGACCTCCACGTACTGAACCTCGTATCTCCCCCAGTCGTCCGCTAAGTTCGTTATGATCTCGTCCAAACGCTGCTTTGCCAGCTCAGCGTCGGCAAGGTAGAATTCTAGCTGTTTCGCAAGTCGAACGTCCTCATCGACGCAGCCGTATAACTCCAAGGCCTTGGGCTGGGAGAAGTCCTTCGACCGAAACGGGGCGATGTCGCGAAGACATTCGAGCCCTCCCTCCTTGTCGAGCTCGTAGTACAAGGTGTCGTACGCTGCTTCGAACAGCAGTACCGTCTGGATTTGAAGGTACTTGAGAAGATTCACCTTGGCGCCTCGAACAACAGGCGGTGTTACACTGTCACATGACTTTTTGAGCTCGGCCTCAAGGCGAATAAGATCCTTGATGTCGACCTTCATCTGAGGTACAACACGAGTAAGAAGAGAAACACATTACCGAACAGCGGCCCGTACAGTGTCACCGCGAAGGCCGCTAGAAGGATGTCCAGGTCGTGGCAGTATTGACCCTCTCCGTTGGGTATTGACCCTCTCCGTTGGGCAGGCAGTCTTCTTTCGTGAGATATAGCAAGGCAAGGAGAAGCTCAAAAGAGCGAGAGTCTACATGGCGGTGAGAGGGCCGGGTAGGCAACCCAAACAACTCCCGCTGCTCGCCTAGCGGCTTTGGAAGAGCCGAATCTAATCCCAACGGTTAACAAGATACCACCAGATCATACAATCTTCCAGAACGCTTCTCCGTTGTAGGGAGTCTGTTGAAGTCAATCTCAAAGAGAGAAGCCAGAAAACATGGTACTTGTGAGGACGTCTGTGGGTGACACAAACTAAAAATGATCAAAGTGGCGTTGTTCACCAGTAACACGAGCACCCACCATCCGCTGCAGTGTTTTTTTTTGTAGAATTCCTGGTCATGGATGTAAGAGAGGCAGACAATAGCATCATGACAAAACAGGGTACTTGTTTTATTCCATCCCTACATTGTACAGATAAACTGGCCTTGCGTGTCTGGCCTTGCGTGTCTCGTGAGGGAATGCTGGGTGCTCCCTCTCAGGATCGAAAAAACGAAGTGGTCATCATCGATCGCAAAATTTAGAAGTACTTCGTATTTTTTGCGGGCCCGTTCTGCAATAAACGCCACCACCAGTGAGTGTAAGAGGTCACTGCTGGAAAGTGTCGTAGGTGCCACAAGTAGTGCAGTCTTGGTGGCGTGGAATGAGGCAGAGACTGCGTCGCGACCGTACTTGAAGTCCGTCGAGGACACGTGCAGACCACCTAACCTGCGACGTTTCGACCCATCCATCTCATGAAGCCGCACTGCTGTTGTTGCACTGCTGCTGTTGTTGCAAATCGCAAAAAATATGCAACCGTTTGGACGCACCAAATGAAAACAATCATGACTTCGGCGGCATACTAGCTTGTCGTGCCACGCGCGAAACTTGAAAGGGGGAGGTGCACGCAAAACCAAGATGAACCGTAACCGTTTCACCAGGCTGCGCCCGAGTCCTACCGAGAGCTGCAAGGAAGGATAAGGATAGGTTTCTGAAAGAGTGCACAAAAAAATAACAAAAGCACGGTAGACGGGCCTCCCCGACTCTCACCTAATCTGACGCGCGATTTGCGAGCACGACAGATGCGCGGTGGGGCTGGAAAAAAGTCAGACGAAGCACTGACCTGTGAAACGGGTGCGGAGTCAGTGCGGAGAGTCTAAGTGTCGGTCGGTGGCTCCGTGATGGAGACAACCCCTCCCCCCATCGACCTCAAAACACGGAAGAGAAGCCCCCTGCAGCGCATCCACTAATGTCCACTCCCGTATCACATCACAGATCATACCATACGACGGTGAGGCAAGGCTTGCACACGACCTGCGTACGGTGTGGCTAGATTCCACGGCCTTCCTGCTGGTGCTGGTGCTGCTGCTGCTGCTGCTGCTGCCGCCGCTACTGTTATCCTCCGTGCTGTCCTCTCTATCCCGCGCGTCTGTGGTGCTCTCCGCTGCCGACCAGCAGTTGCACTACAGCAGGCACACACACCTTATGTTGCCACTCCTAAGGTGAGGAGCAATTACTATCCTTCAAGCCAGTCCCTGCACGACAGCAGCCGAAGAGCGGCTTTCCCTCTCAGGTACGGAGGAAGAACTAGTAAGGGCTCCACTGCGGTCTCTAAGTTCATGGCTATGCGGTCGGACTCCAGCGCCAAGCGCTCGACAAGGGCAGCAACTCTAACTCTGGAGGATGGGACCGTGCTCCATGGCTACTCCTTTGGAGCGGACGTGTCTGTTGCGGGGGAGGTGGTGTTCAGCACCGGCATGGTCGGGTATGCGGAGTCCCTGACGGATCCCTCCTACAAGGGACAGGTGAGTTTGTGTAGTGGCCTCTGTTGCAAGGGTGTGGTTGGTTGGTGCCGCATCATCAGTGGTTTGGTTGAACATGAGCATGATGCACATGCGTATTATTGTAGAGAAGAGAAGCGGCGGGACCGCAGGCTGCCGGCGTCGGTGTGTTTCTGTGCGTGTTGCGTGTCGTGTATGGCCGCGCGGCGCCCTCCCTATCTACCTGGGGGAAGGGGCGTCGCGAGCGCAGCTGCGTAAGGCCTTGCGCAAGTCTTGTGTCGTGGAGTGTTCAAGATGCAGCGTGCGTTTCCGTCCCTGGGTGCTGCTGCATGTAGGTGGTCATATACGTGTTTGGATTGCCTGTCAAGGAAGAGGCGATTTTGCGTAGAAGAGGAGAGTTGGTGAGCAGAGGTGGTCGGGGTGTCCCGTGGGAGGAGGTGCTTCACAGGGCGATCGATGCCAGCTTGCTCCTCGATTCTTCCCTTGGTGTAACCTGATCTTACGATGTTGCTGAGCAGCAGAAAAGACACATGTCGAAGGCACTCTACTGCTGAAGAATTGCTGCCGTACGTATATTCAGGTGCGGGCGAACGCACATACGTGCGATCGATCGATCAATTCAAAGCCCGATTGCTCCAAACCAAGAGACTGCCAATGCCGAAAATTGATGTTTGGGAACGGTGTCGTCTAGAGCTAGCTGTCTTCATTTGCACGGGTCGGTGTAGTTGACAGCCTCTTGGTTGTAGCATTGAGCAATCGAGCTCTATAATTGATCGATCTTGACAGCTGTGCGTTAGCCCGCACCTCTTCGTACGCGGGTACAGTACGTCCGATTGAGGTTTGCCGCAATGCATGCCTGAGGTTGTGGACACTTGCCGGGGGAAACCCATGTTTGTAGACGTAACCGTCTACATGCCCTCTCCTGTTGTTGGTACGATCTAGTGAAGCCTCTGCATGGGAGGGCGTAGGTATTTGGTGAACAACAACGGAGGTGCAGTGCATGGTCTTGTGCTCCGATCAAAACGTAGCTTGGTACCTTTGTTGAGCTATCGCGCGTGCTTAGCTTCACGCAAGACAACAATCGGTGGGCTTCGCTTTCCCATGGGCTACTCTCCTCCTGCACGTGAACTCTTCCATGCCTTGGCTCCAGCATCATCATGAACTTCTCTCACAGCTACGCATGCTGACCTGCACCAACACAGCAACCGACGCATAAACTACTCTCTTTGGGCACTTGAACTTTCTCGTGCACTGGTCGCTCTAGTATCACAACTATCATACGTACACGCACGATCGCTGGTGCAGTTCAGTCGGTGTGGCCCTCCCGCTGCGGCCATGTCTTTCATACCGCACGCCTCTACGGTATTTGGTGCAGATCAATCATCCATACCTGCCCCGTGTGATCTTTCTCGGCATGTTCCAGATGCTTACTCTTACCTACCCGATGATCGGAAACTACGGCGTGCCGGACCGGAGCCTTCGGGACGAGTTCGGGCTCGCTAAGCACTTCGAGAGCGACAAGATTCACGCTTCTGCGCTGCTCGTGCAGGTGAGATGGATCGGATGCTTCGGGACGAGGTGCGGGACGATTGGCTTGGGTGGGATCGGACGGAATGAGATGGATGAAATGGGACGGGATGAGACGTGAAGAATCGGTTGGTAAATACCAAGCAGCAGCGGGGGCGGTGTCGTTGATGAGCACCTCGATGCTGCTGATGCTGATTAAACAGGGTTTTGGTGGGATGGGTTGATTGGTAGATCATGGGACTGGTGTTGCATGTATCTGGTCTGGGCTAACTGGTCGACGTGATGAAGGCGGTTTGTGGGCGATCGATTAAACTTATTTGCTTGACTTCATGGTCTGATTCGTTCGGTGTAGTTGTTATTCGTATGGTTGATACCTGTGTTTGACTTGAATTTCTATGCTGGTGTGTGTTTGATTGCCGCTTCCCCCTCAGGACTACTCGCACCACTACTCCCACTGGGAGGCGACGTCGTCCCTCGGGGATTGGCTTAAGGAGGAGGGTATCCCAGCCATCGGTGGCATCGACACCCGGCATCTCACGAAGAAGATCAGGGATAAGGGTAAGAAAGGGTTGGACCCTCAAATCACTGGAACAAGGAGCATTGTGCGACCAAGAGAGAGACCTGAACATCACCATTGACACCCCGCCCCTGCCGGGGTGGGCTTTCCGCCAATAGCCAATATCTTCGCCCATGCAACCCACCATCATTTTTTCGAAGCGAACTTTCCTCTCTGCCCGTTACCACGCTGTTTCGGTGTTGCGTTTCGCCGCACCACCGCCACCTTTGGTATGGATCAACTCAGGGGCGATGCTTGGAAAGCTGGAGGTGGAGGGGGGGGGAGAGATTGCCTCTTTCTCGGACCCGAACAAGAGGAACCTTGTGGCAGAGGTGTCAATCACGGAGCCCCGGGTGTACGGCAAGGGGAACCCAATCAAGGTATTTCATTCAGTCCATGTAGTTTATTGGCTGCGAAGTGATTCCTGCGGACTTTCAGTGCTGGCTCGATCGATATAAAGGGAATTGTGTGGTCACAGGACATCAAATCTCCGGGATTTCGATGTCTCGTATGCGAATGCCGAACTCTGTTGTCCTAACACGGAGCCGTCTTAATGGTGTGGTGTATCGATTAGTCAGACGCGAGGCCGACCCTGTACTTCGGCAAACGGAATAAAACTGAACCCCAACGATACCTGAGCGATCTCGCGCCAGTTGTACCATGGTGTTTTCTCCGTCCCTTTTGTCCCCATGGGTTACCGCTTCTGTCACGGGATTTTGTGTTTGAATCGATTTACTGGCGATGACGAGTACTTCCTTTTGTGCACACGTATGTATGATGATGGTGTCATTAGGTTCTGGCGGTGGACTGTGGCGTGAAGAACAACATCATCCGAATCCTGTGCAAGAAGGGTGCGGAGGTTACCCTAGTGCCATGGGACTACGACCTCTCCGCCGACGCCCACAAGGTCGGTCGGTGTCGCTCTCGGGGATGACGGCCTCTGATGGATACTACCGCTGTGATGTGATTGGTTCCGGTAGACAGGGTAGGCTTGTTTTCAGCAGTACTGCCTACCACGGCCGTCGCTTTGTGCATTTCACGCAGCCATGTTGCAACATGTCCATTTTTTGCCGGGACTAATCACATCAATCGTGCCTTGCGGCCAATTCTGGAGTGCTGACGTCTTCTTCATGTCACAAGTTTGTTACTGGCTGGTCCCTGTGGTTGCTGGTGTTGTCGATGATGGTATCGTCAATGCCGCCGTTGCTTGTTGGTTTCGCGGTCGTTCTTATTCCTCTCCTGTGCATTCGTGCTGTGCTTGTGGCTGGAATTGCTCTTCGCCATCATGCCCCTGTTGTATTCTTACTCCGCTGTACATTTTTTTGCTCTTGCTGAGTTGTTTTGAAGGCAAGAACGCTAACCGTAACGTGCTATATACCGGTTCCTTGTTCTTGAAACTGTTCCATGTGGTCACGCTAGTTCGACGGAATTTTCCTGTCCAATGGGCCGGGAGACCCGACGATGTGCGTGTCGACGGTCAAGCAGATGGAAAAGATCATTGCCCTGGAGGGTGACGATATGAAGCCCATCTTCGGCATCTGTATGGGGAACCAGCTGGTGGGGCTGGCGGCCGGGTGCACCGCCGAGAAGCTACCTTTCGGAAACCGTGGCCAGAACCAGGTACGAAAAAGAGAGCATTCGTTGTCACCGCCCTAGTGTGCTGTGCTGCTGCTGCTACTGCTGCTGCTGCTGCTGCTGTGGTTGTGGTTGCTGCTGTGGTTGTTGCTGGTGATGTGAGATGCTGTTGCTGCTGCTACGCTGCTCTTGCCAGACCTGGTTATGCACCGTCATGCACTCCCTACTGCCGTGTCGTCGAACGCCGTGTATGCTGGCGCTTACCAATATGAAAACCTATCAAACTTCACCGTGGCTCCCTCCCCTCTACCTGTCTGTCAATGTGTGTGCCTTTTCGTCTTCTTTCTCTTACATCTGCCCTTCTCTCCCCTTGCTATCCCTGCTGCCTCTCTGCCCCGCCCCCCCCCCCCGATCCCTTTCCCGTATCCTCTGTTCCTTGCCCACAGCCGGTAGTGAACCGCCTGACGAACGAGTGCTACATTACTCCCCAAAACCACGGCTACGCCATCGACGACACCAAGCTTGGCCAGGGGTGGCAGCCTCTCTTCACCAACGTGAACGACGGCACTAACGAAGGCGTTCGCCACGAGACAAAGCCCTTCTTCAGCGCCCAGTTCCACCCGGAGGCACAGGTCCGCGAAACGTTCCTAGGCTATGTGGGATATGGGATAACTTTCGATTTTGTGCTGTTTTGCCGACGACGCGATGGTATATTGGGTAGGTGCGTCTCTCGATATCAAATTTGCGTTTGACTAGGTGGTGTTAGTGTCATGCGTTGTTTTGCTCCTCTTGCAGTAGGGCAATCTTGGTGGGTAACATCCATGGTCAGGTGAACATCACCTTGGCAACGTTTCGGATGGTCAACGTCGAAGTCACGGTGTCAATGGTCCAATCCCTGCCGTGGCACATGTTTTCAAAGCGCTTACTCGATAGTGAGCTCGGCGTAGATGTCGGCCCAGGAGGGAGCTCAAAAAGTTGCTGAACAAACCCTTTGACGAAAGAGGGGTGATAGGACCCACTGTACGGTCCTGTGTTTTCTTGTTTCTTGTCGACGTGATCCTCGACGCATCGTACTAGCCTGTGCATACTATTATACCCAGTAGGGTCATACCTGGAAGCTGTGGCGTTCTCATTCTTCACGTAGTATGCCGGTGATCTCATATGCTTTTCTCTCTCTCTCTTCATTTTCTTTTTCGTTGATTTTTTCCAGGGAGGACCAACAGACACGGAGTTTCTGTTCGACGTGTTTCTCGAGGCGGCTAAGAGCGGCCACCGCGGCGCGATCGACTTTGCCAAGAGGAGTGCACCGCCCGCCAAGCCAGATATCAAGAAGGCGCTCATGTTGGGATCGGGAGGGCTGAGTATCGGGCAGGCTGGAGAGTTCGACTACAGCGGCTCGCAGGTGCCGTTTTACAGCGTCATCTTTGGGCTTTGTTGTGTTGGTCGGTGGTGCTGGTGGCTTGACCACATTCTGTTGAGCGCGTCAAGAAATTTCTTGATACACGTTGCCTCCGATTGGCGGCGTTGTTTTTCCCTTACGGATGTACCAGGTTGTCAAGGTTTAGGTTTGCCACGGAACCCAACCGCGAAAGGGAACCTAACCTTGGTTTTCTGGTTTTTCGAGACTATGAGGGTTGGCATTCTTCGAAAAAGATCGTTTCAACATCCCGGTGTTTGTGTTGGATTGGGTCTTGATGTTATCCCCTGCTGGTTTGCTTGTTTTTCCTGTACGTTTTGATGTTTTTCTGTCGTGTGTGGCCCTCCTTATTTCTATCAGGCGATCAAGGCTTTGAAGGAGGAGGGCATCGAGGTGATCCTCATGAACCCCAACATCGCCTCCGTACAAACGAACACCGACAACAAGAGCCCGCACAAGGCAGACCAGGTACGTTCATTGAGCAAGCAGAGGCTTTTATGCATTGTTTTAACTGTTCTTGTTGAGCACGCTCGTTTTGTGCGATGGTTGCATTTGCCGTCTGTTGTTTGATCTTTGGGGCGTGATGGCGATGCGCCGTGTGCCGGGTGTTGATGTTTCAGCAGCACCACAGGAGCAGAGAATCACCCCTACTTGCATGTCATTGGGGCCTACGAGAAACCTACTAACCAGCGGCCAAGCAAACTCCGATTATGGCTGGTTAGAACAGTCCACTGACTGTGTGTGGATTATTTTCTTTTTTTTGTGTGTTTCAATGTGTTTTTGTGTTTTTGTGCTGCTGCTGCTGCTGCTGCTGCTTGTTCGGAGTTGATCAATGGCCTTCAATTTATTTTCACGTGTCACTCGCAGTACAACTTCTGCCGAAGTCCAGTGAACTGCATGTTTTGTATTGACTTGCTCGATTCACGCCCGAAATTTTAACCGGGTTCCTGGATTTCTGCGGCCTTTACCCTGCTCATGAGGAAGGTGTTCTTTTTGCCGGTGACACCGGAGTTCGTGGAGCACGTCATCAAGCGTGAGAAGCCCGACGGGATTGTCGTGTCTATGGGGGGGCAGACGGCTCTCAACTGCGCCGTGCAGCTGCACGAGGCCGGCATCCTCGAAAAGTACAACGTAAAGGTTAGTATGCATATAATATGTACTTCCAGGTTACATTTACCTTTTACGACACAAGCAAACACACCCTGGTGACAACATTATTGTTTTTACAAATAACCGGGTGTCTTGTCCTGTGTCGACACATCGGGTGGGGTAAGGCTGGAGTTTGGTGCGAAAGGGTTGTGTATGGTTGCAGGGCGAGGTCTGTCTCGGCCTTGGGGTGTAGCCGTCATGTGTTTTTGTTTAGAACGCCCTGTGCTCGACGCGATTCGACTCTTTCTCATCTACGCGTGTATCTGCATGTGCCATCTATATCTGTTGTCTTCCTTCTTTTTGTTTGGTCTTGTTGGCACAGGTGCTCGGAACCCCGGTGCAGGCGATCATGGCAACTGAGGACCGGGATGTCTTCAACCAGAAGCTCATGGGTGAGTAATTACGCACCTACGCGCATGTCAATGGTGAAACGCCACGAGGAACTTTCCCGATGTCGTGAAATGGTCCGTTTCCGAGCGTTCGAGTGAGCAAGAAACGAAAATAGATCAGCGGCGGCTGCACAAACCTACACTAAAGGCTACACTAAAGGTCTTCAGCTCGTGTGTATTCTTGCGGCCGATTTTTTTTACACCTTGGGTATGGTGTGTTAACGCACCAGCCGGGATCGCACATGAGGATGGAAAAACACAGTTGTTTGTGTTTGTTTTTGGTTTTTGGTTTTCACGACCTGTCTTCCTTCAAGGTGCTTGCCGCGACATTTTTGTGGCGGACAGTGTCGTGTCGTTCCTTTCCTCGTCGACCATCGAGTCCAATTTTGTGTATTGTTATTATTGTTACACACGAGGCTCCCAGTTTGTGAAACTGCTGTGCCAACGGTCGGAGTCACATCCATAGAAGCCACAAGGTTGTGATGAGGGTAAGGCTACCAACCGAATCACTGGGACGACCATCTTACAAATGATTGCTTTTTTTGTCGGTTCACTTTACTGTAGTAGGAGAGATGGGTCAACACAATCAAGACGAGCCCCCCAACACCACCGAAACCGAGTTAAACTATCATATCTAAGGGGGTTTTACTCATTTACACGCGTGCCGTAGTCGTTAGACCATTGACCTCGCATCCATACAATGCCGGGACGGAGCGATACGAAGTAAGGGTGCCTTCTTCCGTAATACTGTGATTGTTATATCTTGGTTTCGGGGGGGGCAGGACTGTTTTGAGCCCTTGCCATTTCAAATTCTATACAGACATCAGCGAGCGCTGTATATTAGTTTTTGGTTTCGGGAGGACCAAAAATACTGTCTTGCGCCCTTTGCTATTGACAAAAAACAGAAATCGGCGAGAAGGTGGCCCCGTCGGAGGCTGTGGTGGGGGTGGAGGCGGCCGTTGTGGCGGCCAAGAAGATCGGGTTCCCCGTCATGATCCGGTCTGCGTATGCCCTCGGCGGTCTCGGATCAGGCATTTGTGACACGGAGGAGGCTCTCAGGTGAAGTGACGCGATGCTTGTGTTATTCTTGCGTTGTTTTTCTTGTTGTCGCTCATGTGTGCTGACGTGCGCTAAGTTTTTGTATATCTAGCCTCGCTTGGCGGCGGTTGTCGGAACGATGTTCCGAAACCAACTTCCGTAACCACTATTTGAGTGCTTGTACCTTATTCCCATGTCAGTCCCCCTAAAGGCTTACATATAGGTGCGATGGTGTTTTCCTCAAGCTTTGTGAATAGACGAGATCCCTCCTTCACTTACCGTTCGTTCGAGGCACCAAGGCGATTAACGCTGTGCCGGAGTACAGCCGTTCATATCAACGCGTTTTTATATTTGAGTTGCGAATTGTATGTGGCAATCGTGGGTACCTGGTAGGATATCTTGATTTTTGAAGACGAGGGAAGTCAGGGAGCATCCTTCCTTGCGGACCAATTTCCGTCTTGTCTCGCGATAGCCCGAATAGTTTTTCAAGCTAGACTGTCGAACACATGTGGGTATCCTCCCCGTGTATTGCATTTGGAATCAATCCCCGTTCCTTGGAAAATCACTGAACGTTTCGCGATGTGCATGTTTTGTCAGGGATATGGGGAGCAAGGCGCTGTCGCTTAGCAACCAGATCCTGGTGGAAAAGTCCCTCCGTGGCTGGAAGGAGGTGGAGTACGAGGTCGTCAGGGATAGCGTCAACAACTGCATCACCGTCTGCAACATGGAGGTGCGGTAAAATGCTCCGGAATCCCGGTGCGGTATGAGTACGTTGTATGGGTCGACAAACAAATTACGTCAAGGACTGGTGCAGCAGCGAAAGAGCGGCCGTTTCGAAGGTGGAGGTGTCCTGTGATCTCCGTAGATGAAGTGTCGTGCGGCGTATTTTATTTCTTCGTGTATGCCTCAATTCCAGCAGTGTCCCATCGTAAAGTCGTCAACCTCTCGTACTTGTCTTTTGTTCGACGACAGAGCAGAGCTTCGGAAGGTTCTTAGTCTTTGCACCATGTACCAATTTTTTTTTGTTCATCGTCATTAATCGACGCTTACACCACACGCTGCCGTGTAGGAGCTGGCTCCAGCTCGTGGTCACCCTGGAGGGCTCCTCCCTGCCCATCGTGCGGTGCTTTGCGAATGTTGGCGGTATCACTTCATTTTCGATTTCTCACTGTTGTATTAATGTTCTGCCGTGCTCGCCGCCGTCCTATTTAGTCTTGGCAAAAAAAAAAATCGCCACGACACAATAATGCTAATACGTCGTATTTTTTCTTTTTTTTTTGCCTTTTGTGCAGAACTTTGACCCGTTGGGCGTGCACACCGGAGACTCTATCGTGGTTGCCCCTAGCCAGACCCTCAGCAACACCGAGTACCACATGCTCCGACAGACTGCCCTCAAGGTAAGTAAGACAAACAGTGATTACATGCCCGTGGTGTGGTGTGGTGGGTGGCAGTGGTGTTTGTGATGAAATTCGGTTGGGTGAGATGCTGCGACGTTTTCAGAGTCCAGGGAGAACATTGAAGCAGCAAATACTAACAAATCGGCGGTATGCAATGAACTCACGGCCGTGTTTTTCAGCGCGAGTTGTTCAATCCCCAAGAACCGCTTCTTAGTTTTTTTCGCTGACGTATCTGGTGCTGATTCTGCGTAGCCGCCTTCACACGTGTTTCCGGGAAATCTTACCAGTAATACTTTCAACTTCGTTGGGGAGAAAGGCGCCTGGGAGTGCGTAGAGGTGCTGAAGCTTGAAGGCGTAAGGAGCGCTCTTGGTTTATGTTGGATATTGTGCAATCGGAGCTGATTCGCTGACTGGCCATGACCTCAACAAGGGGTAGAGGTGTGTATGACTTGCATTGCTTTCGATGCGCTTCCCTGCTGTGGTTGCTTGGCTTGCATCGTCATTCCAGGTGGTGAGGCACTTGGGAATCGTGGGGGAGTGCAACATCCAGTACGCGCTCGACCCGCACTCATTGGACTACTGCATCATCGAGGTAAGAATAAAAGCAACGGTTCCTGTGGAGAGAGAGTTGTCATTTTCTTGTTTGGAAAACAATGGGGAAAAACGAACGCAAAGACAACACCGTATCTACCAGCAACGATTTATTCTTCGGTGTCCTTTTATCCATGGATACCAACGAGGTAGATATCTGCCACGGTTTGTTTGACACGTTCGTAGCAGCAATGCTGTCGTCACTTCATTGGGCTACTCTATGTCATGGCTCCTGCTCGTTACACTGGCCTCGTCGTCTTGTGTGTAGCGTCACGGTCCCGCTGGCATCCAAGACCACTGACTGGCCCCTCTCGCCGACTTTAACATGTCTTTCACCCAACGTGGCATTTTCGTCGCGGTATACACACCTAAAAAAAAAAATGCCAACAAGGCGAAGCGAAATTGCAGGCGGCAACGCATCGACAACGACAATGATAACGATATGAACCGCTGCTGAGCTTCGCCTGTGTGTTTTTGTTCTGGGTTTAACCAGGTGAATGCTCGGCTCAGCAGATCTTCGGCATTGGCCTCCAAGGCCACCGGTTACCCTCTCGCGTTCGTGGCGGCCAAGCTGGGCATGGGCATCACGCTCCCCGATATCGAGAACGCCATCACCAAGAGAACGATGGTACGTTTTTTGTGGGGTTGTTTGGCCGCCTTTTTGTTTTCTGTTTGGGACGTTTTGTGCCATGTTGACGAAGGGTGTTCTTCGCTTACGTGACCAAATGCTTCCCGAAGCCCACCGTTTTTTGTTTCTGTTGCAAGAGCATCGGAAAAGACTAACACCCTAGTCGTTCTATACAACACGGGTTTTTGTTCTCACCTCGTCCTGCTCGTTCGTGATTTTGGGACCAATGCTTGGGAGGTAACTTCTCCTACCCCTCCCCCCTGGTGATGCTGTTGCCCTTCCTCCTTCAAGACCCTGCTCGTCGTTTTCTACCAATCCCCCACCCACCCACCTTCAATGCCAATGGTCGAACAATTAGGGCAACGTGAGCACCGAACTCCACCTGGCTCACCCACGGTGTATTTTAGTATTGTTACCCGTTTCCGTTGATGTTGTCTCTCGCTGTCTCTGTTGTCTCTTGTGTAAGGCTTGCTTCGAGCCCTCTTTGGACTACTGCGTGACCAAGATCCCTCGGTGGGACTTGTCCAAGTTTGAGGGCGTGTCGAGCAACATCGGATCGGCCATGTCTAGCGTTGGAGAGGTCATGGGTGAGTCTTGAGAGTTGTTAGGCGTTTCCTGCACATCTCTTTGTTCCTCGAAACAAACGTCCAGAGTAGACAATACCACCTGGCACCGTAGAATGTGCTTGGTTGATCATGCTTGTGTTGCCTTGACCACCCCGTTTTTCATCCCGGTTTAACACGTGTTCACTACCCGTGGTTCCATCGCACTCGTACTCAGCATGTGTGTTGGGTGTTGTTGCTACCGTTGTTTTGCATATCACGCATCTCGGTCTTGACACCAGCGATCGGGCGCACTTGGGAAGAGAGCATGCAGAAGGCTTTGCGCATGACCGACCCCAGCGCGATTGACGGCTTCCAACCGCACGGCAGGATCAGGTGAGAGAGAGGGTCTCCTACGCTTACATGTCCGTAGGAGGGGGGGATACCTGGTGTCATTCGCGGTACGAGGGGGGGGGGGGGGGTACGCGTAGCCGTGCATGCCGTAGTCGTTAGACCTTTGACCTCGCAAAGCCGGGACGGAGCACGCCGGGTTTTGTCGGACCATGCTAGCTCATCGCTAAGCGCGAATCGCCGTGGACGACAACGACCACGACTGGGTATAATCTTTTATTTTGCAAGGTACCTTTAGATCGTAGTGTCGGCAAGACGGTAAAACCTCGCGTCCATCCCAGTCTCTAGCAAGCCGGGACGAGCGGATGTTCCGGATAAGCACGCGTGTGGCCCCGTCAAGTGAAGTTTGACGGGATTGATATGGCTGTTGCCAGGGACAATACGTAATTTAGAACCAAGAGGAGGAACCCACGCTCCTGCCTTAGGCTCTTCCTCGACTCCACTTGTATTGTTTTTGCTCCCGCCGTCGCTCCTACCAGTAAACGGTAGGTGATGGCGATACCATCAATTCTGTTGGTTTTAGTACACAGAATTCTGTTGAGACGTGTTTATTTTGTGCGCTGATCCAAGGACACTAACTACTGCTATTTATTTGTACAGGACCATGCCCGAGATGCTGAAAGTGCTGGACAAGCCGACGGACCTCCGCGTGTACACCATCGCACAGGTGACTTTGTCGGGGCGTCCGTTCGTTGCTTGTTTTTGTCTATCTTCATGCCTACCGGAAAACTGTCTGGTTCTTGTATTGGTGCTTGGTTCGATTCGGACGTGGCTGCGATGAAATTCTTTTGCCTGTGTCTTGGACCGCGATCGTCGTGCCAGGTAATGGCGGAGGGTTCGATGACGGTTGACGAGATCCACGACTTGTCCAAGATCGACCACTGGTTCCTCAGGAGGCTGGAGCGCATCACGAACTTCAGCAAAAAGATTGAGGTATGTGTCAATATTGACACTTCCCGTCTATGATGTCTACTCGTTGTGTTGTGATGTGCTTTGTTGTATATTCTCTGAGTAGTGGGCTACACGACGTGAGAAAGAGTGAAGGCAACGGGATGTTAACCCAGAACCAACACGTTAAATGACCACACACCCCTTTCAGCTTGAAATTACGTTAAATACACACCCTTGTTTCTTCACTTTACAGCAGTGTACGCCAAGAGAACGTGTATGGCATTCGACATCGTGCATCTTCTCCAAGGACATGCAGAGGGCAGAGCATACCCCACATAATTTGACCCGAGCAACCGTAAACTTTGCGGGAGGTTTACTTCTCTCTCTTGAGTAGCGATCGTCTTGAACGATTTCGCCTTTGTCCCCCCCCCCCTTGTTTTTTGTTGGCAGGGCTCCGAGCTGTCCTCTTTCAGCCGGGAGGACATGCTTGAGGCCAAGCAGCTGGGGTACAGCGATATCCAGATCTCGCAGCGAGTGGGCGCCACGGGAGGCGAGGTATGTATCATATTCAATTTAGTGTAGTGCCTTGAAACACAATGAAAATAGTGCTTTGTTTTGTCTCGAATAATGCGGTGGTTGTCGAAAGCGATTCCAAGTTACGCCCTGTATCGAATAGTTGCTTTCATGCAAGTCTCCGGTGTTTTTTTTTTCTCGTTTGTGTTGTTTATTTTGGGTTGTGGCTGGTGACGACCGAACTTGGTTATTTACCGGTCAACCCTAAGAGGTGAGAACGGTTCATCATGGCGGTTCATCATGTTCACACAAGAGGAGGCAATGACACGCTTCTTCCTTTCTCCCTTGTTCCTGTGTCTCTCTCTCTCCATGCTGCGTCTCTTTCCGTTCTCAATCCCTCAACCACTTCCCCCCGTCGTTCTTTTCCTCTTCCTCTTGCTCCTCTTCCTCCGCGTGGTACATCCAACTAACTACGTACCTAGGTGCGCGAGGCTCGCATACGGTTCGGAGTGACGCCGTCCGTGAAGCAGGTGGATACCCTCGCCGCGGAATACCCGGCACAAACGAACTACCTCTACATGACCTACCACGGTGACGAGGATGACGGTGAGATGAGATAGGCGGAAGAGATTGTTGTGAATGTTGTTGATTGGTGGTGGTTTGCATCTGTTGTTGGTGTTGGTGTTGCTGCTGATGCTACTGCGCCCGCTGTTGTTTACAGAACAATACGTGCGACATGATGATGCACGTGTACGAAGCAGCACTCACTCCGCATCACATTTCAAGGCACCACAAATAACCATCAACCCCTACCTCGAACTGGTCGGGTATCCCAAACTTGCCCGGCGTTGCCACCCGTCTGTCGTTTCGCCCTCCACCCAGTGGAAAGCGACGGTGGAGGCGTGATGGTTCTCGGGAGCGGGACGTACCGCATCGGCAGCAGCGTGGAGTTCGACTGGTGCGGCGTAAGCGCCATCCGAACACTCCGCAACATGGGCTTCAGGAGCACCATGGTAAGAAAAGAGGAGCTTTTGTAGTACAGATTTAGAACGACCTGGCTTGTCCTGTTGGTCTCACGTCTTTTGTGGTCGATGTTGGGTCGTGGCTCTCCTCTCGGGCTGTCTGTTCGTCACTAGTCTATGCAGGTTTTTCGAAGTACAGTATTGAATGGGCTAAGTTGGAGTTGGAGTTAGGGTGAGGGTCTGCGTGCCCCCTGCCTGGTCTTTTTTTGTATAATAGTAACTTGCTTTGTTTGCGTAGGCAGTCCCTGTTTGTTGTGATGTTTGCTCCAAACTATTGATGATCTTCTCGCAATCCAAGACTTGATGCAGCGACGGTCTCAGGAGCACCATGGTGACAATTATCAGAATTTTGACTTAAAGTTGCTTATGTGTGTGTCTGTATGTTTTTTCTTTGAGATTCCTATGGCTTGTTGGTTGTATTACACCATGTTTCGTCAGGACTACTGTATAATGGTCATAACCTTCATCGGATTCATGGGGTACCTCTCACCCGCCCGTAGATATCAGCCACAACATCCATAGTGAGCAAGCAATTGCGATGCGATCATTGCACCGCTGCACGAAATCACAACCCCACGTACTGCGTTGCTTGTTTTGCTACACTTTTGGACTCGTTCGAACGATGGCAACGACGACGACCATGCTTTATTAATAGGTTAACTACAACCCTGAGACGGTTTCGACGGACTACGATGAGTGCGACCAGCTCTACTTCGAGGAGTTGAGCGAGGAGCGTGTGCTGGACATCTACAACAAGGAGAGCCACAAGGGTGTTGTCGTCAGCGTGGGAGGCCAGGTACGGATTGTTTGTTTTCGCAGGGAGTTGCAGGACGCACGCTAGCTTATGTTTACCACACCACCAGTAGGCCTTGTGTTTTTTATTTTTCGGGATTGATGACCCATCGTTTCTGTGCTGTTGAGGAGCAGGGCAGACGAGGTACTGAACACCGAGCAGAGATATTTTTCTCTAAGATATTATTAGCCAAAATTGTAGCAACTTTACTTGTTTTAGACCTGTTGTAGACTTGTTTTAGAAGGCGTGAAAACTGACGATAGAGTGGAGTGGTTCCGTTTGTCGTGGAAGTTTGCTGTGGAAGAGAGCGAGGTACATGGTACTTGGTAGGTGTGGTCGTCAATGTCGGGGGGACAGAGTATCATCGACTTACTTCTTATGCATACCCCACTGCTGTTGCAGATCCCGAACAATCTGGCGATGCACTTGCACAAGGGAGGAGCCAATATCTTGGGGACTACCCCCGACATGATCGACAACGCCGAGGACCGGTACGTGTAGTAGCGTTGGGACCCCGGTTTTCAGATAACCCGGTTACCCGTCCGGTTTTCCCGGCCATCCGGGTATCAAGATCGGGAACGGGATGATCGGTCTTGCTGCTGGTAACCTCTCTTTACCCTTGCTATTAGAAACGGCTCTGTCGGTGGTGTCCTAACTAGTAGTCCTACCCTCGTTTCTGCCAGCAACAAGTTCTCGGCCATGATCGACGACATGGGGCTCCAGCAGGCGGCGTGGAAGGAGCTCACCACCACGCAGAGCGCCCTGGACTTCGCCACCGAAGGCGAGTCGCTTAAAATACTATGGCGCTATTTATTTAGTATTGTGTCGGTGATTTTTTCTAACCCGCGCATGGGTGTTTGCCTGAACGCGTGGAAATAAACATACTTTTTTGTTTGAATTGGGTTTTGCCATCATTGTCATTCCTCTCCGTTGTTTTATTTTTTCTGGTCGTGACGAATGGTCGTGTCTGCTGGCACGCATTTACGAAGTCGTATTTCGGTTTCAGCTGCTCTGCGTGTCTTTTGTGTAAACCTTGCATGTCTTTTTTGTCACCCGATAACACATACCTTGGTGCCCATCTGTTTCGTGGGCCTCCCCATTGAGAGAGTTCCCTGTTTCTGCCTCTTTATTGCTGTTCTCGCTGTTCAACCCCTCGAGCGCTGTCTGACATTTTACCAATGGTACACGCGTTGCCTCTCTTTTTTGCTGGCTCCCTTTTGGCGCTGTTTTCTGTCAGTGGGCTACCCGGTGCTTATCCGACCGTCGTACGTTCTATCGGGTGCGGCGATGAACGTCGCCTACACCAAGGAGCAGCTGCTGAGGTGCCTTGACCAGGCCGCCGACGTTTCTCAAGACCATCCCGTCGTTGTCTCGAAGGTCGTGCCGTCGTGCCTTTGCGTGGCTGTTGCTGTGGCTTGTTCTGTTCTTTTTTTGTCTTGTCGTCAGTGTTGTCTCTGCCGTTCTTGTTTGTCGTCAGTGTTGTCAGTGTTTGTTGGCTCTGTCGTTCTTTTGTCGGTTTCGAAAACAAGCGAGGAACGGCGTGTTTCTTTTGTTTTCTGGTTGTGTTTCTCCGCTGCTGTAGGTGACTTTTCGTCGCTCCGCTTGTCGTGGTACCGCACTGCTGTCCTACAAGTTCGAAAGAACGGGCAACCTTGGTTCGTCCTCCTTTTGCCGCTCTCGCAGCGTGCATGTTCGCTGTAAAGGTGTCGTTTTACGCTGGGGTTAGACCACCCACCTCTCTGACGTCTCGCCTGGTTCGCATGATGTCATGCAATCGATCACAGTTCATCAACGGTGCCCGCGAGATCGAGATGGATGGCGTCGGCCTTAACGGGGAGGTGGTGGCGGCAGCAACGCACGTGCACGTCGAGAACGCCGGGGTGCACTCTGGCGACGCGACGCTCATTCTGCCGGCGGGGCCCGAGGACATGACCCCCTACATGTTCAAGAGGGTGCAGGCGAGTGGAACTAGTGTGCCACACGACAGCAGTGTGACCAAAGGGTCAAGTGTAGCCATGCCCCAATGTCAAGGGCGAATAACAAGAAGTAGCACACACACGGACATAAGCCTGCTCGGTGGGTTTAGGTTCGGTTTAGGTTTCGGGGACTTGGTCGTGGCTCCAGACAAGAAAAACACAACATGTTTCAGAGGACAAGGCTTGCATCATCGACCCTCTCTGCAAGCTAGTGGAAAACTGTCAATCGCGCAATTGTGATGTGGTATTGTAGTGGTCGGTGACTTGGTTGAAGAGGAAGACGGTCGATCCATGATAGCGGGCGGGATCGAAAAACCGAAATACCAGAAATTAGGCTCGTATGTACTTTATACAAATACGTACGTGTTCATTTTGTAACGGCAAGCAGGACGCGACCAAGGCCGTGGCGAAGAGGCTCAACATCACCGGTCCGTTCAACATGCAGTTCATCGCCAAGGGCACCGACTGCATGGTCATCGAGTGCAACCTGCGGGCCTCTCGATCTTTCCCTTTCGTCAGCAAGACGATGGGAGTAGATTTCATTGAGATCGCCACTAAGGTAAGGCGATGACATCGAGAATTAACCCAATTACATCTGTTGTGGAGCGATTGAGTGCAGAAGACTTGGGGTGTTTAGTGTGGCCCCGAGTGGGACGGGGTTGGACTGAGAGAAACTGCAAGCGCCTTAAAAAATGCGATGATTTGGGTTAACGAACAATCTGTTTGTACCACAAGGATTTGATCTACTTGACCCAGGGCAAGTTGGGGAATATTCCGATGTGTTCACGGTTTGGTCCATGCTTGTCCATGCTTGGGCATAGGTGATGACGGGCGAGAGCGTGGAGGACATGAATGCGCCCAAGCTGTACGAGACTGGGCGACCACATGGCTACGTCGCCTGCAAGGCACCCATGTTCTCTTTCACCAGACTCAGGTACCAAAGTGCAAGTACAAGGTAATATGGTATAGCGGTTGGCGATGCTCTGTTGGGTTACTGGCTGGGTTGCCGTTCTCTAGTTTCCGTTCAAGGGTTGTCTATCTTTTTTGTTCCCTCAAGAGTATGTGGCTAGGGCTGGCTGGTTGGCACGTGATTTTGCCCAAATTGTTCTCAGTACAGTGTAGTGAGCGCTAAACCTCACTCTCGTCCATTCAGTGCGCGACATTAACTGCAGCAACGGAGAGCACCACGAAAAAACAGCATTAGTAGCTAGCAACGATTTTTTTTTTCTCGTGTGTGCTTTTTTCGTCGCTCAAGAATTGTGTGGCGGTTGTTTTCTGCACAAGTTTTGCTGCACGTACGTAACCACGTGTCATATGCATTGCATCATTCGATGCGTTCCAGGGGGGCAGACCCGGTGCTGGGTGTGGAGATGGCGTCTACGGGAGAGGTGGCGTGCTTCGGCGTAAACAAGGAAGAAGCGTTCCTCAAGGTAGGCTTAGGTCACAGCAGTGCTGTCGATGCCATGGCATGGGCCCTCGTTGACGCCATTTGTTTTTCGTCCAATTCTTCATGCTGTTTAATTGACGTATCAAACGGCGGCAAGATATCCGCCGTGCTATTGTACTGCTGTGGTGAACATGAACAGAATGTGAATCGAAATCGTCCAAACATTCGTGCGATGCTGCTTTTTTTTTCAACCCACTCTGTGCAAAGATTATATTACACTGTCCCGCTTCCCATCCTCTTCTGTCTATTGTTTTTCGAACCAATCTTGATGGTCAAATCAGGCGCTGCTTTCCACGGGGTTCAAGCTTCCCGCCAAGAACATCCTCTTGTCGGTGCAAGAGAGCATGCTCGACGACATGGTGCACTTGGCGCACGACCTGCACGAGCTGGGGTACCACATCCACGCCACCGACGGCACTCACGACCGTTTGAAGGACAAGGGCGTCCCCGCGACCCTCCTCCAGTTCCCAGGAGGACAGGTACAACATTTTAACTGTTGTTTGTCGTCTTCTTGTAGACTATGTGGACACGAGTGCGGTTATAATTATGTTGTCGCGGCATGCGATCGAGAGGACGTACGTGACGCGCCGCAGACCAGATCAACACTACGGTGTGATGAACCCTATTCCCCTCTCCCATCGTGTCGCTTTCATGTCGTGCTTGCTGTGCGCGTTGTTGTGTGGTAGTGTCTGTGTCGCTGCGCAACGCCGTCCTTGTCTGGTCTACCCTGTCCTCTCTTCTGCAATTGATGGAGGAAGTGCACGATATTCTTGTCTTTGTCTCGCAAGCAAGATACATTTTATTTACACTGTAGCGCAATGCTTCATTGCTGTTTACATCTAGGGAGCATTGGGGTGTCCCACCACTCGGTCCACTTATCCCCAACCCCCCTGTTGTTACCTGTCCTCAGCGTGAGGGCCCGACCGTAATCGAGCACATCCGCTCCAAGAAGATCGACCTAGTGATCAACCTGCCGACAGCGGAGAGCAAACGCCTCGTGGACAACTACCACGTCCGCCGCACGGCAGTGGATCACGGCATCCCGCTCCTGACCAACCTCAACCTCGTCAAGCTTTTCACCTCCTCGCTCATGTACAACAAAAAGCAGAAGCTGGTGGGACTAGACCCCGACAGCTTGTTCGACTACTACGCTAGGGAAAAACCGGAAGAGGCCTGGTGAGGGCAGTTGGTGTTGGTGTGGCTGCTGCTGCTTGCTGTGGTTTGGTTGGCGTGTTTTGGTTGATTTTTGATGTGTCCGACTTGTGCTTGTATCGTTTCTTATTTTGGGGTGCCTGCCGTAAGTATCAGAAGGGAGGCGAAACTACTGGTCGGGGTGAATTTGTAAGAGGCACCATGAAAGTATCTCAATACAAGGCTGTCTACATATAGCGGTGCCCGTGTAGTACGTAGACATTTCGCTTGAATCGTTAACTAGCGAGAAGAAAGAGAAGCATGTTCTTCCAAAGTACGGTCCAACTTCTGGTGGGGCACTGAACGCTCAAGAATGTTTCGTGGTATGGTGGACTGTTCTGTGTGATACGCGTGTGATACTGTAGAGGGAATTGGCGCTGATTCGAAACCCCGCAAGTCAAGGGGTTGCTTTTAGTGTTTACGGCTCGTGCATCCCAAGCTGTCATTTTCGCCCCTCACCCCCAACATTATCCCGCCGGTCGTTTGTTGTTTGACCAGGACACACGAGAAGGAATTCCACTGAAGACACAGCAGCGCGACGTTCACCACAGGCAGGACGCAGTTTTGGCGGCCGATCGTCCCAACCATATTCTACGATAGTACTGGTACACTTGATTAGACTGCGACGTTGCTTGTTACGCTAGCAGGGAACGCCGTTTTTTGTGTATCGCGCGTGGGTCGGAACTGCCCCGCCTCGATGTATTAGAAGTTCGCAGAACGATTTAATATTTGCGAAGTTAGGTTTTCAGTTGTTCGGTTTCGTTGTCAGCTAGTTACTGTTAGTGTTGTCGTCGTCCGTCGGTGGTCAGTGTTGATTTGTCTTCCTTGCTACGCAGAGGATGACGGGATTGAACATTTGCAGTTTGCCTTTACAATACAGTATTTTCTTGTTCGGCCTCTTCTATTTCTGCAGATTTTCGGTTAGGTTTAAGTGTGCATGCGTGCCCACCGTTGGCGCGAATTTGGTCAGATCCATATATATGCCATGCGCAATGCCGGAAGTTTCGCTGGCTCTGAAAGGGATTCAATTCGCTTCAGGTACGCCTCACTGGCTGCGCATCAAATGACGGATGGTGCATGGGTCTCGAAGACTTTCATTCTCCGCACGTAGATATATAGCATGAATTTCTTCGTGTTGTGGTTGGTGCTCTTGGTTGTGTTTCAGCTTTTGGTAGATGATACAAGGGACTGCGTGTCATCAATGCAATTTTTTACAATGAGTTCACGTGCAGTCGACGACCTAATCAATAATTGGGTCAAGGCATGCACACACCACAATACTTCCCGAAACAGACCCCCCGTTGGCGTCTCTGTTAAATAGCGTAATCCGAATCCACCCACAATTGAACAGCCCTGAAGTCAGTTAGAACCGCTGTTGTTTCATCCCCCGCTGAAACCCCGAGACAGACAGTTGGTGTAGCTTTCCGGCGCACGAGTCCTCCCGGAGTGGGAAAAGCAGGTGGCTCCTGCTCTTTCTGTATTCGGGATATCACGGCGTGCCTAGTTTTTCAACCACATCATCCGGTGTCCGACTTTAGACTAGTGCTCGTAAAAATGCTTGGGAGTTTCTTTTTTATTTTTCATGACACAACGAATCCATCTCTATCATAGAAAAGAGTCTGAGACAGATTAGCAATGAATTCTTTGTGTTGGCGAGTAAAAAAATGACGGGCTGTCGTGCACCGTCCGTGGTGCTGTACAGCAAGCTCTCGGGTTGAGATGAAAGGATCAAAGTACTGTGGACCGAATAACATCCAGCGTCCGGCTCTTCGGGTACTGCTGTTGTTGGCTGCTGCACGCTACAGCGCTGTCGCGGTGCGCTGGTACCGGTTCGGGATCACCTCCTTCGGGCCTTCGGGTGATATTTCGCCGCTTCGAACCACACAAAAACGCCGCTCGAACCAAAACCTCTCAAATTTCCTCTCTGCACGTGCCGCGTGCACCCCAGCACCTCAGTACTCAGCACCCCAGGCGCTAACTGCTCGTGTCTTGCGCTATGGCTGGTCCGGATATCAAGTGGACGGCTGGCCCTGGCCCGGCCCCGCTGCCGTACTCAAAGCGGGCGAGAGAAGCAATGGGTGTCACCGACGATGTAAGGGCATGGCATTGTCGAAGCGAAGCAGCGCACTACTGCTGTCGAGATATAGTCCATGGTGTCGAAAGAGCTTTGTAGCACACAGTGCACGCCCAGCGACATTCTACGGTTGGTTGTGCTGGCGCTGGTGGTGGCAGCATCTTTCTAGAAGCTTTGCCATTATGCTGTATATGTATATACTCATCACTCATCGCCAATTTTGGTACAGCGTGCAGCAGTATATCGCACGGTGGAGGTATGCAGACACAGCAGTCCCAGCTGATCCGTACATTCTCGAGCAGAGCATCATGGGCCTCGAAGTTTGGTAATCTCCTCGACATGCTTGCCCTTGAGGTCTTCTTGACGTGCTTACGCGTCAACTTGGGGAGCTGGGAATTCCGCTTGTGAAGAACGTTTCCAAGATTCTGTATCTACCTTTGATGTTGTTCGACGGCATTTCGTACGGTTAACGCCTAGACTTCAGCAGTACAGCAGTAGTTATCGTCTCTTTGTCACTAGTCTATGCATACAGTTAGCGCCCGCAATTAAGAAATATTTTTTTAAGAAATAGAGGCTCACGTTTACACGAAAAATAAGAAAATAGGGTTACGAAACATAGCTCAGTTTGGGTCACACAATAAGAAGTGTCTCAATAAGAAACAGCGGCGACCGCTGCCCTACTACTGCTACTTGTACATAAGAAACGAGGGGTTACGGGGGAGTGTGTCGAATAAGAAACACCCCACAGCTCCTCCTGTCTCTCGCTCTTTCCCCCGTCTCCCACTACCCCCCCCCTTCCATAATGCATTATTATTTGTACGACGAGGGGGGAGTGTGTTTGTTTTGCGGCGCCCCCTCCGGCCCCCGGCCGGCTCTGGCGCTCTCTGGCGCTCCGGCTCTGGCACAGCACACCAGACAGGCCGCGAACCACGATATGCTGTCTGCTGTACGGTTTTGATGGTGCTCTCCGCCAGCTCTCGTGAGGGCAAGTAATTTGCTTATTTTGAACGTTGCGTAATGTAGTAAGCAAGCAGAGAAAATAAGAAATTGCCAATTTACGAAATTCAGCAGGATTTGGCGGCACGGAAAAATAAGACTTGACAAAAGAAATTGAACGACATACGCTGAGTTTATCGCCCACAATAAGTTTTCGAGGCTGGACCTGAAATAGGCCTTTCTTAAATGCGGGCGCTAACTGTATCACAACGGCCACTCTCTTTCCTTCCATCAGTTTAAAGACTGCATCACAAATAGTCAGAGATTTCCTGCATGACTACTGCTGCAAACGACTCTACATTCTTGCGTCTAGGAACAATCTGCCAGTGCCACAACCGCTGCTGCGAGTGATGCGCCATGATCATGTGCGTTGGTGCACCTCATGCGCAGGATAAACCGTGGGCGCACCCAGACCCACCGGCGGCAGAAAGCTGGGGGTTCGGCGGCGGCGGTGAGAGTGACACTCTCACAGAGGGAAGGCTTCGGACCAACTTTTTCCTGATCGTTCTCTCGATCATCTTCGCTATCTGGGTATACCGAAAGGTCGTGAAGAGAGATCACTCTCCCTTTTTCCACGTCTCCCCAACACCGCCGCAGTCGGAGGACGTGAAGGTGAGAGGTCTGGCAGGACGTAGGTTGTCCACGAGATCGTTTACAAGGTGAACAGCGAGCGATAGATGCGGCGTTATGCCTGTTCATTTCTGAGTTGAGACGCATCTCTCTTCATTTACGAGATGGGAGGCGCTTCCTGGCAAGGAAAAATTTATACGTCTCTCCCTCTCTCTGATTGTACTGTAGAGGCGAGAGGCGTTCTTGATAATGATGGTGAAAATGTAGAATTGTTGGTGCGTCTGGTTGTTCAAGCGTATCCCTGCTATAGCATATCAGGGTCAGTGAATACCTTGCGAAGGCAGACGCCCACCTTCGCCGATCTCCACCAATCGGAGGGCTCAGGCAACCGAGGTTTGCAGTTTTGTGAAAACTCTTCTTCAAGATCTTCCCAAGTACCTGAAAGTGGGGTTGCGGCTGTCCTTGTTTTTAGAAAAAATCGGCCGCAAAAGCCCATTAGCCCAGAGGTACGATCGTGTGTTTGTATTTTCAATCTGGCCATCACCATCCACTAATCGCATGTACACTCGGTCGATTGCACCCACATCAAACATCGGTGTGCGGTAGGTTTCAGAGGACATGCGAACAGCGAGAGAGGCCAGACTGAAACGGTTCCAGGAAACGAAAACCTCGTACGCTGACATGATGAAGGAGGCGGCTGGGGGATGTCCTCCTGCCGAGACAGTTCGAAACGATGATGATGGCGGGAATTCTGTGGCGGCGGAAGGGCAGGGATATTCGGATGGGCTGCGACGTAGGGGAGGGGGTGACCAAGCAACAACAGGCTGAAAGTGTCTATGGAAATCCCTTGGAGCTCTTTGGTATTGTACACGTAGTGTAGAGTATTGTGTTGCGGTATCGTATGGGTGACTTCGGCAACAAGCGGAGATAATCCGGAATACAAGCATTTGAGACTGGTTATCTGTATGACCACAGGCAGGGTAGTGATGCAAACACCACGTGGGGTTTGCTCACTTTCTGTTAGCTTTGCGACGCGCCAACTGGCCCGGTGTAGCTCTAAACACGCAGTATTGCTGGCCACTTTCTTTCCAATAACTTGTTCACGTCCGAGAGGTCTATCCCGAGGGGGTTGCACAGCAGTGGAGAGACGTTCACGCACCAGTTGACCGGGTTGTGGATTAGTTGTGTGCCTTGACGACCCGGAGGGGTGGAACTGATTCGCAACCTCTCCTACGATGATCAAGAAATCAATCAAAGATGCTTGCCATTAGTACGTTTTTTCGATATCGCCCTCACGTCGACCGCATGCACTGTCATGTTTTCCGTTCATCACATATGGACCTACTCTTTCGTCGCTATCGAGTCCAGCACCAAAAAACGTGCCAGGGTGTGGGAGACCATCACGGGAGGAAGATCATGGCGGCTTTAGAAGCGCTCGTCGTTTTCCCAATTGGTTCAATCTATAATATAATACAATCTGGGCCTTGCTTTTCCTTATATTTTGACCGTCATCGGTGCAATTTGTGTTCAGGGGAGGATTTCTAAGGCCGGTTCTAGAGGAATGCATGGTCGGGCGGATGCCCTGTTCTGCCTATTTGACCAGGAGGCGCTGGAATTCTCTGTCGACTTCCTCCGCTTCCCTTACAGCAACTGCTGGTAAACCCTTTCCTTCTTGCCGTGAGGGAGTATTGTGTTGACGACTGCTGTTTTTTGTGTGGATGAGTCCTTGTCCTGGCCAACCGGACACGCACAATCCATGAACATGGAGTGCGCTCGTAAACTGCACAAAACAAGGTACCCACTTAATTTTTGGCGGATATAGTAGATCTACCTTCGGGCAAGAGTCAAACACGAACAACAGGCGCAAGCCCTGATTCTCCCACCATTGCAGATACACCTACTCCTACCTTCTTCTTCTCAGGCACGTGTTTGGTCATCCATTGGCGAATGATGTCGGAGCCAACACCACGCATTAGCCGGTGTGGGCATGCCGCACGCACGCGTGTAGGCGGACTGGTCCCTACTCGCTTCTCGCTTCCCCGCCCTGTGCTTAATTTCAAAATGTTTCCTGTTGAGACGAATACTCGCACCAACCCAAGTACTCCATCTCCGGTGTATACGTTGCATGCGCAGTTGGCATTATTCCAAGCTAAATAGTCCTGCGCGTGAAGTACAGTAGGTCTATCTATCTGCAGTTTTATTGTCGGCTTGTGCTGTATGTAGCAGCTTTGAAGTGTATGTACGTATCTGGTTGCTTGATTGGTCAAGTGTAGGCCATGCAGATACAACAGCGCCGAGGAAGGACCTCCCAGTGGAGATGGATGGTCACAGGGCGTGTTTTTCAGTGGGTGCTGACACCTTGAGAGGTTCGACTGGAGGCGTCAATGAAGAACGTGTTTTGTTCGTGACACGAGATATCACTCATTCCCTGGAGCTCGATCACATCAGAACAGCAGAAGACTCCCCGAGGCAGAAAGAGAAGCGGAACCGAAAATGGTGGTGTTTATTGGAGCCACTTCGTCGAGAGCTTTCCGACAACAAATCGTTTGATTTGTACATGCTCTTCGCCGTGGAGTAATCAATCATCGAGCCTCGAAATTCGTCCAAGAGGTGTGATATCTTACGTCATGTGTACCATTCCTCTACATCAGCTCTCTCGCTACGGCAGCGTTCTAAAACAGGATAGTGCCTACCGAACCTGTGCCTTGCCAAAATCCTAGGAGACACGCTTTGCACGCCATGAGTGCCAATGGGTATTTCGTGTGGGGCAAGAAGGCTCTCTGGGTTGGTTGATGATGTGGAACTCCTGAAATACGTCCAGATCTCACGCCGTTTCGGGGCTCCATGGAAACAGCTCTACATCTCTACAATAGATACATGCAGCTGAGTACGAGAGACATCACGGCATCTTGTACCCCTATGGCTGCAGGGTGGCTGATCTACCTCACGCGCTCTTTCTCCCCCACGCGCCCCCTTGCCGCGTAAGGCATGTGCCTATGCGTGTATGCTGGTATGCTCTACCATGCTAGTGCTGATCTTCGATTGCTCAGATCTACAACATTCGGGGACCGGCCGATCTACGACGACCCCGTGCCGTATTGTCCCGCATATTTTTCGGCGCGGGAAGTCATCATCACGCCGACCCGAAGTCCGTGCACGGATCTCAAACCACCACACCATATGCTCTCGTTCATCCTGATTGTGCTGCTCTCGCTGCCCATCACTCAATCGTTCCTCGCTCCGCCCTCCGGTATTGCAGCCCCTTCTCGTCGCACCTCAAAGCATCCAATGGCTCCGCCGCAAAGCGAAGGTAGTGTAGATGCCCAGGCGCTCGAGATCATCGCCGAGCTCAAGGCGGGAACGAAGACCATGTGAGTCGTGTGGTGTTTGGTGTGGTACTCTCTGTCTTCTCAGGGTGCTCTGTTCTACTTACTTGAAGATGTGGCTCTGTTGAACTTTGGTGCTGGCAGTTCCCTTGTCATGTACTGAGTCACTGCATTTCTCCGGAACAACCTGTCTCGAGCAATTGCCGCACATATCAGCAGGTCTACCTCGCTGTCTCTCTTTTTTATGTGCAGCAATGTAGAGACACAATGTCACGCCCTGCGCCTTGTGCCTCTTCACGGTGTGTTTCACTGTTGTACCGGTCCTGATTAGTTTGGTGGATTGGTTTTGGGAAGCCCCAAGGACAATGTGTTGCACTGCATGTACCAGACACGAGCGAGGGAGGAACCCATCGTTGTTGTTGTTTCGGATTTGTGACCCAGGCTACTGCTGTACATCAGTATGGACAATTATGCACACTCAATGCTTTTTTGTGCCGTAGATAGGTGCGTAAGATACCACCTCCTCTGGACCGGATTGTCATATCTCCTGCAAATCTCCATTACTGCCGCGGGCAACGCAGAGGACATGCACCAGAATCAAATCATGCGTGTCCGGAAAGCCCTCGACGACTCGAGATGGCTCCAACGCCAACACTCGCGGCACCATCACCATCACCATCATCATCACCACCACCATTACCATCACTATTTCCTATAATCGAATGCTGGAGAGCAATCGAGCGAGTGTGTGTGGCGTCTCATGCAACCAACAGCAGTACGGCGGTATACCGCGAAGTCAGTGCCCAAGGACGCAGGGGAAGGACCCGTTCGATTTCCGTTTCGTGGGCGGTGCTCAAAGGCTGGGCTGGGCGTAGGGCCGAGCATGAGTACCTGCTTCATGCTCGGGTAGCTCTTGTTCCCCCTGGCATCTTCACGTCCTCACGCCTGAAAATTAGTGTAATTCTGCCGTGCGTGCGAGGCACCACGGTACCAATATGCATTCTTCGTCTCTTCTATGTTCGGCGCCAATTTGCACGTTTCGTGATAACGGTTGACCCACCAAGCCGTGTGATGGTTGCGCGGTACGATCGTTTTGGAAAGACTCATCTCTCGATGTTTCGTCGGGCACCCCGGTGCCATAATCCCGAGAGGCTCTAACTAAACCTTCACCACCTCGATGCCGAACTACACAATGTACATCATTGTCCCAGGCACCCAAGGTGCAATAACTCCGATAGGTGCGATCCTGGCAACAATACAGTACGCAGCGGCCTTACGTTGGTGCTATGCATATTTTGCCTTTTTGCGGGAACCACGGCGGTACGATGGCACCGATAGTTGCGATAAAGAAGAAAAACATCACAGCGGTGGTACCGGCACTTTCACCCGTTACAGCATTCGGCGTCCGGCGGGTACATATCCATTCGTAGTCGCCTATTGTAGTGGTCACACGGTGATATGCTTGGTGTCCTTTTCTCGGACAACATTTGAGTTGTCTGCAGCTAGAGGTGAAATTCTCGTGTTGTTCCGTACGAGAAAGGCAAGCACGTCGCTCGGAGCAAGCCGTATCCAAATCGCTTGCTCTCGTTGCTCCTGGATTCTGGAGGCCTCCTCGGCCTTCTAGTTGCGAGCACACAAGGGCATACTGTAACACATGCCGTCAATGCGGCCACCCCGCCACCCCAGAGATGGCGATGTCTCTTCTGTCGAGCTCGTGCCACCGTTTCCGTCCCCGCAGCTGTCGGTCGCCTCAAACACAAATATCGGTGGATTGTGCGATTGACTTTCGGACAAGACCGAAGTGCCATCTCGCATCTCGCCCAACCTGACCCTTGCTCCTTCACTCCTCGAATGGCCCCATAATGTGTTCCCGTCGCACCCTCTCGTGACCGATAACGACGACGACAACAACCACAACGACAACAACAGCGCGGATCTCCTTGGTCCCCTCACGGGCACCAAGGACATGACCCCTGCCATCAACATCAGGCCCGGCTCGAAGGACCCGGTTCCCGCCGCCCCGCAGGCGGAGTTCCTCCCCAAGGACGACTACAACGTCAAGCTCGTGAGCAACGTCGGCCCTACTGACTACGTCAACCCAGAGCCGCTCGAGAAGTATGACCTGGTGAGAAAACACGCTCACTGCTGTGTTGTAGCTTCATTTTTGTCGTTTAGCATCAGTCGGCCGAATGCTGGGCTTAAGAGGGCCCCCGACTGCTTTGAGGCTGAGCGAAGCGTTACTCTACGTTGTGCTGCTTGAGCGATTTTCCTTTTGCTCTGGCTGTTGCTGTCGCCGTTGTGCTTGCGGAAAGCGATAACAATTCCTCCCGACTCGAGCGCGGCCGGCACCCTGAGCGCTGCCGTGCATACCCCATTTTACGGTGCCCTCCGCTAGGCTTTGTTTCTCACAAACGTTTTCCACGTGCTTGCCTTGCTGGTGCTTCCGCTGGTATGCTGCTGTTCCTGGTGCTGCTGGTGTGCTGGTGGTGGTGGTGGTGGTGGTGGTGGTGCTGTTGTTGACGGAACACGGCCAAGGTGGTGATTGGCTCAGGTGCAGCGGGATTGCTGAGCGTGATCATCGCGAACGGGCTGGGCAAGACTTGCGCCCTGGTGGAGCAGCACGCCATGGGCGGCGACTGCCTCAACGTCGGCTGCGTGCCTTCCAAGGTAAGCTTTACCCTTCATGCCACACGGGAAAGACGAAATCGGCAAACAGACATTTGATATGGAGCGACGTATTTGCCACATCGCCCTAGAACAGCCCGGCTAATGTAGAGCCGAAATAGAGTAGAGACGAAGGATGGGCCTCACACGAAGAAGCCTATTGGGTAACCGACTGGCTCCGCGGTACATGTGTACCGTTAACCATTCCATGTGTACCTTTTGACATGACACGAGGAAGGAACACGGGAGACATATTGGATGTTTCTATCTCGTGTGCAGTATTGACCGAAAGGCCTGGACCTTGAGAAGAGGTAGGATCGTGGTGTTACTGGCTGCGTACTTTCTGAGGCATGCATGTCAATCCATAGGTTTTCGTGCCAAACCAATAACGGCCGCACCTTCGAACAACTTCTCTTCGCTCTCCTGACGACCATACTGGTTGCCGTGTTTGTTTTTTGCAGCTGTCGAAGCGGTGCCCCCCCCTCCCAGTCGTGTTTGCACACGCTATACACTTGTAGGGTATTCCAATTTTCAAGCTTAAAAGAACTACATCTGACCATTTTTGAACTGAACACGCTGTTGTGTAGGCGCTGATCGCGTGCGCGACTAGACTGCATGAGGTGCAACACTCCGCCGAGTTTGGGGTGGAGATCAAGGGTGAAGTGGGAGTGGACTTTGGCAAGGTTATGAAGAGGATGCGCCGGGTACGCTCCGACATCTCGGAGGTGAGAAGGTCTCAGATTCACAACACCACGTCTGTTCTTCGTCGTGCTCTCTAATATTTCGCAAGTGTCTGTTGCCCGTCGTGCCAGTGACATCTTGCAGATGCACGCACGGTAGACATCTTTTGACTAGATGAAGTGCAGTCTTTCTTTTGTCCTTCGAGTAGATGAGCTTGTTCATCTTCGTGTGTTCGCATGTGCGATAACAACGCCGTGGGCGTTTCATGGGCGCGGATATACATGGCACGTGCTGTGCTAGTGCCTTCTCGTCAACTGTACCTTCCGTCCTTGTACCCCATGTTTTCGACGATGTTCTTTGTGACAAATTCGAGTCCAAATATTTGCTCTTCTCTTGTATATCAGATTAACCTTTTCACTGCTGTGTCTTGCTGCCTTGGTTCGTCACTGCTGTTTTGTGTTGACTGCAGCACGACTCCGTTGCCCGCTACTCCCGAGACTTCGTCAAGCACATCTTCCTTGGACGGGGAGTGTTTACATCGGCGGACACGATCGAGGTTGCCGGAAAGAAACTCAAGTTCGACAAGGTATGCTGTCCGTCGTATCATTATACACGTAGCAGGGTTAGTCTAGGCTTGAAGCTCTGACAGTATGGTATCTCGTTTGACGAAGATTGTGAAACTTGTTTTGTGCTCGAAAGGAGCCACTCGCGCTCTGCCGCAAACCCGTGTAAAGGGTAGACACGTGGGCACGTGGGCCTAGAGTTGCAGTATTTGCTCGAGTGTATGATGACATGACTCTTCCTTCATGTCCGTCGTCTTGCTACCACACACTTTTCGATTGGAGACTCGCTGCCTGGAACAAACAGATGATTGGGGGCCTCGACTAACGTATCTTCCTCGCGCACGTTCGTTTAATTGTCACAACGATACGCGCAGGCCATGGTGGCCACGGGAGCTTCCGCGGCAGTCCCCCCAGTCCCCGGCCTGAAGGACACGCCTCACCTTACGAACTCCAACTTCTGGAACCTGGAAGAGCTGCCACCGAGGATGGGCGTGATCGGGGCAGGGCCGATCGGCCTGGAGATGTCCCAAGCCATGCAGCGCTTGGGTTGCAAGGTGTGTGCGCGGGATTATCAGCCGTTGCCGTCTGAACGGAAAACATGCTCTTTCGCGGTTTCAGCTGGCGGTGCCCCCCCGTCCCCCCTCTGGTGGCGTGTTGGCAGAGTCATGACCGTGCTTCGTTCATGTGCTGCTGATGTCATTGCCTTTTTGGTCACGCTGGCCCCGTCGTGCCAACAAAACCTAGGCCAGTGGTCTTAAAATGTAGACTATGTGGCTTGGTGCTTGGTGTGATTCTTTTTGCAAGCGCAAGCGCCTTCGCAGGCGGGAATTTGCCTTTCTTTCGGTTGCGGCACCGGTGACAACAACCGTAGCACGGCGTGGTTGCAAGCATTGCAAACCAAAAGGCTTGACATTGCTCTATTAAGAAGGTGTTTATCCGGCGAAATTATGTCCAAGTGTACGTGTCTCTTCAATTCCCCAACGCGGCAGGAGGCTTGCTTGTTTTCTCTTTTCTATAATCCTAACAATCAGTAGGTTCAACTGGTTGCATTCACGTGAAAATGCGACCGAGGTGAACTGTATTTTGTTTTCTCACCGCTATCGGCTCATGTTTTAGGTGTTGTGAAATTTGGTTGTCTTTGCTGCCTGCCGCAGGTGACCTGCTTCGAGTACGCCGATCAGCTTTTGCCCAGGGAGGACCCTGATGCGGCCAGGTGCCTGGAAGGAGCACTGCTCGAAGACGGGCTTGACATCAGGCTAGGTGCGTCCGCCCGTTGTGTGGTCGTCCTTCCTCGATTTAAAAAGCTTTACATGTACCGTGCCTTGAGAACGGCTTCAAGCGTGTGGAATTGTTGGTACCTGCAAGGTCGAGTGTGAGGTTGAGGCATGTACGTCGGTGGCTCCATTACCTATTGTGCCATTCAATGTCCTAGCTGTTGCGCTTTCAATTTCCGCTCCTTCGTGTTGGATTTGTTCGCAAGCGCATGGTAGCCGCTGCTTCCCGCCATTGTGTCCTAGACATGAAACTTGGCCATTCCGTTCAGTAGAGGACAACGCTCCCCTTTTGGCGGTTGCCTACATGCGTAAAGCAAACTTTCCTGTAGAATTCATGACGATACAGCAGTAAAGTTGGCGCGTATCGGCGGTAGATGTAGTAATATGGTAATATGGTAATATCCTCTCCGGTGTACCGTACGTACCGTACCAAGGTAGCGGCCTCCAAGCGACCCTTGCGTGAGAAATGGGCACAAGGCGAGTGGCCCCCACCATAAACAGAAGGACGAAGAAAATGTTTTTATGGCTGCAGTGTTTTTTTTTCGCTTTGTTGCTGATGAGGTGCATATTGTTGTGCATGCATCTACCGTATCACATACCTGCAGGCGCTCGCATCAAGCGTGTCGAGTGTGACGAGGACGGAGGGCAGTTCAAGGCCCCGTTCAAGGCCTGCCGGGTCATCCTCGACAAGAACGGAGGTATATACAGCATCTCGACAACTCGAGAATACTTTTATTGTGACGGTAATGGTTGGAGAGATGGTGGTGGGTGTTGTAGTAACGGTATGAGGTTTACGTGGGCGGTGTTCCAGTAGGGGATTCCCATGTTTTTCAGTTTTGGCCTTTTGTCTTGTCTTTTTTTTCTTGTGTTCTTGAAAGCCGCCGATGGTGGTCGAACCCATCCAATCAATCGATGGAAATAGTTGAGACGATGCAAGCCATCAATGGACTTAAGTACCTCTGCTTATTTGGAGAAATGGACTTAGTACCTAAGCTTAATTGAAGCCACAATACATGGGTGGACGGAGATTGTGCAGTGGCATGCCACGGTTCAAAAACATGTTCCTAGCAGGAATACTTCCAAGTTCAGGCAATGAATCGAACCTGGTGCTTCTATCGCATGACACCCCTGACTAGAATGAGTGCAGGACATTGAGACTTGGCGCTCACATCCTCCCCCCCATCCTGACGGCTAAAAAACGTGTTCTTTCGATTTCAAGTATCTGCTTGCACTCGTCTTGCTCTCTCGTTTTCTTTTCGTTATCTGCCGCTGCTGCTGGTGGTGCCATTCGCTGGCTCCGATTGTTATTCTTCCTGTCCTATGCACTCTGACGCTGATATACACCATCTTTCTCGCTGCCTTTTGTTCCCGAACTGCAGAGGAGGAGGTGTACGAGTGCGACTGCCTCCTCAACGCCACGGGCCGCGTGCCGAACGTTTTCGGCGTGGGGCTCGACGATGCCGGCGTGGACTACAACAACCGCCAAGGGGTGGTGATAGACGACTACTTCAGGTGGGTCGAGCTCATGGACTACGCATACACTCGCCGGTAGCCTGTGAGGATAGGAACGCATGCAGGGGGAAAGTGTCACGGAAGGGCAGCGATGGGATACGATGACTGCGAGCAGATGGGGACGTGGTTGTGTCGGGCTCTTGTCGGGGGGTAAGGGCTTGTTCCCCGCTCATGACACTGAGCAACGTGGCCAACGTTTGCTTGCTTTCCTCCTGATACCCTTACGACGTTCCCTCCGTGCCGTTTCGGGCGAAAGGGCATCACACGATGCCGGGGCCAGCGTCATGCCAATGGCGAATACGCACACACCTCCCTTGTTGTCCTCCGACATGGTTACGTGTGATGTACCTTCAGGTCTACCTCTGGGTCCCGTGTTGGGTACCAGTATAAAAGACAAGCGGAATCGTAACCGTTCACAGTTCTCCCACGTCTTGCTGATATCTATATTTTTGGCCTTGACAGGACGACATCCCCGAACATCTACGCGTGCGGAGATTGCGCATCTCCGTACAAGTTTACCCACGCGGCTGACTGGCAGGTAAGAGATGAGTGAAATTACCCACCCCCCGTTATTGCACGCCACGGGGACCCTACGTTAGCGCACGTCTTCCGGTACGGATCTAGTCCTTCCATCTGCTTGTTTTTTTTTTTTCGGTGTATTGCATGCTCATTGGATTTTCCGCGGCCAAGTGCTGCCTTTCCTACCCACGACGACCATGTCTCGTATGTGGCGAAGCACGTACTCCATGATTCAATGCTTCGTGGCTCCTGGAACGGAGGCCAATCAATCTTTGGTTATTCAACTCCCGGAAAACAACAATCATCAGGCGCGCGTGGCGATCCGGAACATGTTCCTGGGCGACAAGAACAAGCAGTCTGACCTGCTGGTGCCGTGGTGCACCTACACGGAGCCCGAGGTGGCTCACGTTGGCAAGTACGAGGCGGAACTCAAGGAAAACGGCGTGGAGTTCGAGTCCTACATGGTGCGTACTAAAACGCATTTTCAGTTGCCTCTGCTCGTGTTTTTTTGTTCTCCGCCCTGGCGAACCAGAACGGGTATCAGAAGGTACCGAGCGGAGACCGGAACTGCTATTTTGAATGTGAAGACAACAATAGCATCAACCCTGCCCAACCGTGAAGCACGGGCCGCTTGACACGCTTGAGAGCTAAATCGACGCCGTCCTTCCTCCCCCCAGTGGCAGCAGCCACGATGTTTAATACTTGAGTGTGTCCTGAGAACGTACCAGGCGCTCCCATGATAGGTAGTCGCAATGAGGAGGGGGGCCCCTCATGGTGCTTTGCATTGTACTTGACCCGATTGGGCCACATGCACTTGAGAGTAAAATGAGCGGGCTGAACACAACGAAACATAGGGCAAGGGAATACCGAATATACACAGGAAGTAGTGGTGTTCGGCAGTAAGGAAACGGTGTGTGGCACGGAGGAGATTACATGGATGGAAGGAAGCCTGCCGTTGAATCGTGCTGAAGACACGTCGACCGTGCTCTTGTCTAGTCCTGGTCGTCACGGCTCAGCTTTTTGGTGTCGCACAGTGTATGCTTGTGCTGGAGTTCATGCTGGCGACAGTGATGACAGCACCAGCCTCCTGCCAGCACTGTATTTCATGTGTCAATCCTCGGTTACGCTGTTGTGTCCACCACATGAAGCGTTACATTCTTCCCAAGTTTTTGTTGATATTTGGAAGCTCTCATTGTGTTTTGTGACAAACAGCGCCAGCTAAAGGACGTCGACCGCGCCAAGTGTGAGGGTATCACGGAGGGGTTTGCCAAGATCACCGTCGAGAAGGGCTCTAACGGCAGGATTCTTGGCGCTACGGTTGTGGGCCCGAACGCCGGGAGCATGATCTCGGAGCTCACCATTTGCATCCAGGTGTGACAAGAAACAGCCATGGATGCTGTGCATTAAAACCAGCATCACTTTTTTTTTTCCGCGGCATAAGCATAAGTAGATGGGTTCGTTTCCAAGGCCTCGGTATCAGCTATGGTTGATGCACGGTATTTCGCAACAATTAGTCGACATACCCCGGAAGGAAGCTCTTCAACTGTACTTGAAACCCAAGGTATCCGTGTTTCGGAGTGTTTGTGTTGGCCTCACTATCCGCGGCCAATGATCTGTTGTATCCTTGAACCAAGCCATCCTCTTCGACGTCTCGTGGAATCCTTGCCGTTTTTCGCCTTTTCCGTGGCCAGAACAACGTTTCGATGGGCCAGCTGGCAGGTACGATTCACCCTTACCCGACGGCGGCGGAGTGCATCCGGCAGGCCGCGAACCTGTACATCAAGACCTACCGCACGCCCGCGGTTAACAAGGCTCTCGACATCATCATGGCGGAGCAATCTTGAGTTGACACCCTTGAACGATAGGTTGAACGCCTTCTTCCTTGTGATCTCGAGCATGTGGACCACGGACGACTACAATGGGATTCGATTTTTTTTTTTTTTCTCTTGCGTGGTTCCCTAGGTGCCTCGTTGGATGTGAACCACGGACGACTACAATGGGATTCGAAAATAGTTTTTTTCTCTTGTGTGGTTCCCTAGGTGCCTCGTTGAACCATTCGGTGCTTGTCTTCTTCGATGTCTACGAGTCATTGCTGCTGTGGCATGGTTCGAAAGAGAATGTGGTGTGTGTAGACGCTGGGCTGCACTTGCCACACGTTGCATCGGTGTTCCGCGATCGTGCCAGTTTTTTGGGATGTGGATCAACTTTCCTTCGGGTGGTGCGGCTTTTGAACCTAAAATCGCGATCGGCAAAGACGTTAGCTAGGTAGCGCGTTTGCCCATTTTCTAGCGGTCGGTGTGTCATTGCACATACGGTTGGGCAAAAGGCACGGCGAGATTGCTGGAACGGGAATGTTTGCGCAACGAGCAAGAGTAGGTGGTGTAGTTGTTCATGTCCGGTAACGTGCTGGATGTACGGCGGTGCTGTTTCGAAAATGACGGCTCAGCACCACAAGCGTGTTTCGTACTCTTGTGTGGTAGCTGCGGTATGAACTCGTTTCTTGGGCACCGCGAAAATTTGACGTTGTTGCTTGGTTTATGACGCCTACTGTAGAGGACATCTCTTTTCAGCGCCCGTGGGGCTTGGAATTATTGTCTTCTCCAAGCGAGGATTTGTTAAGTAGTAGATAGTCTAGTGGCCGTATTACCGGGTTAATGGATTGTCATTGGTGAGGATGTTGCGGGCTTCCTTCTCCTCCTCATCGTTCCCTTCCCCCTGTCTTCTCCCCGTTACCCCGACCCCTACCCCCCTTCCTCCCTCTTCCTCAATGCCGTACTCCCCTCTTCGCTGAATATCGAGTCTCCTTCAACTGCACGCCTAGAACGTTTTTGGCAATAGTCTTTCTCCGCAGCAGTCTGGGCTAGGCCTGCGACACCCCCGAGGGTGGGCTGATTATGCTCTTTCTCCCTTTCGTCGTTGTGGTACGCGGTACAGCGTACAGGCGGCGAGCGCGCATGGCTAGGGGGTACGCAGATGCACATTATCCCCCCTAAGGGACACGGTGCCCCTCCAAAAACTACGAATTAGTGTGGCGTTTTAGGGGGGGGTGGTCACTTCGTACCCCCTCCCCACCCTAAAATTATCTCAAATAGGTGTGCAAAAACATTTTCGCGTACCCTTGGGGGAACAGGAGGCGTTTCTTCCCTACCGCTGTACTGTCTGCGAGCGAGCCCCGTGCGCGATTGGCGGGGGAGGGTGTGTGCGTGATTCGTGGTGCATCCTGCAATTGGAAGGTTAGGGGGTTACATTGGGTTCATTTGGCTTCTCGCATGAGAGACTTCGTGTCCGCCAAGCTGCGGCACTATTCAGAGAAATTACCTAAAATCATTCCAACAGTGAACCTCAGAGAATCTCTTTCAGTCAACTCAAAAGAGACGACGTACAGGTACGGCGCGGCCAACATCGTGGTCATGCTATCTATTGACGCGCTTGAATTCCAGCCCCTCCCTCCCCCCCCTCCTCCGCAAACAAGGTGACACAACGCCACGTCCCTGGTGTTGACCTATCACAGCAGCAGCACCGCGACCCAGCTAGACTGCTACACATACACCGTCCCCAACGGCATGCGTACTACTTATACCCTCGGCTTGCGATATAGTCCGGATCAGTAACAGGAGCGCTATTGTACACTGCAAGAAACAAACGGAGCTCCCCTCGGCAAACAACACAACGTGAATAAACATGCCCGCCTTTCTTTGAGTAGACGTACGTCCCAAACCACCTGGAAGAACAAACTACGACCGACTTGCAGGGAAGCCAGTTTACAGCAGTACGGGAACAATTGACAGCTATTTGAGCCAGCCGTGGTCCCTCCGTGCTTCAAAATGCACCTAGCATCCTTTGTTATCACCGGGTTCACATCCTGCCGGCCGCAACACCGTACCAAAAGGCTTGAGAGACGGACTCGTAACGGGTCTTGCCTGCACACACAAAAGGACCTAGAAGAGAAGAAAAGAGAGATACCGCACTATCCAGACAGGTGCAACGGAATCGAGGAGACAGGAAACCAAGCAATAGTTTTCTCGAAAGAAAGCACAGACGAGGCACAACGCACACACCGAGAAATCCAGCACCGTGTTCGAGGGGGATGCGGGTGTATTTGTGCCAAAGTAGTTCCAGGTAAGACAAATAATTTGTTCTCGCACAATACCCCGTTCTCAAGCCACAGCCAGGGTGCAGCTCTCCCCAGGGTTCAGCCCTGGCACACCTGAATCTGTGCCAACTCTCTAGCCACCATCTTCACCATCGACATATTGCAGTGGCCACCACCTGGCGCGAAGAATCAGACGGCAGTGTTTGACTCGGACAAAAGGACACCGCTCGGACCTCTTGCTGTGCTTGAAACCCAAACAGCTGTACGTAGTCGCGGGGGAAAACAGAAGAAAGACGGCCCGTGGTCAGAGCGCACCTATCAAGAGAAAAATGTGGAAGCATTCCATCTTTCCAAGAATGCAATATTATATTAGCACATGGATCTACATGCCAGGAGCAAGTAGCTCAGACCGGAAATGATATCAAGGGTGGAGAACGCGAATGTTGCAACGCGGAGATGCAAATATTGATACACCGAAATCCAGCGGTGAGTACAGGACAACAGGTTTGTGCGTTTGTGCGGGCAATCGAACTTGATCCATGCCTTACATTTGTTGAGTGGCATGGCCAGCTGCGGCACGACCACAATAGTTTCGTTGCATGTGTTGGACATAAGCCAAGAGCACATGACAGCATATACATACATAACATAACCCACACGAAGGCACAGCAGAATACTTGTTGGCTCCCCCTCCCAAACATCAAGGAATGATATCGTGGGCAACCGACAATTGGTCATCCGCAACACGACTTGGGTGTAGGTGAATAGTCGAGCACCAGTTTGGGACTCGGTCACTCCCGACCCCTGCGTCCAGTAGCAGTAGCCGGCTTTCCCCCGGCTGGATATAGATGTCTTCCGTGCGGAGAGAGAGAAAGAGATAGTTCCAGAAGGGGAATCAGGCGCGAGGATTGTGTGATTTTTCGCCGGTTCCTAGCCCTTCTCTCTCTCTATCCTTGGTGATCTAGAAACCGACAATGATCAAGCAACTCGAAAGAAAACATCAAGAGCAAAGCTTGTTGTCGGAGACGGAACAAACTGTCGTTTGTTGGAACCGCAAGAGTTGAAAAGCATCATTGTTGGAAAACTGGGACTAGTACACGTAGGTTGTAGGTCGTAGCGCTTGTGAGCGCGAGAGACGACCTCGGAGTACGTGAGCACACCGAAGGATTGAGGCACTGGCCAACATAGAACAGGTGGCCACAGGAAGTAGTGTATTTTTCCCGCCCTCCGTACCATGATACAATAGCTATCCTTGTTGGACCGGCACCGCTCGAACCCTGCGTTTGTTTCGCACTCCCGTACGACTGTGTCCAATAAAATGGCATTCGAATATTTTCACCCATTCGCTGCGCGAAACGTCACACAGGTATGCATAGCTCAAGCAAAACTACATCGGGCTATTTCAATCAACCCCCTGTAGACTTTAGCAATACAACGGAATTGGTGGTGCGAAGCAATCGAGAAAAAACAACTTCCGTGCATGTGCACCGGAATAATCAAGAGATTTTTTAGGTCGTCCTTCTTTGCTTCGCTGATACAGCAACGTAATCATAGTCGAGGGCACGGCAAAACTCTTCCCTCTCTTTCGTACCTCACAGAAAGCCCACCACCGAGCGGAACAAGCCATCTGCCTCCAGTCCGACCAGCCTGCCCACCAAATCCCTCAAGTCCACCATCATCTGGTCTTCCGTCTCCTCGTCACCCCGACTTGAACCCTCGCCGCTGACCCTCGCCACCTTGGCGGAGTTACCCATGCCGCTGCTGCTGCTGCTGCTGCTGCCGATGCTGCCGCCTTCGCTTCTATTTGCGATCTGCACCCTGGTCGGGCAGGAACGGCTGAGTACCAACCAGCCGCAGCGACGCCATGACCTGTCGGCTGGAGCGCGCGCCAACATTCGGTGAATGCGCTGGTTGTCGGCCTCGCGTTCTTCGTCGTCAAGGTCGTTCTGTTCCAACACTCCTACCACGTCTGCGGGCGTGTCTCCATCGTTGTTCGCGAGCTTCTCATCTGCTCCCCAACGCAGAAGAAGCTCCACGACACTAACACTCGCACACTCGTAAGCTGTGTGCAGTGGCGTATTGTTGTGTTGAGTGCGCGCATTGACATGGCCCCCTCCCTCCAACAGGGCGCAAATCGTGCCGTTCGATGCTTTCCAATGACTAACGGCAACATGGAGTGGCGTAAAGCAGCAGACAGCAGTGGTGGCCTTCACGTTCACATCAGCCCCAGCTCCCAACAATACAAGGATAGCATCGCCGTTGTTACCGACAGGTCCGTCAAAAGATGCAGCATAGTGTAGAGCTGCCCGTCCGAAATCATTGGTGGCGTCGAGTTCACTACTGTCTTTGTCGAGCAAGGCCTGTAACACGTCCGCGTGACCTCTTCTTGCAGCATTTGTGCATGGAGAAAAGTCGTTGCCGGGATGGACACGGTGGTTGGCACCGGCAGCTAGAAGCTTTTCGACAGCCTCGACGTGGTTGTTTTCTGCCGCCTTGCACAGTGCCGTTTCACCGCAACCATCGACCATGTCCTTGTCTGCACCGCCCAACAAAAGCTCACAGACGCACAGCGTATGGCCCTCGGAATCAGCCAGGTGGAGAGGAGTCTGCCGGGAAGCCGTCGTGGCGTCTACATCGGCCTTATTCAGAAGAAGGCTACCTATCACTCGGTGATGCCCAGCTTCGGCGGCGAGGTGGAGCGGGCTGCGCTTCCTCCCATCACGTAGATTCGGGTCTGCTCCAGCGATCATAAGCGCCCTGCATTAGTCATCAGCACCCCGCGCTGCTGCAACGTGGAGGGCGGACAGGCTTTCGCCTCCGAAGAGGACGTTCACATCATCCATCGCCCTAGCCTCGAGTAACGCGCACACCATCTTGTCGTTCTTGCCGCATGCAGCCGCACCCAGCAGTGTTCGGCCATGGCAACCCCGCCAGCCTGCTTTCCCGTTGGCACCAGCGTCCATCAGCCGTGTGAAGAGATCCAAGTTCCCCTCGGCCGCGGCATGCTCCAGAGGTGCTCGAAGCCACTCCTTCCACTGCTCCGCGGTCGCCTCCCTCTGGACGAGTTCGAAAATCTCGATCTCGAAGCCGTCAAGTCTTGCGCGGTCCTCTTCTTCACGGTTCGAAGCTGGCATGTTCGGTCTTGGACTGCACAAACTATATTGCTTCTGGTGGTGTTGATGTACGAGGTTGGTGCTGTCTCGCTGGCAGGCTCTGGTGTCTTGACTGGCAGGAGAGAGACGGCGATCAACGCCATGCGGCGAGACGAACACGATATGCGGCGGAACTCCGCAGAAGACTGTCTGACTCCTGGCTGGCGCATGGCGTGTATGATGGCGTCTGGCGTCCGGCTGTCCGGGGGCTGTGGGGGGTGATCGTATCCAGGAAGATTGTGAGCGTTACGACGCGGACCCCCCAACACCTTCTTGCTCGCCTGGCTTGCTCCTGCGCTCACAGCTTGCTCGACAAAGTGCGTGAATAACTCTTGACGGCGCTCCAAATAGCAACGGCATTTCATGTTTTTTTTTTTTTCATGTTTTAAATTCAAACACGGAAGACTCTCCGACCCACTGGCAGCAGCTCTAGGTGGCGGGACTAGGAGCGGTGCAAAGTCTGAGGAACAGTTAGAGGCTTCGCGGCAGGAGAATGTGTGGTCAGGTTGGTATGCTTGGTGTGCTGCTGCCCTATTGTGATCTCGTAGTCGACTGCTGAGAGGCTTCGCGGCACGAGAACGTGAGGTCAGGTTGGTGTGCTTGGTGTGCTGCTGCCGTATTGTGACTCGTGGTCGACCACTGCTGTACTACTTGGTACTGCTGTACGGCTGACTCGGTTCCCGATGTCCAAATGCGGAAAGCACCTATCTACAAGTACGCTGTGACATGAGCAAGACGCACATATCCAATTTATGTAGGCGTAGTTTGGTGGATTTTCAGGTTTGTTTTAGCTGTTGCTGCTGCTGCGGCTGCTGCATGTCACACTTTCCGAATCTGCGAGACTGAGACCGATACCATTGTATGTAAGTCCCCTAGCCTGTTTGGTTCGAGGTTCGAGGGTGGCTTTGGTCGAGGTAGGGTTTTCTTGTGGCATGCAGCTGTAAATCTGCTGTGGAGGGCATTGGTGTTGTGTATGCGGTATATCCTGTGAGCTTGTGGGGTTTGGTCCTAGATATTATATGCATGTCCGCTGATACTGGACAGCAGTTAGAACGCCCGTTTAGAGCATCAGTACTGGTACAATCTACCACAAGCTCCACGATGGAACTTTTCCACGTGAAGTATTGTACATGAGCAAAATATAATCCAAGTGTACACACACGAAGTGACGTAATCGCTGTGTGTGGCACTTATTTTTTGTGCGAGCGTTCCAAGATCCCTTGTACTTGAAGTATGTCGTGCCTGCCGAATGCGAAACGTTTGGTTAGGCGGGATGCCCAATCAACCCATGGCGTATCTGGTGCGGCACAGCAAACGCAAGGATGATGGCCAGCTTGAGGTTCCCCCCCAACTCCCCTCCTCGCCGGATACATCAACCGCTGCTGTGCACAAATTGCATTTTCAGGCCTTGGAACAGCGCCGAGCTTGTGCGATTGAGTTGCTCGAGAACGACCCCGTTTTGATGGAACGGGTCCGGGCAATGCTGCGGGCGGGAGCTATGGAAAAGGCAGCGGCTAAGGCAGCCGCAGTTGACGGGGCGAACACTCGTGCTCTCCGAGCTTCGCTGCAGGCGCTGAAGCGGCACCACACCAGCAATATCGGTCGCATCGCGTATACGACGGCACTGGCCGCAACGGCGGGTGCGGGGGCGCATACGTGTGATCCAGGCGACCCGTGCCGCCCGGGGGAGCGGTGCGATTCCGTCGAGCGGGGTGGAGTGAGCTTAGCCGAGCGGGCTAGGAGTCTCGAAATTCGGTGCAAAACCTTCGTTGAAGCGCGTTCGCGGATGCACAACACGAACCACGACCTGGCTCCGGAAAAGGCTTTGGCGGGCGGCTACTACATGTACAGCGAGCGCAAGAAGACTACGAGTGATGCGACGAACCCCGAGGTCATGGCTCTCGCCAGGCTGTACTGTCACTCCGACGACGTATCTCGTCCGACAGGTAGAGCGGTCGGTGGTGTGTTGCGTTGCGCTGCCGCCACGCGATACATAGTCTCCTGGCTCTTTCGGCAACTCTTTATTATGTTGTTATAGCTGCGCTTGACCGCTAGCGGTGCAAATCGCAGTACAACAACCTGTCTTGAGGGAGATGAAACTCTCATTTAGGCGCAGTGGCACTAGTTGGGTGCTGGCCAGGGAGAGAGGGTGTAGTCTGATGTCATACTCTAGAAGGTGCAAGTTCAACCTGCTTTTCGCTACCAACTCCTGCACAAGCGGCGCAAAGATTTCATTGGCACGGCTGCAGCTTGCGGGTTGGTACAATGAATGGGAATTTGTTTGGCGCTACTTCTGTCCTGGTGACGGGCAGGAACACCCACGGCAGAGTTCCTTCGTTGCCCCGCCCCCTACAGGGAATGGGGAAATATGCAACGAGTCCAAGAAGAGCGACGCGCCCTCTCACCCCCGGAGGCAACTCAAGCACAAGGGAGACGACGTGTGGGGGATGTTCCTCAAGAGCCAGCAGTACCTGGCGCTAAAGGCGAAGCTGCTTGGAAAGGACAGCGAGTTCACCGACCCTGGCAGAACGAGGTTCCTGTCCACGCGGTGTGCGTCTTTGGGTGGGTGACCTCAAGGATTGCTTTTTGTTTTGCTTGGACGGACATGAGTTCCCCATTGGCAAGCATTTTAATTTTGCGAGGTTAACAATGTTGGCCTGAGGTATTGCGGGTGAGGAAACAATGCTCACTCCTATGTTTTCCGTCTGTTCGCTTCTGGCTGTTTCCATCTCGCGATGTTGCTTTTCAGTGTAGCCAAGGACGTCGCAGAGTTAGGAGGAAGTGGGGGAGAGGAAGAGCAACACTGTGTAAAGAGAGCACTAACGTATCCCGAAGAGGAGGCTTTCGGAGTCGGTCTAGAGACTTATCGACTATGGGGTACTCCCATGGTTTCTGCCTTGGGGTTGCCCAGCGTGCTTGTTTGCGGCCTCTGGGGTGGCTCTCCAGCGAGCTCTCTATTTGAGGCGAGCGAGGAAAATCTCGCAGCGATGAAATCTTGTACGTGGAGGTCTTTGTTAATTTCTTGTCTGAGTATCGTTGTTGCTATCGTTGCAGATACAACTGCTGTCGTTGTCGTCGTCGCCCCCGTTGTTGTTGTTGGTGTTGTTGTCGTTGCTGTTACTGATACTGTTACTGTTAACTAGATCTAACTTTTATTGAACTCAGACCACGACGAAATAGTTCTTGAGAACTGTTCTGCATGGCGTTTTATCCCTTAAAATCCCTGGAGCAATCTTATTGCGCGATTGTCATGAGTCAGCTATTCTCTTGTGCGTGGCACCAGACATCACGGAGAAGCTCCCAATCGACTCTTATGCACCAAGCATAAGCGTATGTATATGCAGAGCAACCCTGGGCAGTTCACATCCTTGAATCGTCCGGAGTCTAGTATCAGTGGCTCTGGAGGACAATCCGCAGGCCAGAAGTTTGCTCTGCTTTGGGTCTAGATGTTCTCTTGATCACCCAGCACATCAGCCCAGAAAACCACGAGCTTTGGCCTCCTGCAACAACCTCTCGTTGGCCTCGAAAAGGACGGCACACCCGCCGCACCCCACCAAGCTGTTCCCCGCCTCGCCGCCGCCCCGTGCTTCGGGGCTTGCCACCCCAACCGAGTCCTCCCCCATACCGACGCTGCCCCCCCGCTCGTGCTGCCGTGGAGACGGTCGGAGCTCATCACCACCACTAATGATATCTCCGTTGTCGTCGTCTTGTCGCTCTTTCAGTGCGGCAGCTGCCCGCATGCGCACGAGATCCCGAGCCCGCTTGGCGTACTCTCTCTCGGCAGCTGCCGCGGTCCCCTCCGCGAACCTCACGGCCCTCCTCGCCTTCCTCGAAACCGAAGTGGCGTGCTCTGCGCTGTACGCTTTCGACGAGGGGAAGGTGTGATGATCAACATCACCTCCCCCCGCCCTCCGACCGGTAGGTGACGGATCGTCATCTTCACCGAGTGGAGTTCCGCTGCTGTTGTCGCTGGCGTGTTTGGGATTGAGAGCTCTAGGGGATGGTGGCGGCGACGAAAACGACGATCGCGAAGCTTCGGCCTCTGCCAATTTCCGGAGAGAGGAGGCGCTCAGTGCCTCCTCCACGGCAGAGATCAAGGAAGACCTCCGATCGTCCAGCATTTTAACCTCTCTGACGGACCAAGCATTTGAAAGGGGGATAACTGAGGATGAGACAAAGCACTGGTTTAGCTGGACGGCCGCCTCTAATAAGTGCAACCCACTCTTTCTTTGCGCACTCGGCTTGCGTCGACGTGTATCAACTTGATACCACCACGGGGAGACTAACGCTCTTCGGGAGAAAGCTTGGGGGATGAATGGGCTCATGTATGTGTACAACTACCATGAGCGGGTCTACGGTATCCCGCCGCCTTTCCTTACCGCCCCAACGCGACCTTGGTGCGCGTTACTTCGTCCTCGCCCGCCGCGTCGAGTGCTTGCCTCAACGCCTCCGCGGCTCTGACCGTGGTCTCGTGCTGGACTCGTTTGTGCTTGGACGTGCATGCTTCAACGGCAAGATTGATGGATCTTGCTGCCTCCCTCTGAAATCGCCGATTATCGCAAAGAAATACGCGGGAAATGTGAAAGTCACTCGTTGTTGGACGATATGCGTGCCCATCTACTGAGCCACGGTTGAACGGGTGACGCCGCCTTCCTCCAAAGTCGTGTTCCTGTTGAAATTAATATCGCGTTGCCTGATCATTGGGTGTTTGAATCGTTGCCTGCCTTGCCCCCAGCCAAATGTTCCCGACAATGTGTCTTGATGTCACCGGTCTATAGTCTCGCCCACAAATATTCGTGATTTCCTGCAAAGCTTGGAAGGAAAGCGGATAATTACTTCTACGTCGGCGTCAGAGTTGTAGCGGGTGGGCGAGCTATCTGTTTCGTTGCGAACGGTGGGTGACCAAATAAGCAAGCTTCCCTCTCTCCAAGGCACGAGACACTGTCGGTTGCATTTAGAGATGCGCAACCTGGCTTGTTTCAACTCACATGCAGTTGTCGTTTCAGCTCGGTTTCGGCTTCTCTCCTGTCCCCCTCCAAGTCACTAGTCACCCTAGACAGCTCCTCCTCAGTGATGCTGGCCTCTACCTCACGAAGTGCCGCTAGAGCTATTTCCTGAGCGATCGCGGCCTCTCCACCCATCGCGTCTATCTTAGCCTGACAACATGGAAATTATCGACAGGCGGGTGGGGGCGGGGGTGAACTCGATATTCGCCTTGGCACTATGTACGATGCCACGGGAGAAGGTTGTCACGGCATTGTGTAGGGCAGTAAGCACCACAGGTGGGCCAAGCGGCAATTAATGACCGTGGGGAATGAATTTTGCTTGCCTGTATGTTGTGGTCGCTTTGCTGCCTGATGAGTCGGCATGAATGTCCAAACGCCGCTTCTCCCTCGTGCAGTGCTCTGCCCTTGTCATGTGGGCCGCAGAACAAGAGAAATATGAGCGCGTACTCCATGCAAGGGTAGGCTAGGATAGCCCAGGCGTTGCAAGAGTCGTAGTCTGCCACGATCTACAGTAGTAGATGCCCGCCAAAACATGTCATGACGGAAGAACTTTTCGTCGTGCTACCATACGTTTGGGTAGGACAAAGTGATCGACCTGGCTGGGGAGAACTTTCTCCATAGACTACATACATATATATGACTAAATACTTGTCCATTCTACGGTGAACTTAGATCAACGCCACCAATCACACTCGTCCTCACGGCTTTCAAACGAGGTCAAAACGCGGCACCAAGCACTTCATGAACCTTCGGTCGTCACTCCCAGTATGACAAGAGACCGACGCAACGCCGATTCTGTTGTCGTGAGTGCAGACAAGCGCATGATACGATACGATGATCCGTTTGATTGAGTCATACTCCGAAGCAATTCATCCCTTGCACGTGACAAATATCCCCAGCCAGCATACCAGCCTTCCCTCTAGTGAAAGTCAAACGTGAAAGTGTATCTACCTCTCGCGCTTCTCGTGGGCTTCTTCCCACAGCTCCCCCTGCAGACCGCTGACGCTATGCCCTATGCCCCTGCTGAGAGAACGCCTCAGCCTCGACAAAGTCTTCTCCTTCTCCTGAGCATGCGCCACGGCAAGTCTCTCGCGAGCAGCATCTTTGAGGTCCTTCAACTCACGCCTGCACTCGGCCACCCACACAAAAACGGTGCGACAAGGGGAGGGTTGGCATTGTTGCCCACGGAATTCGGGGGCCATCATTGATGGCGTTTTCGTTGAAGGGACAAAAGCCCACACATTAAACGAGACGCGGAGGAAAACGGGCAAGAGCGCAGTGAGAGGTAATCGCCGCACATTTCGAGGGCCAACACAGGCACCACAACCGCCCGTGGGACGACGTATTCATCTACCAGACACTGTTTCCAGGAGCGGGGCACCGCCTATGCGTACAGGTTTCGCTATGAGGGCCGCAGTGTTTTCGCCCTGCCTGGAAACGGAATAATTGGAGTTTTGCCTCGATTGGGCAACAATTTTGTCCAACATCCCGACTTGACAGGCGCTTGAAAATCATTTTCTTCACTGATCCCCCAGCTATTCGAACGGTTCTCGGAACGGTGCTCGGGTAGGGGGGAAAACGAGAGATAAGAGGTTATATTGCTCACGCGTCTCTTGCCACACCTCGCTAGCACCATCCTGAGATCATACTCCTGCTTCTGCAGAGTGAGCGCCTGTTCTGTCTTTGCTTCGCGGTATGCCTAGGAGACGCACAACAAGATGGGGAGCAGCACAAAGCGCGCGAACGAAACAAAGCACCACGGGCGGCTGGGATGCAATTGATGATGACAACAACGTCGGTTTCGGTTGTTGTGTGTGCGTTAATAAAGCCAAGACCAAGATGAGCATTCACATGCAGCTTGCCCAGCCTGTCACAAGGTACAACCCGTGTTAACCAACAACCTCGTTTGCTACATGCACCGAAGGGTATTGGGGACAACAATCGGATAGCGACACCGGTCGCCATCCCTTTCTCACCTCCTCCGATATGGCAGGCTTTCTTGCCTCGAACTTCTTTCTTTCAACGTCCAGCTCCGCGTGAAGCTCGCGCAAAAGCCTTCCTCGTTCCTCTTGCACCAAAAGGTCCGCCCTTTTTAGTAATCGCTTCCCGTGTAGAGCAAGCAGCATCAAGACATGCTATGTAGGTACTGTTTGCCTGTACGAATGCTACTAGCTGTGGTGCGTTAGGGGAGCGATCGACGTCCTTCACTGTCACAGCTGAGTATGAAAATCGAAAAAATGGCCAGAACACATTCGCCCAGCCTAAAACGCGTCAAACGTCGGTTTTGGGCAACACGTCATGCTGACATAGAGCAGTGAGATCGAAACCGCAGTTCGCAACTGACGGGATACCAGGGGAATCGAACCAAACCTGACAAAACCTGTCAACCGCGAGAGAGTGGGGGTGTTGGTTGGGCCCTGGAACCGGTGTCGAATGTTCTGCGAAAAGATCGCAGTGAACGAACACGCCTCCCTAGAACGGTGTATGAAGCAGCCTCCAATGGGCACTGCCGTCGCCCATCGACTTTACTTCGAGAGAACGTGTCGCACTACGTGGTGGTCTTACTGCTTGGAGGGACGATTTGGTAGACGTTGTCGTCCTTTCCTTTTTTCCGCGCGGTGGGCTGGTTGATACCTCACGCCACGCCGGCCGTGCGTTGCGGGTCGCCGTCGGTTGTCTTGCACGGCCAGGACCAAGGTCAAACAATACACTATCGTATACAACATGTGGCAGGGCATGTGGGGACAAAAGGGGAGAATGAAAGGAGGAGGGACGTGGCCGCGAGGACTGGTAGAAGGGCGACACCGCCACTGCTCCGTATAGAGTCGGGATCAAGGACGGCGCGGCCACTGCCCCAACCAATGGCACCCCTAACGAAACTGTTCGCAATACTACAGTGCTTGTCCCTTGGCTAAAACTAGTACACTGCAAGCCCCACGAAACCATCCAACAACATCCTGCTCAGCAGGAAACTCGCAGTTCTGCCAAGGAACGCCGCGGTAGTGGTCGAGCCCTGCTGACCTTTGGCAACAACGCTTTTCTGCAACTTCAACGGTCTAACCAGAGGCTTCCGTTAGTTTTGGCAGAACTTCACCTTGATAGAGTTTCCAGAGCGCGCATTCGTGAGGCCTCTAGCTTGTTCAACAGGCTGGCATTTGCCCTCAGCGGAGGAGTTGAGGCAGAAACAGTGTCGTCGCAAAAGCGGCCAGATCCTGGTGTCTGCTTGGCTCCGGCAGAGATCGAGGTGGCATCGCCTGTGGGTCGAATGTGACAAGCAACACAAGGATAACAACAGAGTTGTCGCTCTGTGGAGCAGCCAGGCAGGGGGCTCATCAATGTTCATCAGTTTCTGGTCCCGGATTGGGTGCGGATCCCTACAGATTGAGCTTCTCTACACTCTCTGTACCGTAGAGCAGTACATCATTTTTGTCGTGCGTGCGAATACGTTCAGGGGTATATGGTGAATGTACACGTTTATTGTATAACATACTCGAGCTCAATAATCACGGTGTACGGTCGCCAACTACTTGAGTTCCGAGAGATGACACTTGCCCGCAAACGTACATGTAGGTTGCCGGGGAAAGGAGTTTGCCTGTCGTCCGCGTTGGATATGTGTATGCGCCATCGAATTACATGCGGGGAGTGCTTCCTGCAAATTGAAAAGTTCCTGCTCGAGCGAGCGATCGAGCCTGATCATGAAGGGGTGGGTGCGTTGAAGCAAAGCAAATTAGAGCTGCATTCATGTCTATTTTGTAACTTACAGAATACACAACAATAGCCTACTGCTTCTCTAATGCTGTGCCCGGGCCACAAAGAATGTGGAAGTTCTTACACACGCGGACATCCTATACGCTGTGCATACAGCAGACTACAAGTAAATACAGCAGTGCATGCACAAGTGCACATACGGCGGGGTTCACAGATGGATGTGCATGTCGTCTACGTACTCCGGTTATGTTATAATTTACGACCACAGGTACATGGAAGACAGTTTACCTTTCAACTACCTCTTGGGGCGTCAGCGTCCTACATTGGTTTTGCTGGCTCGACTGGATCGCCATTATCCACTCCGCATCCGACGGAACGGCAAAAAAATCTGACTGATGATATGTGACCGCTGATGATGACGATCCTTCGTCGAGCTTCAAGATTCAAAACACCAATCAGTCGCTGTTTTCAGTTTCCCAGCACCAGCAAGAGGCACTACTAAGAAACGCGTATGCCACCAACATAGGAGCCACACAGCACGCCAAAAAGAGCCCGCTCACAACTCAGTCCTTGGCATGATCTTGCTTGTTGTGTCTGGTTGTCCCAGCGAGCACCGAGCTCAACTCCCCCCCCCCCGTGCCCCCATATGCGGACCCCCCCCCTTTTCTTCTTTTTTTTTTTTAATCTTTACTTCTGGCCGCGCGCACCGTTCCTCGTTTGCCCGCCTCCACACTCCACACTCCACACCGGCTGCATCACAGGTCACAGGCCGCACTCGACAGTACATCACAGGTCGTCCAGAATCCCTCTTGCCCATCCACCGACCAAGACATTGCTGGCAAGCCAGGAGAGGTTCATCGAAGGTGTTGCTGGGAGCAGTCGGGCGGGGAGCAGCAATCAACTACATACAACATAGTCTAATCTCTCGGAAGGTGAGTTTGCGAGTGCGGAGATTTTAGAGCGTTTTTACCCCGAGCGGTAAACTTCCCGGCAAACCACGGTAAGCAGGTATTTGTAGGCAGAGCGGCATCGGTGTTTTTGCCAATGCTAGTTGTCGTCCGGTGCACAATTGGTTGCTAAACCACACGCATGGCAGCAGTTGCGTCGTGTTGCATGCTTCCGAAGAGGCACGGCCCCAGTCTAGTTGATGTTTGTGGGGTCCCCGCATATAATGTTCTCGAATGTCAAGATCCGACTCACACGCACGTACGTGCAGTATAGTGGGCACTGCTGGTGACACAGATCGGTGTGCCGTCAAGGTTTTGAGTGGTGGAGTGTGTGATGGAATCTGAACAGGCGTGCACAAGGGAAGAACTACATTTTTCTCCGGCCACTTGTTGCGTTGTCTGCTCTTGGATACATTCGCATAAATAGTCTTCCTGCAGTACAGTACTTTCTTCTCTCGAAGAACGAGGAACTATAGTAGTACCGCTTACAGCAGTAGTTCAACCACACCGTGGTTGCACTTGATGTTCTTAGAAAGGATACGCAGAAGGTGCGATCAGAGAAAAATGATATCCTTTCGAGAGAGATCACCCCGCTCGAAGGGGTGTGTTGAAGGCTTTGCACTTGGTTGGGTGTTGAGGCAAACCTGCTGGTCGCTGGATTTGTTCTTGTTATGGATGTTGGTTATTGCAGCTCCTGCTTGAGGCAAATCAAGTTACGGTGATTTAGGGAGCATCGCTCGCAAGTCTCAACCTACAGCAGTGGTATGAGACAATTGTCTCTCTGACTTCAAAGCTATAACCCGGGGTCGCGCGAAGAAGGCCTTCGCATGTCTATGTAGAATAGAATAAGAAAGTTCTTTTACATTCGGCTCGACCGCCTCCTCCTCGAAAGGACACTTGTTGCATACATGTCATACTGCTGTTGGTACGAAATGCGGAATAAACGTTGGGTATCGTAAGGTTGCGAGGTCATCGCACGGTCCGGAGTCATCGCACCCCCGTACGACGAAAGAAAATGAATGGATGGCTAAATTATCAATTGGCTTTCCGCACCGGTCCGGAGTCACCGCACAGGGGTGTGGCGAGTTGAGTGTGATGACCCGCAACCTCGGGTGGTAGTTGTGTGCCAGCGATTCCGGGGCAACGCCCTGCACCATCGTCGCAAACCACACGTGGAGGCATGAAGGGAAAAAACGCTGATTGGTATTTTCCATTGCATCGGTAAACTTGAACATTGTCCGTTCAACCAAAACACGAGAAAGACAACAGCAGCCACAAGCCAAAGGTTTTGTGTTGCGTGTGGTCACAACTCGACATCGGGAAAATTTGTGTTCCGCCCGCGGGATTTCGTATTTCGCCACGTTTTGTTTCGCCGCATTGTGTGTGTGTGTGTGTGTTTCTTCTTGATTAGCATAATAGCATCGACCGCGCTAACCGGCTGACCAATGAAAAGACGTCAGTCTCAGTGCGGTGGAAAACACAAAATGCTTCTACAGGCCACGATCTGGGACCTGTGACAGCGTCATGTGTGTGTGCTTTCTCAAAAAACCTAGTGTCCACCGGGCTAACTGCTGTGGTTGACTTACGGGCGCATGTGTGTGTACGTTGCGTGTGGAGCTTGTAACCGCGGCACAACTGAGGTGTCCGTGCGTCTGCGAGGAATTTTCGAGTACCGCACGTACGTACCGGAGTTACCGCACAAGCGGTGTGCTTTAAAAATTCTTCATAATATCGCCTTCAGGGTTTACCACTCAGGTCTGCACATACATTTGGAGTCATCGCACAGGGTTCGGAGTCATAGCACGGTCCGTAGTCATCGCACCCCTGTGCGATGGAAAAATAATGGCGAAAATGTTGAAAAAACGACCACACTGGGGTGCGATGGCTCGCAACCTTACGGTAAACTATTTAGCTGAGCACCGACCTGAGCGCCCACCTCCCCAACCCTAGCCACTTGGTACATAATGTCCGAGGTCAATGAACGACCTATTTTTAGAGTATTTATTGAACCACCTGCAATACCGTGGACCACCGGGGCGACCGGCAGTGCGGAGTAAAAAAAAAATCACTCACGAATGAATACGAATGCTACGAGATGATCTGATGCCACCCGCTCCCAAAAATATACTTACATTAGCAGCTTCTCGATGCTCCGGGAGAGGAAGAGCAAGCTTCTCTAGGCGATTTCGTCCACGCGTGAGGGGTTCAGACAGGACGTTCAACAAAGGAATTGCTTTGCCCCTTGTTCCCTCCCTATCTCCTGTCTGTAGAGAACACCCGCCGTGAATTAAGTCTGCCCTGTTACGGCGCGAGCTCTTTTCTTTGTTTGGCACGCCAACCTTACGAAACTAACGCAGACAACATTGGCACTGACTGCGCTGTTGTCGCACCGTTCTGCCCCCCTCCCCCCCCGATATCAGATGCAGCAAGCCCCGGTTCAGCAGCGATACCCAGGCCAGCAGCCCCAATCCGCGGCGATTCCCCCCGTCGGAATACCCGCCATGATGCCGGCCACCCCGGGGTCGATGAACATGGGTACCCCGGGCACTGTCTTGCCGAACGGTCAGTTCGTGCCCAACGCGTCGCCCGCCCAGATGAGTGTCCTGCCAAACGGGCAGGTGATGGCACCCCCCGCCGGCGGCGGCATGACGGCAGGGGCGCCTGGGTTTCCTGTCCACACCCAGCCGCCGGGGGTGGGGCCGAATATGGGGCCGGTGATCACGCGAGAACAGCAGGAGATTGTCGGGGTGCCGCCGGGGATGACTCGAGAGAGCATGGCGCCTGGGTACGACCCGCGGCTCAAGAAGCAGCGAAGGGTGTTCGATCCTCGGTACTCCTTCAAGGATTCCTTCGGGAACAGCAGAAACAAGAGCTGCTGCACAATATCCTAGCTGCTACGCATTGGTGAGCAAAATATCCTATTAGCTGCTATGTTGCAGGTAATCACAATATCCCGGCTGCTTTATAACGAGCCGTCAGTTTTTGAGGGCGGGCGGGGTGGAGGGGGGGGGTCGACTAGGGGCAGATTGTTTGGGCCGGAGCCGGGCGAGCGCGACCTCATGAGCATCTGATTCGCCCCGTTGTGCGTGGCTGCAGCTAAGATACTGCACATTGTTTGGTAGAATTGAGAGGGCGCGCGCTGCTACTGTTTGGATAAATGGAGTTTGTAGATTTCTAAGAGTTGTGCTCTTCTGTGGTAGCGGTAGGTGGGTGGGGTATGTATGCGAAAACGCTGCAGGTGTGTCTCAACGACCAGATGTGTCACTGCCATTTGAGGCTCCCGCATGGTTTTTCGAGTCTAGGCTCCTGGCACCGGACTCGCTCTACCCCCCGGCTCGATCGATTTGGGAGTGCTAAATATTATTTTATATTATAGGTCCGAGTTCGTTGTCTTTCTTCTCCGGTAAGATTCCTCCCTCCGTGCGTTGTATGAAAAGGGCAAACGGTGGTTGGTATCATCGTATGTAGTGTAGAAAGCCAAGTGGTACCATCGTATTCCAGTTTGTTTTGGGCAGCGTGGGGGGTGACATTCTGTTGGAGGTGTTGTGTGAAAGTCCAAGCCATTTGGAGGTACAGTACCAAGTGCTCCGAGTTAGTTTTTCCAGTGCTTCGTGTGGTGAACGTTCGTGTTTTTATGTTTAGATGTGTTCAAGTGCTGAGGCGTGCAGAATACCCTCCCTCTCTGCGAAAGAAGCTTTCGTTAAACCATGAAGAAGGTGCATATTTCCGGTGTGCTTTATCCCTACACACAATTTTTTGTGTTGGAACAAGAAAGGCATGACTGCCTGTACTGGTCGTTACGACACCACCTCCGACACAATGAAGGTAGTGTACCAGATGAAAGTACCTTGTCCAGACCTTCAATAGTAGCCACAGATGTCTTGTGTGTGGTCACTTCTCATGTTGAGGAGAGAAAAACTCGCTGTGTGTACAATGCCCGCGAATTTTCGCCCCCAGTTTGGAATGTTTTCGGGGGCTCCCGTAATAGTGTTCATAGGTTGGGATGCTTTGACAAGTTGATCTTCCGCACCAGGTATACTTGATGGCGGAGCTGGGTTGTACGTGCACTATGTAGCAGCGCGCGGCAACGCGCTTGATATTTTGGCCATGGCCATTATCTGAAGGAAGGGTGCAAGTGTGGTGATGGATATTTTGTTTACATGATACGGAAGACCTTGGATATTTTGCGGGTTTAAGAAGTGTGTGTGATGGAAAGACGGATGAAATCACTGTAGGCCCATCTTATGGTAGAGATGTGAAGTCCCCCCTTGTCTCCGTTGGAACGCAGCGACACCATCGTGTGTTAAGCGGTCGTAAGGTTGTCATTGGCTGTCCTCCAGGTTCTTTTGTAGTCCCTTGCAAGGCGGCGGCGTAGGGTATGTGTGGTCTGGGGGGTACACAGACAGGTAGTGGGGTCAGTCGAGCTCATGTGAGGGGAAGGGAAGGAGCGAGTGTCCGACTTGCCAACTTTTTCTACTGCGTGAGAGAAAAGGACTTGCATAGGTGGTACCGTTGGAGTGCATTCTAGTGCGTGTAGTGCAAACGGGAGATTATCGAGAACTTCACCGCTCGAAGGCGGCGACGATGTATAGGTTCGGCAGCATGCTCTTACAATTGAAAGCAAACATGTTTTCCTTGTCTCAAGACTGGGCGTTGGTCTACTGCAGGTACTGCTCACGTGGTTATCTTGAGACTGCTACAATATCAGGCCACCCCCGAACGAGACTACTAGTCAATCTGCTGACTGTGTATCTTCTAACTGTAGCTGCCGAAGGAGGATGGGGTACGCCCTACTGCTGTACCCGGGAGATTTCGGTGGGCGTCTTTCTGCCTATCGCGGTGTTGCTTTCTGTTACACTCAGGGAACTTCAGGTTGGATGGCGAAACAGAACAGTTAATCATAGAGGAAATATCTCCACGGGTGAAAGCAGGCTCGCCGACAACCTATCGTAGCTCCGTGGAATGACGACCGCCATCAAATACCGTGCCGTCCAATACACGAAAATATAGCGCTCCTGCCCACGCGTTTCTGGTGAACGACCGAGGCATCAAACACGCAAACATAACCCCACGAAACATCTTTTTTCAGAAATAAAGCAATTGTAGACTTTGGGTACTCAAAAAAGACGTTACAGGGGTGCGAATTCAAGCAACACCCATGCACTGCCATGCCATCGGTACGGCCGTTTCCTCGGAATCTACATTCGATCGTTTCCATTGGTGATTGGTGAAAGTTTCTGGAATACAAATCCCGCGGGTCATGAGGTTGACGAGCAAAAAACCGTTTGGGGAGAAAATCTAAGAAGAATTTTCCTGGATGTTTTCCACCCCTTCCGCTACCGTGAACGCCTCTTGCTCACACCACATGACAGACTCACACCACACCTGACAAGACACCCACGCTTCATACACTCAACCAGCGCCCCTCGCAAAATCCGCCCGTCGAATTAACCATCCACAGCAGAAGCTCAACAACACGCGGCTCCTTACACAGATGATACGCAATTACTCGATAACGCACCGAGCGTACCTACCATTTAACAATCGTCACCCTGGCTCTTCTACATAACCCAACATTAGATACTTAGGGACAAAAATGCGAATCCCACCCCCCCCCCCAAAACCATCCCATTCGTGGCTTCTTCAGAGGACAAAAAATGAGCTCCTCCAGGTGGCCCAGGGGGGCGCCCCCCCAAATTTCCAGGAGTAACCCCCCCCCTCCCTGCTCCATAAAATCCGTGAAAATACCCTCTTTCTTCGCGATAGAAAAGTCCAAATTCACCCCGGTTTATTTTGGGGTTTGCTTTTTTCTCCCCCCGCCATTAGGGGGGTTGGGGGGGGGGGGTAGACAACAAAGAGGCGGGAAAGAGAGGGAAACAGGAAATGACGAATCTAACTCCTCCCCATTCCTACCCAAAGCTTTAGCTGCAAGACACACACCAGCAGATAGTTCAGGTGCCACTCCAGCTGTTTTCGATCAATTCGATCAACCGTTCCCTTCCGAGCTTCCTCCTTGCTTAGTTCAACTCTCACAAAACGACCCACATGCCCGCAAGCCAGGCAGAACGTACTGCTACGCCGCCTGCAGCGCTGGTTGCCAGGAAGGGGTCCTCGTCACGGGCGGAGAAGCCCCCCCTCTCCTCCCTCGTTCAGGCGCCCCTTCCCCGTCTCCCCCCCTTCGCCGCGGCGAACACGCCCTCTTCATGACGAAACCCTTCTTCCTCTTCTTCGGTACCAAGGCCCGCTCGGCCTGCGCCGCCTCCATCATGACCCGCCGCCGGCCGCCGGTGACAACCCGCCCTTCCTTGTCCAGCATCTCGTCCTGCGGTGGCTCGAGTGCCCGCGTCACGAGATCTATGAAAACCGACCGGGGCAGCCCGCCGTACTTCCGCTCGTCCCACCCTTCGTTTGCCGCAGCCACGCTGGCAGCCAAAGCGGCAGCGGCAACCGCAGCCGCCGGGTCTTCCTCCCCCCTGCCCAGAGACACCGCCCTGTCCGCGTAGAGGAGGTCGTGGCTGGGCGACCTCCCCCTGAGCTTCTGTATCGCGGCGATCTGGATCTGGCGCACTCTCTCGCGGGTGACTTGTAGCTCTTGCCCCACGGTCTCGAGGGTGGAAGGGCTAGAGCCACCGATGCCGAAGCGCATTCGGAGGACGTAGGCTTCTCGTTCCGAGAGGTCCCCGAGGATAGTGTCCACGTCCGTCTTGAGAAGACTCACGTCGGCACCGTCCACAGGTTCCTGAATAGAGTACAATAGAGTATAATAGAGTACAATAGATCGATAACCCCAGCAGCAGAGGAATTAATGGTGGGATGGTATGGGTGGGCGTTGCCCTGGGTGGGGGGGGCGAACATACTCGGGGGAAGGGGCGAAAGGCCTCGAATGTGTGTGCAATGAGGGTATGCCGTGATTTAGCTGTCTGTGATGGCACAGAGGAGATGTCAAGGTTATAGTGGCGTTGGGAGTGTCGAGAGGTGAATCTGCGGTACGTCGAGAAGCGGGGGGAGAGGGGAGAGGCCTTAAAGCAGCGCCGGTGGCTCTTCTATTGTGTAACCCGTGAAGATTACCATTCCATCTCCGAGACGAAAAGAAGAGGGCAATGAGAGATCGATGCCCAAACCTAATTCTACAGTAGAATGTGTGTTTCACTGTTTTGTCGAACCGAACCGTTCCGTGTGACGTAACGTACCGGAATCACTTTTACCCCCCACTGGACGCTCTTGCCTCCTTTGCTGTCACAAACAAAAAGAGCACGCTGTGTCCTCGAAAGGATTTGTCCGTCTCGCACATGAAGCATACAACTCGATTCACGGACTATAATAGTTGTCAACGTGTGTTGACTAGATACGAGGAGGAGAGCCTGGGCTCAGGCCGAGGAACCGATTCTTGATCCCGTCAACAAGCATCTATTAAATAGGACCTCGAAAGAAGCGGAAACGTTGGATGCTCGTGTTAAGAAAAAAAATGGATGCTCGCGTTGTTCGTGCGCGCCTACTGAAAGCAGCAACGCCCCCAACGTCCCTCTGCTGAGACTTGCGACCATTCTTAATTATTAATATTCCATCGCCACGCGGCATCGAACCGACGGCCCTTTGCTAGGTCGCTTACCGTTTCCTGTACCGATTTGACGCTATCCCCGACCCGCTCCCTCCTGAAGCTATTTTCGAAGTTCAGGTGCCCGCTCTTGCTTTTGCGATACCCGTCCAGGGAGATGGGTTCCACTTGGTTGACACGGAGGCACTTCTCGACCTGCTTGGTCGAAGCCGTTCAAAGATAGGAAAAAGGCACAAACAGGTTGATTGGAATCAGCCGAGCGGTCCCAGGCGACTGGGGAGGGTGCTGGTGCCGAAATAACGACGCAGTTCTTGAATAACGACGCAGTTCTTGACTTGTCGACAAATTCAAACGTGGGGGGGGTGTACGCTTAGCGACAGTCACGGGCGTCTACTGAGAAGAGCCGTGGCATTGCTGTTGAACTGGCCCTGTTTGCCACGTAAACAAGCAGCAACAGCCTGACAAGTCCAATGGCACCTGGCAAGTAGTGCGGGGGGTGACGCGGTATATAAGGAAGCAGTGGGAGAGGTTTTTAGACCGGGTGGAAAACGAACATCGTCAACAAAGAGACATCCGCCTGTGTAAGTTTGCAGAAATTCTACTTGAAGGATTTCCTGTAAAGGTGTCATGCTTGGTGGGCGTGTTCATCACCAAGCATCAACAGCTATCCAGAAGCAAAGAGCACGCGAGACATAGGAGAAGCACGACCAAAAGCGAAATGGAAGAAATGCGAAAAACAACTCTGCCATGGCGGAATGTTGAGGTTTTGCAGTCCGTGTGGGTTGCCGACAAGTAGCCCGACGCAACATTTCTGCAGAACAAAACTGTGTGTGTAACCGGACCGCAGCCCGAAGGCAGTTTTCCATTGTCTTCGCCTCGAGATCGATTCCGAACAACAGCAGCTATTAACGTTCGGCGCTGTCGGGGAAATGAGCCGCACGTTCACAAGGAGTCGAGTTGTCAGTCACGCCGCAACACCTAGATAGATACCTTGCGCTCGTCGAGCCCGCTCTCCAGCGATAGCTCCTGCACGGTCGGCTGTCTCCCCAGCTGGTCTACCATGGCCGTCTGCAGCCTCATCACCTTGCACACCATCGTGTGAAGGCTCATGGGCAATCTCACCACCCTCCCGCAGTCCGCGAAGCCGCAGTGGATGCCCTGGTGCACCCACCACGTGGCGTACGTGCTGAACCGGAAACCCTGATTCCCACAAAAGGACACCGCATACAAAACGAGAAAAAAAAAAAAATACGGTTTGAAGACGGAAAAGAACAGAGCGGCTACTGCAACGACAAAAAACAATTGTGGTGCATCTAGTTTCGAGTTAGTTGTGTGCCTTGTTTCATGGAGAAAGCGGTGTGCGAAAGACTGACAATCATCGCCAAGTCTCTGCCCTAACGGTAGTGTTTCAAGTACATACGTTTCAAAGGCCCCTTGCGCCTGGCATGTTCACTACAGTAGTCTAGTCACTCAGTCACTCTCACCTTCTCAGGATCGAACCTCTCGACAGCCTTCACCAGTCCGGCAGTACCATCCTGGATCATATCCTCCAGGCTCACCTACATCAGTATCAGCATCATACAAACCCACACGAAGTCACGTTTGTCAAACAGAATCCTTAAAGGAAGGCGGCAGGTTTTGGGATTGCACCCAACCTCGTCGTTGATAGGTTACGAGCCGGAGACTCCTCTTTCTGTTCATCTCCCTATCCGCGATTGCTCTTCCTATCCGCCACCATGGGCTACAAACCTTCTACTCCCCCCCCCCCCCCCCCCCCCCCCGGGGTCTCCCCCCCCGGGGGGGGTTCCGCGCCCGGGGACCACCGGGGGAAAAAAGGGGGCCCCCCCGGGGGGTGCGCCCCGGGGGGGGGGGGTCGGCCCCCCGGGCCCGCCCTTTTAAAAAAGGGGCCCCCCCCGGGGGGGGGGGCCGGGGGCGGGGTTTCTTCCCCTGGGGCACCGGGGGTGGAAAAAGGGAATTTCCCTCTGGGGCCCCGGGACCCGGGGGGGGGGTTTTTTTTTTTTCCCCGGGTTTTTTTTTGGGGGGGGGCCCTTTGGGGGGGGGGGGGGACA